TGGCACGACAGACACTCACGGGCCCACTTGCGGCAGTCTCGGTCGATATTGGGCCATACATAGCGCGCCGCTAAAAGGCGCGCAGAAGCACGAGCACCAGGATGACTGAGTGCATGAAGACGTGTGAACGTAGGACGCCGGAAAATCAGCGGTAAATATAGTCGCGGCTTGCCAGTTGAGACGTCACAGAGTACTGATATATCCATACCTGGAACGGGTGTAGACTCTAATTTTAAGGAAAAGTTACTAGACTTAAGCTCATCATCAGCTTCTTGAGCCTTTGCTATCGCGGCATAATCATCTTCAAGTCTTATTGTTTCTATGCGAGACATTGTATCGGCAACTATGTTGTTTTCACCCTTGACATATTTAATATCTGTTGTAAACTGCGATATAAACGTTAGTTGATTTAACTGTGCTGGTGGTAATTTCTCACGACGTTGAACGAAGGCATAGAGCAAAGGTTTATGATCAGTGTATATTGTTGAGTGCTGAGCTTCTAGTATATGTCTAAAATGTTGGACCGCATTGTAAACCGCGTATAACTCTCGGTAATAAGCAGGCCAAGTCGACTGACTTGGCGTCAGCTTTTTACTGAAAAAAGCTAAGGGTTGCCAACCTTTGTCAGTTTGTTGTTGAAGGCAGGCCCCCACATACACACTTGAGGCATCCGTAAACAAACCTAAACAAGCATCTGGAACTGGATGAGCAAGTTGTGTTGCATTAGAAAGGCTTTCTCTGCAAGAATAAAATGCCTTTTCAAGATCAGGAGACCAAGGCATGGGTTTGTTTCCTTTTAAATTTGATGATGTAAGAAAGTCTATGAGCGGGGCTTGTGTTTCCGCCGCTTTCGGTATGAATTGTCGATAATAATTTAGCATACCAAGAAATCGTCTTAAGCCTTGAGCGGTCTTCGGAAGAGGAAATTCCTTAATGGCAGCAACTTTCTCTTCTGGTGGCCGCACTCCATCTTGACAGATTTTATACCCTAAGAATGTGATGGCATCTGCGCCTAGAACGCACTTGACAGGATTGATGATGCAACCATAGTCATTTAGACGCTGAAATAAGGTGCGCAAATGTGTCATATGCTCCTCCGGCGAGCGCGAAAAAACCAAAATGTCGTCAATGTACGGAAAACAGAAACTCAAACCATTTACGACTTCGTCTATAAAACGTTGAAAAGTCTGCCCCGCGTTTCTCAGACCAAATGTCATATAGGGAAACTCAAACAAACCAAATGGCGTTGTTATAGCTGTTTTACAAATATCAGCCTCATTTACCGGTATTTGTTGGTATGCTTTCACAAGGTCTATTGTGCTGAATATAGTTGATCCAGCTAGATTATGACCAAAATCTCCTATGTGACGAACAGGGTAACGGTCGGGTATTGTGCGGGCGTTTAAGATTCTATAATCCCCGCAAGGTCGCCATGTGGAATCCTTTTTAGGGACCAGATGCAGTGGCGAAGACCAGTGGCTTTTAGAAGGACGGGCGACACCAGCAGCCACCATATCTGCGAACTCTTTTTGTGCGGCGCGTAACTTACCTGGTGCAAGACGACGCGGGCGCGCAGCCACTGGAGGTCCTTCTGTAGTATTTATGTAATGGACCGTACCGTGCTTTGTCACGCGGCAAGCACCTGGTGGCCCAATAATATTAGGGTATTCCAAAAGGATTTTTGAAAAAGGCGAGTCGTCATTAATTTTTACTGTTTTCACACTGGGTTGGTTGATATTGCAAATTGAGGCTGGAATGGAAAGTCCAGTTATGTCATCGCGTAACAATTTCCTTCTACAGTCTGGCAAAAGATGGAAATAAGCTAAAAAATCTGCACCGATGATGGCAGTTTCTACATCAGCAATTGTAAAATTCCATTTAAATTCGCGCCTGAGACCAAAGTTTAAATTAAAAACTCTACTACCATAAGTTTTAATACCAGTACCATTGGCTGCACATAAACTGTATTCGGAAATGGTAAGGCTGTACGGTAGAAGTTTACGCGGAAAACAGCAAATATCGGAACCAGTGTCAATGAGAAAATTTATTTTACTCACTCTATCAGTAACGAACAGGCGGCTACCCCTGACTTGACAGCAGTCAGCTGCCGCCATTAACGCTGACTGCCTTCCTGGTTTCCCGAAACAGGCTTCCAAGCACATGGCTGCACACACTTGTTTGCTTTGGCATCATACTTTCGATGATACCAGCAAATGGTGTCGGAGCGGGATGGTGTCCTGGGTCTAGATCTGGACCTCGACCTAAATTTCGGTCGACATTGGCGTGCTGTCAAAACTGCTACTTGTGTGGACAGTTCCTGTAACTTATTAACAATTGATGATAAATCAGTATTTCTATCAGTAGATGCTACAGGTGTTACAGTATGCGTAGCACTAACAGAAATTGGTGCAACTTCTAAAATTTTATCAGCCAATTCTGCTATCTTTTCCAGGCTTAACTCGGCTTGTGCTGTCAGGATAGCTTGGACTGTTAATGGGAGACGCTGCAAAAATAACTCACGTAGAATTTTTTCATCATTCAGTTTACCAGCCAGAGAGCGTAAATGTCTCAGGAAAACACTGGGCTTTCTATCTCCCAGTTCTTCTCCTGATATTAATTGGCGAACTCTTTGTGCCTCACTCGCAGAAAACCTCTTTATCATTTCGCCTTTAATCCACTCATATCTCTGGCCATGAGGTGGGGGATTGGTAACAAGGTCTTCTACATCCCTGGATAACCTAGAGTCAATTTGTGACACCACGTAGTTATATTTTGTCTCATCAATTGTTATACCCGATAAAGCAAACTGTGCTTCAATATGGGCAAACCATCCAGCGGGCCGATCCAACCAGAATGGTGCCAATTTAGGACGAACCCCATATGTAGATTGAGAAATGCTAACACTTTCTGATGTTGATTGCTCCACCTGAGCAGTAGATGTTGCTAAAGTAGATTTTTGTATTTGGTGCTGCAGGTCAGCATTTTGTTTAACAAGCTGTTCGTTTTGGGCAATCAATTTTTCCATCTGTGCTTTTAGTTCCTCCATTATAATATAACTTATTACCACTTGATCAGTCACTATAAAAACCTTACAATTACAATTTAATTACTACAAATTACAAGGTATTGGAGATCATTTGCCAAACACATTTGGTAAAGTTATATAATTTTTTATCTATGATAATATCTAATGAATGTACAAGTAAAACTCTAATATTTGTTACTTATTGAAAATCCAAATAAGGGACGAATAGAAAAATATTAACATGAAATTAAAATTCAACACAATAAAAATAAAGTAGAGACATTATTTTAACTTATACCTAACAACTTTTGACACAATAAAAACTACTTACATGAATCATAATATGTATGTACACAAAATATAATGTTCAATGTCTTTGTCTATTCTTCAATTGCACAATGTAACATTCAGCGAACTTGGAGAAAACCAAACATTCCGAGTCTTGAGTAGTACGTATGTAGCTTTTATTAAAAGATGATTTCACTCACTTTCTGTATTGAAGATAATTTAGTTCTATGTGAGGAATTAATTAGGTATTTGTGTATTCAATTCCATTATTTCTATTATGTTGTTTCATTATTTAGCCTTGTTGAGGGCTTCAGACATCACTTCAAACAAAGGTTTCAACTCCGGCTTCGTTACAAGGAACGTGTATTGTTTTTCATGTTGCGTGTTCAAATCACGTCGGGGTCACCACTTTGGGTTTAATCACCACGAAAAGAAACACGGAGGAACTTGGTTAGATGTTCTTATAATGGTATAAAACATTACATTTTTGGTTTCAAACTTAGATGCTACTTGACGATCACGTAGCGTCCCCATAGACAACCAAAACACTCCCCGGTGTAGGGATGTGTATATAATAATTGTGGGATAGTGATGGCGAATCCATAAACTTTTATAAGTGGCAATGAGGAAGTATCTTAAAAAATAAAGAAAACACTAAAAAACACCTTACTAAAGTAATTTTTTTGCTGGATACGAATGGACCAAAGATAGTAATTTCCATTCTTTTTAACTGACATTTAAAAACTGAAATTTGCGAATTTCGAAACTTAGATATCAATACAAATACGGGAAAGTACAAATAGAATATGAGTTGTTTATTGAGTTTTGAAAATAATTTACTTTTATACAAAAAAGAAAACCGGAAGGGTTGTCATGGAGAAATCAAGAAAGTACTGTAGTGACATCTAGTTTGGTTTCGGGTACTAATGTTTTTTTTAATACTTCCTCATTTATTCATTCGTTCAGGAGTATGCTACAGTGATAATGACACTCACATCACAGTTCTGTCTTACGGAATGCGCGAATGAAAAATTAGTACTTGAGTTTGCCTTCAGATATAAAACTAGACTGTAATTTTATCACAACTTCATGATATTTTTAGTGGAAAATGCTTAAAAAAACCAGTTGGTCCCTGGCACCACTTATTGGCAGAAGGGTGGAATAAGTGACTGTGGATGATGGTAGGTCGAATCGAAAGAACTGTGCTAAAAACTGACACTGATGCTGCCGATGCCGTCCACTGAGAAACACAAAAGGCAAATAATGAACGTAAATACTAATGGCACACACCCATCGACACGTTTGTGTGTGTTTGTATGTTGTGTTTGAGAAGCGTGTGGAGTCGCCATATAAGTAGATTACTGAACGAAAGAAACCATGACTTTTTGTTTTGACAGCTGACTGTAATATTGCACAACAACAATTTGTTTTTCTCCAATGTTCGGTCGAGGTGATTCATACGTAAAATAGTATTTATCGTGTGACAACACGGAATAACAACATTATTCTCCTAAATATCTGGGAAAGAAGTCGCGTCGGTGCGTTGAAAATTCGTGGGATTGCAGTTTCGGTGGGTGAAATTATGTATTTTCTTTGTTTAATATGTTTTTAAGAATCTTGACGTTTAAATTTCTACAACAATAGTATTTAAAATGGCTAATGCAACTATGATAAAATGGCTGCAATAGCCTCATCTATCGTTTTTTTACCGCTACAGTGCCTTTGTGTTAACATTTTTATGCATATTTATTAATTTAAAGCCAATAAATGTTACAGTAGCTATGGCAGATCAAGTGCAGTTCAAAGTTTTTGCGTTTTGGAGTGAAAATTCTAAACCAGAAATTCGGCGATTTGGAGTGGGACCATCTGTGGTAACAAATTTTCACTATCTCAATGCTAAACTTCAAGATGTTTATCCTGGCCTTAAGGGAAAGAGCTATTCTGTGAATTGGAAAGGTAGGATGATGCAATATGTTACAATATAATTACAGGATATATTGTTGTAGTTTAAGTGCATATAAAACATAATTTATCATATTGTTTTAGATGAAGATGGAGATGATGTTATCATTTCTTCAGATGAAGAGTTGATGACAGCTTTGACAGTGTTGCATGGTGATCTCATCAGGCTTCATATTAATGTTATGAGTGATGGTCCTAAGGATGATAGCTGTGATATTATCTTTACTGCTATTGGTGATAACCCAACTGGTATAATATTCATTATTATTTTCCTTAAAAGAATTATGTAAGAGTACTAAGGTGTTTATGTTGTTACTTTTATTAGAAATTGCTCAGTATAAGTGAATTTTAAAAGCATCTCCTTTGTGTAGGCCTAATTAATTCAGTTAGGTTTACTGCCAAATTTTCATAAAACACTATTAACTATTTTGTAAGTTTTCACCTTAGATATCTTGATTTTGCTGAGAAATGGGTCATTACTCACTCAGTGGGTCATTATGGTTCTTTTATCAGATAATGATAAAATAACTGAATTCATTGTTAAGCTTAATTTAACAATATATAATAACAACAATATTGATTGTTACTTTTTTCACTTAACCAAGTATTTGACTTGAGTCACTCACTTTAAGTTATGTAATTCGAACTTACATAAATTGGTTGTCAGAATGGCATAAAATGATTCATTTCAGGGCAGGGTATGGAGTGGAAAAGTAATAGGTATAATATTCTAGTACTGAGCTTGACTCGGTAAAATTATCTATTTTTATAACAGCTGTTGCTTAGTATATTGTTAGTATTAAAAGAGCATTATTAGGTAAAACTTTCCAATGCGTTTTTTATTGTGGCTTGATAAAGTGACTGCAATATATTTGATTGCAAGCACTACTACAGTCAATAATACTAATAGCTATCAGAAGATGAAACTACTCCCGGCAGCTATCATTATCTTTCGGGCCTGCTTAAAGGCTTTTCAGCAGGTTTCACACCTCTTTTAAGGAACCAATGTTAAATGAAGTTGGAAATATGTAGGGCAGGAAACTGCCTTGCTGCTAGCTGATGGTACAATTAGTGAATAGACTTTAATACCTTCAACATCAGATAATTATTTTAAATCTCACTGATCTGAATATACCAGTTAATCTAAATGTAGATAAATTTAAAAATATTTTTGATAGTCGTAGGTCCCTGTACTTTGACACACTATGGAGTGGTATGTGATGCCTGTGATTCTGCGGTGGTGGGATTCCGCTACAAATGTATCTCTTGTGATGATTACGACCTGTGTTCAAAGTGTGAGGCATCAGGCCTACACCCTGACCACTGCATGATGCGAGTACCGAATCCTGTTATGTCTGTAAGTAATAGTTTTAATTATTTATTCCTCAATATCTTAATGTGATGCCTTTGGGTTTAATTATGGATAATACTACTCTAAAACTACCACCTTTACTGGAAAAACATTGTATATTGATAATTAAAAAAATATATTTTTAACAATATTAATAAAGCAATGCAACCAATATGATAAAGGTGACAGAAGATAGCATTCATATATGGCAGGCATATAATAATAAAAATAATTCGATAGTAGGTTTGTCTTCAATTACAAGAAAATCAATTTTATTTACAGCGCCATCTTATCAAATCTGCTATTAAGAGGTCACGCCACTTTTTGAAGACCGTTGCTGGTACCGTGAACGATAACAGTAACTATCCTAAGAGGCACAGGCGTGACAGAAGCGGAGATAGACACCACCGCGGTGACCGTCGTCACGGTGATCAGAATTGCGGCGATCACCAACGTAGACCGCGCAGCAGCTGGCTTGAGACATTTGCCACTTATATGAATGAGTTTGCGAACTTAGCTGGCGATGTCGGCGTCGACGTTGATCAGTCGAAACCAACAGAACCTAAGACGCAAGAACAGCAACAGGCTACAACTGCTCCTAATGTTTACCAAACTCCACCAAAAGAAGACATGCCGTCTACTTCTAATACTAACATGCCCAAGTGTCCATTTGTACCAGGCATGGAAAATATTCCAAAGCTTATTGAGGCTTACTTCAATGGGACTTTGGCATCCGAACTACAACAACATGCCCAAAAGGCTCAACAGGCCCAAACAGCTCAGCAGGGCCAGTCTGCTCAACAGGATCAACCTACGCAACAGGCCCAATCTACGCAACAGGCCCAACCAACCTCTGATGACCGTGAATGCCCAGTTTTACCTAGTGCAGAAATTATTTCAAAGATTCTCCAGGATTACTTTAGTGGACCTCTGGCATCAAACCAGCCACAGAATCAACCAGCTCAACCGACCGCTAATGCATCGGCTTCATCTAATGACAATGATGTGGAGATGACCCAATCAGAGCCGATTCCGAAAGAAGCTGATAAACTTAGTGTTAAGTCTGAAGATTCTGCTTCCGGTATTGCAGCAAGGGATGCATCACCCGAGAAAGTTGATGGATGGACTATGATTCATAAAGATAAAGGTATTTAAATCACCTTTAATTCATAAAATATCAATCATCAAAATTTGAGATAGATTGGATTTGTTAACTTTACTAATATAAATAAGTTACCATTTATATTGGCTAAAAAATTTTTTTTTTTTTTGTAACATAAAAATCTTTCAGATTTGATGGATGGTTATGACAAACCGAGTGCTCCTGCTGAACCTTCGACTCCCATTGGCTTCAATTTGCCACAAGAATTCCAACAGCGCGTCACAATCGGCGAGGGTCAACACCTCTATCCTCCACTACATGCCGCTGCCGCAGGTATCTAGTCTAGCATCCATCTTTTTCATAACACTGCATCATATCATATTAACTAAATAACCTTTTAGGAATAATGTGTAAAATCAATGTTGGCGGCTACTATTTATTACTTCGCTCACGTAAATTTTAGCCTATATCACCAGCATATTATGATGTAGCTTCCCGTAGGTGAAAGAAACAGATATATTTATAATGACAAATTGGATAGTAAACAATGGTTAATGTGGTGAATTTTTAAATTCCCAATACAAACTTGGACTCCCATTTTCTTAATTTAATTTGTTTTTTTTTGCTGGTTTTCGGGATAAAATATAGCCTATATTCAATATTATGTAGTTTCCCATAGGTAAAATCAATTTTTTTGTCTTTATAATATTATTAGTATAGATTATAGTCTAACTGTAAATGTTCCTTTCTCATTTGTCTATGTCATTCGTATTCATTAATTATTTTAATGAACAGTGTTAAATCCCAAAGAGTCGGGAACCCTTCCAACGCCTCTGAGACCTCAACCTGCTAAACCAGCCCAACAAACTCAGTCTCCAACAAATCAACCTGCTCCGAGTGCCAATAAGCCACAAGGTCAACCACAGACTTTCTCTCAACCTCAGCCACATCCAAGTAAGTAATTTTTTCTTCAATGAGTAAGTTTAAAAAAGATATATCACTTGCAGACGGCACAATAAAAAAAAAACTTTTTGAAATTATGATATCAAAATGTATAACTTTCTTTTCCTAATCTAAATAGGCACATTTTATTTATCCTTAGCATTACATGATTCTTTCTCTAAGTAAAAAAAAAAATTTTTTTTTTAAAGCTCAGATATAAAATAAGAAAAAAGTCTTGAAATATGACGACTTATTATTTAATTCTCAAAATTTTAATTAATTTGATTATTCCGAAAATTTAATTGACACTGGTTTGAGGCAACCGTTTCAAAGTACATAGTAACATCTATTTTGATTTCTACAATGTATTTTTTTTCTAATGAAGATAGATTGAATGTATTTTGGGTCTAGAATCTTATACAAGGTACTGATCTTTATCACTCGTTTCTGAAATTGGTTACATTAAAACTGTTCTCTCAGATTATTTATATTATTTAAGAATAACTATTTTTAACAATATACATAAGATGAATATGCGACTATTAAGAAAATATTATGATATTATAGTAGACGTACTTAAAGATACATTAAGTATATGAGTCAGGAACAAGAAATTGTTTTGTATATCATATTTTCATCCATCAATGAGTCAGACTGATTAATTATTATTAATCTACTTTAAAAAGTATGTCACGATATGATAACATTGTTTTAAACTATATATTTATTATAAGATATTAGATTATATAAATATCAGAATTGCTCGCACGCTGGTTTCTTTCAAATGTCGTCGTTACTGAGGTCCCATGTTTAATTTCCTGTTGGGTCAATGTAGAAAATGAACTTTTGTATATTGTCTTGGGTCTGAGTGTTGTGGTACTTTTTCGTTATCTCAGATACTCCATAATTAAAGTTCTTTAGCCACTCATCTTGGAATCAGATCAAAGTTGTTGTGTGATGATTAAATTTAATTATAATATTGAATATTTTAAATTTCTAGAACCACATATTGAAGCCGCTATCAAGCAAATGCTAGCCATGGGTTTTACTAACGAAGGCGGATGGCTGACGCAACTACTCGAAAGCGTCGACGGCAATATTGCAGCAGTCATGGATCTCTTGACACCAGTCAAGTCTAAATAAACTATTATCAACCTTCTGTCAATGGGTATAAGGTCAACAGTTCAGCATTTTGGCCAGTTTTCATTATATGTACGTGAATTATGTTGACCTTATTATTATTAATCAAAATATTTGCTTATATACTGCGGTCAGCTGTCTTTCTGAATCTGCATTTTTATTTACATGCCTAATACTATACAACGACTTAATATCATCGTTCATTAATTTGTTATATATGACGTAAATTTTTTCTCTTTAAATGACAATTTCATGTGTCAGTCATGTCTAGAAAATGGACGCATTGAACGCATTTTTGATCTTAGTGGCTGGTTCACACATATTAAGTTGATGAGTAGTTAACTAAATTGTTAACTTTATTTTATAATGGCTGGTTTCATGTTACAACTAGTAACTGGTTTTCACGTACCAGTCATAAGTAACCTTTACTAGAAATTATAAGTATTGTATAATAATCGTTATCCATATACTTAGAAGGACCGCTCGAAGCTAATTCGTAACTATAGACTTCGATTCGCCTTGGCGTTAATTCGTTCAACGTGTATGCGCTAATACGGAGCTTTCACATATAGGCAGCTATAACTAAAACGTCTATATTTGAAAACGCACTTATTATCTATAGTCGAAAAGATGACGAACTGTCAGTCTTTAGTTTTACAGTGTTATTAATAAACAAAGTTTATTGTTACAGTAAATTTACGCTGAGACTGCACTTAGTCAAAATTCATATTATTAAACAGTAACTTAGCGAAGGTTAACCTAGTCCGAAGTTCTATTTACACCTAGAAGGTAGTAGGTTTGCTAATTCTCTGTATAATATGAGTTTGGACTTGAACTTGAATGAGTTTGAATACTAAAATTGCAATTTTAGCGTAAATTTACTCCGACCTAAACCTTGTTAGTTAATTGCACTGTTAGATTGCATTATATGGTAAATATTAAGTAATTTAGAGTGATGGTTTAGGATAGGTTATACAGCTACAATTACTTCTGGGTAACGGTTATATTATTCACACAGCTTATTGGCGACTTAAATACTTGCCATTTTTATTAGTTACTTTCATCATATAATAGACTATAACTAAAGTAAGTTTAATATTACATTAACAGATATGTCTATTAAAGAAATCGCTGATTTATAGTACATAATCTCTTTATTATTATTGAATATTTTAAGTGCATGTATTTTAAATAATGTAAGTATATTATACCAATAATATACATACGAATATTTATGGTTCTGTGTAGAATATGTAATGGGACTTCAATTATTAAATATTCATTAATATTACTATTTTTTTTGGAATGAACAAAGCAATGTTCTCCTAAGTTACTTTATTTTATCTAAACATACCATTTTGCATTAATTCTCGATTGTATTTTGTTTAAAATTACCATGGTAATAATTTCTCGAGTACTTTTATAACTATATTATATTTTTCTTTTGTTCGTAATTAGGTTTATTTTTTAAGTATTCATAATGACATGGTTACAGTGAAATATATATGTGATATTGGAATGACTGAATGATAAATATAATTAATATGTATTGTCTTTAAACTGTAAGTTAGTATTTCAGTATTCAATAAAGGTATATGGGATAAATTTTGTTTCATTTTGTAACTAACGCATGTATAATGAATGAGTATAGGTTATATTATCTATGTTGCTATGTCCTATAATCAAACAGAGCTTTTGGATTTTGAAATGAATACTTGACTTGTATAAAGCCCCTTAATTTGTCAGCTTAAATCAAATATGTAGTTTGAAATAGTGCTTGAATGAATACCTATCGTTTTATTCTGCGATATACTTTTACGAAGGCTGATGGTTCCGCTATCTTGATTTGATGGGACCATTGCTCCACCATCAGTTTTATTTAACAGTTACAAATGTCACAATTTTCAAGTTTTAATTGGCCGCGGCCAGCGATCGTTGTTGTCAAACAAATTTCGTAAGGGTCGGTCACGGGATAGGTGACCAAAAAATGATTACTTCGAGCTAAGCCGTGCTTCGGAAGGCACGTTAAGTCGTTGCTCCCGGTTGCACTTGCAATCGTTAACATCCACCAATCCTCATTGGGCCTGCGTAGTAGGTTATGGCCCATTCTCTCTTTTTCGATTCGATTCAATCCATAGAGTAGGCCTGTGTCACAATAGAGGACAATAATAGAATGATGATGATTATGATTTTCATAGTATCTACCTATTCGTGAAAAGTTTTAGATTCTACTTTTTTAATAAGGAGGGTCATAGTATGTTTTGAAAATAATGATATATTTATATTTTATAAATCAGTTTATTTTAAAAATCCATATGAATGCTTTTTCATGCCGATGTTTTGCTGTCGCTCTTTTAAAAGTGCTTGACCCAGGGCCTCGTCGAGAGACTTTGCTGCAACTCTGAAAAGACGCATTGTGTGTTATTAAACCCAAGCAAGGATCTTTGTTCAGTAGCTCGGTGGCTTAGTGGATAAGCGCCGTAATCGGGGATCGTTGTTGTTAATCAACTTTCAAGAAGCTATTGATACCGGATATATTTGCAGTCATTAATAACCACCGTGGAAGGTCATGGCCCATCCTCCATAAAAAAGGCCTGAGCCCCTGCAGTCTTAAAAGGGCTGATGATGAAAGATCTTTGTTAACATAAGTTTATTACAAGATACATTTGAGCAATATGCTTAAGCATATTCTGATTCTAATATGATAATGTTGAAAGTTTTGTTTGTTTGGTTAAATGCTCTAATCTCATGAATTCTGGTTCGAATTGAAAAAATATATTTTTGTATTGAATGGCACATTTGTTGAGGAAAACTACAGGCTATATAATATCGCGCTATAACTAATAGGAGCAGAGAAGCAATGAAAAATGCTGTAAGAACGGAAAAAACACGTTGGTGAACCACTAGCCGCTGGCTAATAATGTCGTCGTTATTAAAGTACATGTCAAAGTAGGAAAATGAAACAAAGTATTGCCATAACATCGTTATGATGTCGTATCTTATGGCTAGAATTAGGCGGACGCACTTCTGGCCCGTCGAATAATACGGATGTAGACGATTTTTTTTATACGAGTTGGGGAAAAGTATGCATAAACTTGTAATAGAATCTTTCTGACTATACCATTCGTATCTGGCTGGTTTCATTATCATTAAAAAGTTTAAATTTTAAAGAAGATAATCCCGAATTCAAATTAAGAAAAAATAAAAAATAGAACCAACTTCTAACTTAAAAAAACTTTTTATTATAATTTTAACTTTAGTTTTCTATTTACAACAAAACAAAATACGCTTTCCAACAGATATCACCTAATATAAAGATGCTATGTAATACTTATTTCAAAAGCGACTTATTCAAGTAAATGCTATTCAATTCGGGTGCTTGTAATTTAATTAATAACCTATGCTCGACTTTAATAACATTTTCTTGAATAAGTCGCTTTTGATATAAGTATTTATTTTCACTTTTTTTAAGTTTGAAGTCTGTAAATTTTTTTTATTTGTGATTTTCATTTGTTTTTCTTACTGTGAAAATGAGTGAATTCAATACTAATTATTTAAAATTTTATTACAAAAAAGGTAAAAATGCAACGCAAGCCGCGAAAAAAAATTGTGACGTTTATGGACCTATGACAGTTTCTGTGATAGCACAAACGAGACAATTTTTTTTCTATGGACGTTAGGCCCACTACAATTATAACTAGCATAAAATAACTGTTTTTTAATAATTAAAATAAGTATGGCAGTGTGATTATCGGTAATATTATTTTAAATACTACCAGAAAAAAAAAATGCATTTATTTTCGTTTACTGTCTACACTCGTATTATATCTCCATATTTAAATTAACAGATTTTTTAAATCACAATATTTATTACTTACATGCCCTGTTTGATGGCATCTTTTAGTGTTTTTGATACAACACTACCTGGACCATTCATACCTATTGTTGTACACTTGCTTTCAGTACACTGTTTGTCTGTATGATTAGGATAATAATGCCTTTTGTTGCCAGTCACACCCACAATCAGAGATATTACACTGCAATTCTCTTCTTCTGCAGAAGGGTCTACAACACATTTATCACCTATTTTACACAGTGTAACCTGAAAAATAGATATTCGGTATGGTGAATAGCATTAAATAGAATAGCATTAATAATTGAAAGTTTACTCCTTTTCTTACGTTGATGTAAAATTAAATTTAAATTCAAATTATAATACTAGTATTGAGTCAAAAGCTAATAACTTATAAGTTGAAATTAAACTTAAATTTTATTTTACATCAACAATAGCATTGACAATAGGTACCTAAAAATATATTATTTTAAGCTTCACCATACTTTTGAAGGCATTAGGTGTTTCTGACGTTGTTAACTTCCACTAACAATCTAAGAGGTTGTGGCAAAAATGTGCAAGAGTATTCTAAAGTCTATTTTTCAGTCATCTGAAAAATTTTACTAGTACCAAATGCTTTTTCGGAGCTGTGTTTCACAATACCTTAAGGTGTATTGCTCCATATAGGGTATTCGAGAACAATAATTGTTGTTATCCTATAAGACAACAGGGTAATAACACATATTTCATTTTATTTTAAACAAAATAATGTATAATTTTTGCAGATTACACAAAATAAAATGAAATATTTTTCAACATTTTATCTGAGATGCAAATGCATTGTAAATGGTTGCAGCTCCGATGACATCACATGTTAGTAAGCCAATATAGGTTACTGTTCACAATAATAGTTTCAGATAAGTTTATTTACTTGCATATGACGTCATATGCGGTGTGTGACTTTTATGTGGCATTTTCTTCAAAATATTATTGTAATTATATAATAAAGAATAATTTACAATGATTTTGCAAAATTTGTCAAATACCCTATTGTGTGGTCTGAGCAGTGCATTAATATTTTTTATATTCATACAAGCTTAATATATAGTAAAAAAATACATACTTCAAGGCGCAGAGCCAACAGGGGTACAAGCACTTTTATTTTGATTCTACACTGGGTGATGTACTGAGTTATGTAGACCCTTAGTAATTCAACATACCAAAATCTCAAGCTTTAGAAAAATGCTCATTTTTGTCACAAGCCTCCCTGTCTATTATCTCCTCTCTACTACCTAATAACTAAGTTTTTCTCTATATGATTCTATAAAAGGAAAGATCTATTTAACAGTTATCTGCAAATTACTACCAGAAGTGGTGCAGTGCCAACATCTAGGAGTTTGCTATCAAATGGATCATCTGATAGTTGTAAGTCTATGTTGCCTCCATCCATTAGAGCAGCTTTCACAAATGGTATTCTTGTATTGAATAAAGCAGCCTTAACAGCTAATGACACAGCATCACACAGATTGCCTCCACATTCTAAAATCTAAAAAAATAAACCTATTAAAAATTATATAATGTCTCAACATTAATAGTAACTTTATAAAGAATATATTCAAGGGTGAGTCTGCAAAACCAATCTTCCGGTTTGATACATCAATCATTACTATTCTTTAAAAAAATATGAATGTATCAAACCGGAAGTTCGGTTTCTGCAGAATCACCTTAAAAATATGTGAAATGTGAGATTCCTACTAATATTATTAAGGAGAAAATTACTCTATCTGTAACAATTTCATGCCTAAACCACTGACCAGGTTTTAATGAAACTTGGCACAGGTTAGTTGATTTGTATGGGAGTTCAAAATTTTAAGTAACTATACCAAACATAGAAGTCATTGGGAAAAGCTGATGAGTTTAAATAAAATCTTATTCTTAACATACCAAGATATCAATGTATAATTTCCAACACTGTTTCCCTTCAAATATACATAGTTGTTTTAGATTGAAAGCCTCTGCAGAATGATATGCTTTCTGCATCATATTTGATATGCTATTTGCTAGCTGTTCACCACCTCTGCCCTCAAATTCAGGAGTAGCATTTGCCGAGCTGAGAGACAAATATATACAACTATAAATAAAAGAACTTTTAAGTGGTTTCATAGTGTTTGTATTTAATTTTATTGATGTTTAAACTGTTAAAAAGTTGTTTAATTTATGGATAGTGTGTGTTAAAATATAAGAAATTAATATAATTATACAAATATAACTTATATTTTTATAGACCATATTAAAAAACAACAAAATTTATACATTATAATAAAAATTCAAGTATGTGTAATAAAATACACATACTTGAATTTTTATTATAATAAGCTATAAGATGCTCCAAATGATACTAAATTTGTAAATTTGAGTTCATACTTAATGATTTTTTGAGTCTGATTATTGTTGTTGGTATTATTTTACAAGGAAATTGATATCAGTAATGTAGGCTCATCTAGCAATCGAAATAGTTTTTTTTTTTTTATATTTTTATAAGCTGTAGTAGTTTAATCTGAAATTACCAGTCAACAAAGAATTCAATTTTTCCAGAATCAGGTTTATCAGGTTTTGGTATATCTATTTCTGTTTTGACGCCCACAAGTATATCTGTATTTGCAAGTCTCAGTCTTGCAGAACCACTAGCATGACTAACAACGTCTGTTTCCAATTCCATAGGTCTGTAGTCTATATTTGATCTTCCGTCTGACCTATAGTCATCCTGAAAGTTACACAAAAGTTTTTAAAATCAATTTCGTTGAGTGTTACGTTCATAGTTTCTTCATATTGAAAAGAATGTAGGTCCAGTTTCAGTTATAAAAATATTCTGATTAAATAAATAAGGATGCTTTTCTAACCTGAATACCGTGTAGTATAAAAACTTTTTCTGTAGGGCTCAGTAATAATCCTGCCATTATTCATATAAGTACTTTCGTTAAAATTCATATATACTATTATAACTAAAGAGTTTATTTAATATCCTACAAAAACGTTTACAAACAAAATTCGGAGCTTTTTACTTTTCGCTCATACGTTGGGTAAAATGTCAATGTGGTCACAGATTAACAATATGTAGCTGTGGTCAATGTCAATTGTCGATGTCAGTCAAAAAGTACAAACAAATAGGGATGCCAACGATAAATCGGATAAACGATATATAATTCATTGTCAAATATTATGATATAGAGCGATGTTAAAGAAAAAGCGATATCTAGGTATATCGAATAATACCAACATATTTAAATCTAATATCAATTGAAATCCAGGGAGTCTAACGGCATCTTCACATGTGATATTTGTTTTGAAATTGGTAGAAGTTTTTTGTTATCATAGTGTGCTTAATTTCATAATAATGTGTTATTTTCAATCCAGTTGCAATTTATTTAAAATGACTATTAAAATAAGACATTCTCCTTCACAAAGGGGCGAACATGCCTTCTGAATGCCTTTTTTCAAAAGCAGCATGCATAGCATGATAACAAACTCGAGAAGCACTTTGTCTGCACCAGACGTCACTTTTCTCTGGTCAAAAATGAAATGTCGAATAGGCATTTGGGTACCGAGTAGACATTTGGGTGTGGATGAAGCCCTTTCGAGTTACTCATGCTACTATTTAGTAGCTGCCAAATTTAGTAGGTGCCACCAATTATTGGCAGATATGTTAGAAATAAATTTATCGTAAAGTGAATATTAATTACATAAGGTTGTTACAATTATTTTTGTTAAGACAAGGGATATAGTATGAATAAAATCTAGAATTATCTGACAAGTTTTATTTTAATTAAATTACTCTTATTTATCAGTAATGGGAGTATCAGTAATGATGTGTGTGCTGTACACATGTGCCAAATATTCATGGCCCCACGTTGAGCGCCAATGTTGCAATGTTCAACGACAGGTAGGCCTACCTGTCGTTGACACACATGTGCCTAATATTCATGGCCCCACGTTGGGCGCCAATGTTGCAAGGTGTTAATCTAGAATAACCCCATTAACTCGAGTCACTCACCCCTGAATTGTCAGAGTTAGTCGGCCATCTCCCAATACTGATAAATAAGAGTAATTTAATTAAAATAAAACTTGTCAGATAATTCTGGATTTTATTCATACTATATCCCTTGCTTCATAATTCATGCCCTTCATTATGATAAAAAAAAGTTAGTCTGACAGAAATTGTCAAAGTTGAAATTGCTCGTCGCTCTGCCGGGTGATAGGAGTCCTTTTATTCGATATTAGTTCGGCGTTGGTGTTGAGTATCGATTCTACTCCGCACTAAAATGGATTCTTTCCATTTTAGTGCAACTGAACTATTCTAAGAAGATATGCGCGCTATCCACAGAAACACTAGTAGATTTTTAAATCTATTGGGCAAGCTTATATCCTAGCGGTGAGGACGCTGGTAAGCTGATGATGATGATATAAAGGAGGATGCTTACATCATCAGCTTCCCAGCGTCCTCACCGCTGGGACATAGGCTTTGAAATTAAAGAACTCATTCTACGCCTGATCGTCGGTCTGTTTACTTTTCAGAAACAGACCGACGCCGATTTTCAGCTAGACCCATTGTTTTCACCACACGGACGCAGGGATGCAAGATATGTAGATATTATGAAGTAAAATTTTATAAAAATATTAGATAAATAAAATTAAATAAAAACAGATATAGTCAACGATTAAAAATGAAATTTAAATAATTGGAACGTCAGTAACATGGAGTGTAGATATTTCACCTGAGCATAAAAAAAAGGTTTCTGCCTTTTTTTGCGTAGCTTAACTTTTGACCTTTTGATGTTTGATTAGAATCACTTACGCTAATTAGCTACGACTGAGTCAAATTTACGATCGGTAAATAAACTATGATTTGTTAGATGGATGGATTTTTGCAAATTATTAAATGTTTGAAATTAATAAATGTGTTTTTTTATTTTTAATGTTCTTTAAAGTCTTTAAAAGTAAGGATTGATACTATTAAGACAATTATAGTGAAATAATAATAAGTTATAAAATAGCCCCTTTCAATTTCTGAATAGCAATACCCTTTTTTCTAACTAAGTTATGGAATTCTCACTTACAGTTCTAAAAGCTACATCTATAACAAGTTTTTAAAGCTTTGGTAAGCTATATTTACATACTTATTTTTATAATAAAGAAATATAATAAAAATTTTAATGGACTTACTGTCCTGAAATTGTAATATAATATTTATCTTAACTAATAATAACACAAGATTGGTTCATTAATCCAGAAATAGACTGTAAAAATCCTCTTTTTTAAATAATAGGTGGAAGAAAAAGAAATAAAAGCAATTTTCTTAAAAAATTGATAACAGAAATTATATCACACATTAGAAAGGGTCTTCAATCCGAGAATACAAGGATATCCATTACTTATGCTACACCTGTAGGTATATGTTTCCCGCATATGATGTAGCTTCCCGTAGATAAAAGAATTTTATAAATCGGTAAAGACATTTTGGAACTCATTCAATGCAAATTTTATCTTTATAAGATTATGTTTTTATTAGATATTAAGGCTTGATTGTGAAAATGGCTATGAAAAATACCCATTTAGTTCGTCATTATCATTAGTAAAAAATGAAACAACTTACCGACCAACCTATAAATAAAGAACCTTGACTTTAATTGAAACGAACGGGGAAATTCTTCATGTATTTCTAAATGAAACACATGGTATAACCACCAAATGGTATAAACACAATGCTTACAATGCTGACATTAAATATTGAAAGTTCATTTGATTTGCTAAGAGTAACACACATTTTTTAAAGCATTCATAAGTATTAGCCCGTTCCAGATACGTAGAATCATTCGAGGGGGATCTCGCAACATCCTCTTTTAAATTGCGAGTTATCGTAATTGTTTCATTGTAACAGATTGAGGTAGCTCGGCCATGTGCCATTTGAACACTGGGTGCCTGATATTAGGCATCGAATGCCGTTATGATATCGAGTAGACCAAAATAAATAGCCAAAATGGGGGAGATGGGAGATGTCAATGATATGGTGTTGCACGTCCAACGATTCTCGTGGGTGGATTATTTGGTGTTTATGTTGATGTTAGCTATTAGTGCGGTGGTTGGGGTGTATTGGGGGTTCATGAAGAAGCAGACTACTCAGAATGATTACCTCCTTGGTGGCAGGAATATGAAAGTAGTTCCTGTATCTATGTCTTTGGTAGCGAGGTGAGTAGTTTTTAAATGATTCCGTATTGACTTGGATCATACGTATTGGGCTGTTACTTTTTTTTTAGCATAATTGTTGTCGTTACGAAGGAGTTTTTATCTTTAATTCAACGAATTTATTATATCCGATACTATTTTGTTATTAGAACCATGTTGCAAAAATTAAAGTTACTAATTAAATGTTAGAGTCTAAACTTCATTAAATTGTTGATGAGGAATTGAATACTTCAGCACCAGCTCCAGTGCTGGTGGACAGGCTTTTCGATATGATAATAATAGTAGCATATAGGGCAGATGACCCGATTTTGGTCATTTCAAGATTGACCACTTTGAGAGTTTCGCCCTAATCTAACTTTTATATATCATAGCTGTTAACGCAATTAGTTTTGACTTGCATTTTGAAAACCGTTCATGGTAAATGAATATATTTGTCTAAACGTTAGTTAGAATGCTTTAAAGTTGCCAAATGGCTAAAACAGAGACAGTGGCCAAAAGCGAATTTTCCACATTATCCTGCATTAAAAAAAAAATATTTTAAAAATATGTTTATTTATTAAAAATGTGTTGTTTAATGATTAGCTATTTTTCCGCGATTTGTTCCCCGTAAATTATAGCCTATGTCATCCGCATATGATGTTACTTCCCGTAGATGAAAGGATTTAAAATTTTCAGAGCCTATTTAATGCAAACAAATGAACAATTAAAATCTTTACTTTTTATATTACCTTAATTACAGCGTAAGTAGTATAAACTCTTTGTTATGAAACTCTTATGAAATAATCCAATCAATAAATAAAAAAACAATAATTTTTCGGTTCCCAGTTTTGTGTCGGGAATAACTTTGTTGGGGTCTCCCACTGAGGTGTATATATACGGTACCCAATATGCGTTCATAATGGGCGGTATATTTCTGATGTCCTTCGTCATGGCACATGTCTACCTTCCTGTGTTCCACGAGCTCAAAATTACTTCTAACTATGAGGTAATACGAGAAATTTCAATATATGAGATTATTTTAACTTTTATAATTATGTTTTTTATTTTCAACTGGTATGAATTTAAAGTTAATTTTGTCGTTTAAAACCTTTTTGATTGGTCATGACCCATATCTAATCAAAGTTCATAGGGCAGATGTTAGACTATTTTAAGATTACGATCTGGTTTAGGCCATTGTAAGATTATGATCTAGTTTTGGCTATTTTAGGAGCTACGCGAAAGTGAACGTTGACATAGTACAGCTGTCAAAGGTATTACTTTTTAAAAACCGTTATCGGTAAAGTAATATATTTGCTATTCCATTAGTTAGAAAGCCGAAAAGTGCCAAAAGATCAAAAAGAGGGCAGTGGCCAAAACCAGGTCTTCTGCCATTCTTATGAAAAGCAAAATCATTTTGAGGCATGGCTTATTGTTGTGTCCAACTTTAACTGATGGTTGAGAGTAAAAATAAATAGGAAAAAGGAGCCAGATAAAGATAGATATCGTTTTGCTTAAAATCTATTTTTGATTTATTTCTCGCAAATCGTTTCGATAATTCGATAAATAACCGTAAATTATTATAAAAATTCTCCATTAAGTCCTCGGCTAAAAAGTGACTCATATTATTTTCCAGTACTTATCCATGCGCTTCGACAATAGAGTACGGTTATTCGGTTCCGTTTTATTTGCTTTTACATTGGTGAGTAACCTTATACGTATTTACCTATAAATATTTTAACATTAATATTACAGCATTTGTACACACTGTTGGGTAGTGGATTTAGATCTCTACCCTCAGTGTATTAAGGTTTAAAATCGATGTGGAAATTTTATAGTTTTCTATAACCTGACGTGCTGTTGATTGTACATATGTAATACTATTAATTTTCCAGATAGGCTGGCTTCCGATAGTCATATACGTTCCAGCTTTAGCGTTTAATCAAGGTAATAAATTTAATTTAATATTTTATTTTAAATTAAATAATAATAATGAATACAATTACATTTTTCCTTTGTACAAAATAAAAATATGAAATTAAATAAATTGAAGATTGTGTTTTAGTAGTTAGTAGACTGCAGTTATATTAAATGGCATACAAATATAAAAATAATGAATGAATGAATGAATACTTTATTGTATACCACAAATAAGAAAATTGCATAGTTAACAATTGTATTATTTGCATGTAAGCCACAATTAATACCATTTCTGTGTTATGTTATATGTAGTTCTGTTGTGGATAAAGAAACAATCAGGTACATTTACCTAACACTCTGTCAATCAGTGATAGCATACTGTATTTCTAAATGGCTTGGTGCATCAAAAACCTCAATGCTAAAATTAGAAAGAGCTCAAAGACTGATATTAAAAATTTGTTTTTTTAAATCTATGCTATATCCGACAAAAGAAATATACAGTGATATGAAGGTACTGACAGTTAGACAATTGTTCTTTTTAAATATCATCTTAAAACAACATTCCCTTATAACATTTGATAATGATCATTCAAGGTCTAAAACTAGAAGGAGACATGTAGTCTGTCCTAGACGTGTTCCTAGGACATATTACGCTTATAACTTCTTTCCTTTTTTGAGTGGTAAATTATACAATGAATTTAACAGATTGCTAGAAATATATCCCGTGACAAGGCACAATTGTAAGAATGTAGTAACATCATACCTTCTGAGTCTAAATTACAATGAAACTGAAGATATTTTGAAAATTAAGGCTTAAAGATTTAATGGATATGGAGATGTGTGAATGTTTGTATGTACACATTCACACACACTCTCTTACTATAAACACATACTTACACACAAGCACACACAAACACAAAAATGCACACATCCGCCCACTCGCTTGCATACGGCCTCAACGTATATAGCACTTGATGTGATACTTTTTTTGCTTTTCATTGTTTTGAAACCTTTTCTTTAAAAGTGGCATTGTGGTTATTAATTCGAGAGGTGGAGGCCAGGAGTGCCATAGAACGGGGTCTACTTAGTTTGGACTCCTGTCTTCTACATAAACTTGCTGTATTTTTATGTTGTACACATTTGTTGCTCGAAATGTAGAAGAAAATAAAATAAAGATTATTATTATTATTATATTATTAATGCAGTTACGTTTACAAAAGTTTTTAATACCTATCAAAAAGGACAAAATGAGTCTAAGATTTTTTTATTTATGTTCGAAATGTACCTAAGTATTTTTTAACCGACTTCTATTCTCTCTAAAACGTTAACTACAAGGCTTTATAATTTAGTTATTATATTGAATTTTCTTTAATTTCAGTAACCGGCGTAAATATTCACGTTATTACCCCAATAGTTTGTCTCGTCTGCATATTCTACACAAGCGCCGTAAGTATTACGATCATGGTCTATCTATAACTTCATCATCATCATCATCACAAGCCCTTTTACGTCAACATTGCAGGGGCTCAGGCCTTCCTTTCTGGATGGTTAAGGAGGCTGGGCCATGACCCTCCACGCTGGCCCAATGCGGATTGGAGGGTATTAACGACTGCAAATGCAGCCGGGACTAACGGCTTGACGTGCCTTCCGAAGCACGGAGTAGCTTGAGATATAACTTATTTCATTTTATTTATAATGGTGCAATAACAGACATCATTTTCTTAATCGAAATTAATCGAAGAAAGAAACCCCATCGAATATGGGCTCGTTCAAGATGTATCAAAATAATTTTTGTCCGAGACTATCAAGGGTTTGATAATGGAACTGTAAAATGGATATGGGAGAATAAAATAACGCAATCCCGTGTAGTTTGTAAAGGAAAATAGGTTTATAGAAATAGATTTTGCAAATCTATTAGTAAATGACTGGTTTTATGGTTGCGTACCCAGACGTTGCGTACGTAGACTTAAAACGGAAATCCTATTACTAAGACTTCGCTGTCCATGCCTCCGTTTATCTTGTGTCACAAGGCAGTATCTGAACCTCATGAACCGTGATAGTTAGACATATTAAATTTTCACAGATGATGTATTTCTGTTGCCGCTATAACAGCAAAATACTAAAAAACAATAAATGAAATATAAACAGAGTAATTCGTGACCGAGTCCGACTTGTACTTGACTGGTGTTTTTTTTTGTTTTTTACCTAAACATCGTTTTGTTATAGGGTGGCCTACAAGCGGTCGTGTGGACAGACGTAATTCAGATAACAGCTATGTTTGCAGCGATGGCTTTAGTTGCTATAAAGGGGACCATAGATGTCGGCGGAATTGGTGTGGTGTGGCAAAGAAACATGGAGAGCGGACGTATCGATCCACCCAAGTATGAATATTTGATAATTTTTTGTCAGCACCGGCTCAATGACACCTTAAGCTTAACACCGGAACGGCGCCCAGAAAAAAAAATTGCAACATACTAAAATACTAATGTAGGGAGACACACAAAGAAATAATAACATGCTACGGCAAAAATAAAAACTATTTATTGTTACCACCTACTCGATACAAGAATAGCTCTGAGAGTAATACTGTAATCTATCTAAGGTCATTCCTATCTAGTTCCTGTAAGAACGAACGGACGGATAAAGTGGTAACTACAATAATGATTTTCTAGAAGTGCTCTTCACTTCTCGACATATTTCATTTCTATTAATTTTGGTTCTATATAATCTCCAACTGTATCAATCACGAAACTAAAGGATGGGGTTAATTCTAGGGAAGGGCGCGCTAGAATTGTGTAATATGGTTGAAATAAATAGAACTTGAAATTTTTTAAATAGTGTTCATCCTTGATTACTTTAAAAGATAAACATGTCATCTATTATAGGTGCTTCTGTGAGTAGTGTGTATTTTTCGACAAATAATCCCAAATTTTCGAAAACAGGCGACTTTATAAAATCTCCGCCCTAATTAAAGGAGCTAAAATCCGGGGCTGAATGTTACATTAGTTACTGATCTTGGTAAAAAAAAATCTAGATTAAACTTTGTATTGTGCTATATTTGATTCATCGTCATCATCATCAGCCCTTTTACGTCCCCACTGCAGGGGCTCAGGCCTTCCTTATGGATGGTTAAGGAGGATGGGCCATGACCCTCCACGCTGGCCCAATGCGGATTGGAGGGTATTAACGACTGCAAATGCAGCCGGGACCAACGGCTTAACGTACCTTCCGAAGCACGGAGTAGCTCGAGATAATAATTTTTGGTCACCCATCCCGTGACCGACCCTTGCGAAAGTTGCTTAACGACAACGATCGCGGGCCGCGGGGTACTTATCCACTACGCCACCGAGCTACTTATATTTGACTATCGCCAGCTATTTTTTTATATTGTATTCTATTTCTTACAGTTGGGATCCAAATCCATTGGCACGTCACACAGTATGGAGTTTAGTGGTGGGAGGTTTCGTATATTGGCTCCAAGCGAATTCCGTTAATCAAACCATGGTGCAGAGATATTTGGCACTGCCAACATTGCGAGGAGCGAAATGGTATGTCGATGCGAACGCTGACTAGTTACTTGTCGTTTGTTAATATTGTACACTTATCTTGAAAGATTTGGAAGCATATAATGGCTATAATTGGTTATTTCTATGTATTTCAGTCGATATTAAGTAGACTCTTAAAATCCTATATTCACCACCATAAAAAATTTAAAAATCAGACTATGTACTAACATTTGTCAACTACTGCGAAAAAGCACTTTCAAGTCTAGCAATAGCTCATAAAAAAGATATACCATGATTAATTATAGCTAGTTCTCTTGCTTCTTTTCTTTTTTCTCTCTTTACCTTCTCCTTCCTTCCAGCCTTTGGAGCGTACCATCTTCTATTATTTATCTTCTGAACTGTCCATTACTTAATAAATTAGTCGCACCTGCCTATTTATTTTCTCGGGCTTACGTGCTTGAATTAAAGTAATGATGGAGAGTAAATGAAGTTTCATATACTTATGAAAAAAGTGGTGGGTGTATAGTATGTCCTTTTTTCTTTCTCTTATCTTGTAGGTATTAAGAGAGGTTCTTAGTGAATATTTATTTTCCAGGGCGGTGGCACTGTTCTGCATTGGTATATCAGTGTTGATATCATTTTGTTTATACTGCGGTTTATTGATTTACGCACGGTTTCACAACTGTGATCCTTTACAAACGAAGGTGAGCTTACTTTATTTATCTCTCTGGTTTGTTCATTGTCTATTAGGATAAAATATTAAAAAAATATTTAAACCTATTTTAGTTAGCTATAAAATTAGTATGATGCAACAAATTATGAGATAACAAGCAAGAAAAAGATAAAAAGTTGAAAAGAGTACCCCATTTTTTTGAAGTCAGTTAAAAAGTAAAATTAAATAGGATTAAATTATACTTTATAGGAAAAAATAATAACAATCATTTAGTTTTGACGTTTCGGCCCCTTTGCAGGGTCCTTTCTTTATTTTTTCTTAAATCCAAATATGCAATTATGGATGTCTAAAAATAAACTATGTCTAATTGTGAATTTAAAAAAAAATTGAATTCTAATTACTTTTTTTGATGATGTTTGGCGTTCTTAAATGAATTGTTTACTATTTATGCTAGTGATGCATTTTGGCGACAGAAAGTTGCATTATACGTCCTATTACTTTGACTATATACTGGTTTTGTTCGATTGCAGTTAGCTAAAGCCAAGGACCAACTTCTACCATTACTGGTGATGGACGTGTTGGGCGATATACCAGGTTTACCTGGAGTTTTTGTGGCTGGCATATTTAGTGCTGCTTTAAGGTAAGACAATGATGATTAAATAAAAACGTTCTTAAAATTGTACTACATTCATAGTTCATGTTTAAAACGAAGTGTGGTAATAAGGCGTAATTTTATTATACTTATAGATTTTTAAATCATAGAGTTATTAGTAATCAGCAGCCAAGATAATAAAATTTATCGTACATTATCAAATTAGTTGACAATATCGATTGCCTTAGCTTCTTAATAATTTACACATGTAAGTAGATAACAAGATAACGAAAAGAAGTCGAAATAAAGTAATTTTAACATTTATAGCTTGCAATAAAAATGTTGTTTTCACGAACGAGACTTAGCCTTGAAAATGAATCCCGATTTATCTTGAAAACAAGTGTAGTCTTGACATCGCAAACATAAATTTTACAATCACAAGTACACCTACCTGTACTTCAGGATTGAAACATTTATGTTATTTTATTGATCTATGCACTTTGCACATTACTGTAACGTCCGTGCGCATTACTGTAGGTAGGTTTTCTTTTCGGATGGTTAATGGTCAATTAACCAATCGTTCTTTAGCTACTCATCTTGGAATCTGAAATATATGTGATGTTGTTTAAAATTTAATAATATTTCTTTTGACACATATTTCAATTGTTTTAGTTCACTATCAACAAGTTTGAACTCAATGTCAGCGGTAGTGTTAGAGGATTTCTACAAGCCATTCTTTAGGAAAGAGCTATCAGACAGTCAAGCAAACTGGCTAATGAGAGGAGTGGTCGTTCTTCTGGGCACTCTATGTGTAGGTAAATGTTATTATTGTTCAAAGCTCTCCAGTCTTACTTCATTGAATCTGGCACCAGGCCATCAACCGAAAATAATTATTAATGCATCATCCATATCGAATGTTAATAGCAATGATGTGGGGATGGGTTATCAATCAGAAAGAAGCTGATAATGTTTACATTAAGTCTAAAGATTCTGCTTCCGGTATTGCAAGGGATATTGTGGTAAAACGCAATATGATACAGAAAGGTGTGTTTGGACCTCGCCCTGCTTCAACGTCTTTCTAATTTCTCATCTGATATCAATTTCGTCACTTTTTATATGGGATTATTTACATATTCTTGAACCAATGAAGCAGGTCGCTGTAAATTTATTCACTGATATAATTTATCTACCTGATAAGTGCCAAAATAAACGAATACTTGAATTTGGATATCTTTCATTATCATAAAGTAATAATGACTCAAATAATTGCTGGAATGTTCATTAAAATGATTCTAGGTCTAGTGTTTGTCGTTGAGAAAATGGGAACAGTTCTACAGCTAACGATGACACTAGAAGCTATGACGATGGGTCCACAATTAGGAGTGTTCTCTATGGGGATATTAATGCCATGGGTTGATGCTACCGTAAGTATCAGGAAATTACTAGATGTTACACTAAAAATAATATTGAATTTTATTAAATGTATATTTCTATGAATTATCATAGTTGTAAGATGCTCAAAAATCTTGAGGGTTGGCAGCATAATGATACGTACACATGTATTATTGGTTTTGCTTTCAGAGAAAATTTATCCATCTATGACAAATACCCTGCTCTCAGTCTCTGCATCATGATTGACAGATTGATTTTGTTGGTATTATAACAGAGCCTTAGAACACAATTAATAGTAGATTTGAGTATTCACTTATTATAAAGCATAGAGCATTCACCTTTTTTTTTGTTGAAACTGACCAATAAACGTATAGCAAAAACAAACATCCTTAAAAATCTACAGAAGATATAAATATATGAAGGTGTCTTATCTAGTAGTCTAGCCCTATCACTGGGTTAATACGTTCGATCTACAATGCGAAGGTTAGAAAACTTTCGTAAGGGCAGGATGGGTGACGAAAAATTTATTCCATCCAATGCGGATTGGGTGACACGAACCAATTCGCACTGAGCCGGCGTAGAGAAGTACTCTATGGCAATATCCTTCTTGTGGGGACATTAAAAGGCTGATAATGATGATAAAGATGTCAGGCAACTCTTGAACAATAACATGGCTACGTAAAAGCTCGAAGCACAATACTGTTCTTTCGTTCTTATACCACAGTTATTTTTTTTTGTACGCTATCTGTATAATGTTATATTCAAGAAAGTTTATAACAAATGAATGCTCAAGTCTATTAGCACCTTTATGTATAGACAGAAATAAAGTATCAGGATTTGTTGAACATTGAATTGCAGGGTGCATTAGTGGGTGGCATCAGTGGTCTAGCGACAATGGCGTGGTGGTGTCTCACGGCGCAGATGGCTATTGCTCGCGGTCTAATTGTCCATCCCCATAAAAACTTGACTACTACAGGGTGCCAATACAATTACACTATCATAGAGACAGCAACGCTGTCTAATGAGCAAACGTGAGTTGTTTATTTTCATTAATGTTTAGGTTATGTGTAATATGTAATATCTATCGTCACTTAAAGATATTTTTAATATGAACTGATATGTCATGAAATACTTTAGAAATGGCAATGAATACATAAATACCTAATTTTAAAACAATTATTAGTTGTAATATGCATACGTAGATTTCCATTTATAGTGTAGAAAGTGTTATAGGTATATTTGGTTAAAGTGATGTGCATTTACAATACTATAACGATCGGAATACTAACAAAATTAACTACCCTCTAAAGATTAGCATGGTGCATACAAGAACTTAAACATAGAATTTTAATTTAGAAACATTTTTCTAATTTTCCGCGAGTCATTGGACGCTCGCAAAAATTAATATATACCTAGTAGGCATATAAAAATATTCTACGTGGATTTAATTTTGATTAATCTAAATTATTACTAGCTGGTTTTCATTATCAAAACTATTGAGTAAATAGTTTTATAAATATGAAAAAAGAATTAAAAAAAACTATATTTTTTATTTTTATTTCAACTGTAAATAGCAAAATATTGCTGTTGGTGACTCAAATAACTAGTAGATAGAAGCTATAAAATAGATAAATACATATTCGTCAATATAAAACTTACATTCCATGATAAAGCCGTCTTATTAGGATTATATGAAACAAGTACCTAACACACAAAACACATACCTGAGATGTATTTCCCAATATAGGAAATTTCATTTCCTACATTATCCCGACCGGGATTCAAAAGCGTGTGGTGTTCGAGCTACGTAGCTATAGAGGTAGAGATAGATTATAATCTATCTACTCAGTAACAATATTAGATAGATTATAATTTATCTCTAACATATTTATTATACAGGGACGAAGTTAACCCGTTGCTCCGCGTATCGTACATGTGGTACACGTTGGCCGGGGCAGTGGTTACCATATGTGTGGGTGCAGCAGTATCGCGCGTGAACAGAGTAAGGGGCGTGGCGTACGTACCACCAGCGTCGAGTCTGTTAGCACCACAACTTAGAAAGTTGTACAAAGAACCACCGCATCCGACTGACGAGCCTTACATTAGAGCTTATGGCCATAACAAGGTAATTTGGGTGTGCAGTTTTTATATAACCTACACTTTTATATATATGTATTCGGCACTCTATTGGCTATAATATAGGCAATATTTATAATTAAGCACTTATTCTCTTTATTTTTCATGCTAATATAAAGAGAAAAAAAGTATTAACGAGCTTTCCACCACAAACTTTGCCCGCGTGGTTTTGCAGCTTGTAAAAAGCAAACCTGACTGACTTACATATAAAGGCACAGCCAAAACTACTGTACCTAATGTTCCTTTCAAGTCTCTACCAGCCTCTACGTTCAGTTACGACAAAGATTCTATAGTATTAGATTAGTTACAGTTTGTGAGAGTATTACATAGCTGTCCAATGAAGCTTCACTATGGTCTATCAAAGTAATAATTTCTGAAAAATATCAATTTGACTAACTATGTTATCAGTAGAATTGAAATGCTGTTAAGGCTAGGCTGTAATAAATTTTGTTGTAGCAAAACTTAATATTCGTGCAAAGAATTGAACATTCTGATCTTAACAAAAATTTCGTGATAATATTAACTTATTTTAATGATTGATTTCTTTAAAAAATTGTAAACATAACTTTAAATAGTTTTGGCATCATAATTTGTGAAATTATTGTTATTTTACATGACTGTTTAGTCATGTAAAATAATAAAAATTTATTGAAAATAAAATCACAAACAGTAATGATTAAAAGACTTCCAGTGTCCTAGTTTAGTACAAAAAAAGTCATTTCATGCTTAAACGTGATCAGACAAATATTCATGCAGTAATAAAAAAAAATGCGAGTGATTACAATAAAAATCAAATCAGAGGAGACCAAACAAAATGTAACAAAATAAAATAATAAAAAAAAAACTATTTATCTTAAACAATTATAATTATTTCTTACTTTAGGTTAAATTTATTTTAAGTTCTTTTTTAATATTCTTCAGAGATGTGTTAAAGAAATCTATGTTTGACAGTTTCTTATTATATATTGTTGTTAAAACGATAAAAGAATGCGTTTCGGGTGTAATTTTTCCTGGGACGCGGGGGAACAAACACAGGTAGTGTACGTGAGGAGCGTATAGGGAGACGAGTAAGACCGAAAAATTGAACATGGCCAAGAAGCTCTGACGAGTCGATAAATGAGTGTAAAATCTTATAAAGAAAAACTGTATCAAACATAACGCGGCGATTACGATGACGGCGATTTTGATATTGTAGATGTTTATTTAAATTTGAATAATAAATACTAACTTTTTTTAAAAATTTCTATTCGATAATCATTTCACAATTTTTTAATTATAGTTGTGGTAACGATTAAAGTTAACAATTATAAAATTTTATATATTTCTGACTAATTTCATCTTTTTGATAAATAAATTTCTTAAACCCTGTTTTATACATTGACCTCAAAATCGATTATCTCTTTTAGAAATGAACTCAATAATATCGATTTTTTGCATGTATATTTTTTATTGCCACATATTAAACGATTCCGTTATCCCTGATAGTGACATGGTGATAATTATTGCATGTAATCCAATTATAATTCCACGTAAATATTAATGCAATATTACGTATTTATTAAAGTTGGATTAATTTGTTTCCAGGAATCATGCCAAGCCAACTCTACCTCGATCAACATGAAACCAATAAGTGAGATTGAAGAGATTAGTTGAAGAATAAAGCCTTCATATTTTTCTTTAAATTAATTACTTTAAACAGCAATAAATATAATATTATATAAAATTTCGTATTTTTTCTTGATTGACATACTATATTTATGATATAAAGAGGTAAGATTTGATTGGTTGTTTGTTTGCATTGAATAGGCTCCTATTTTTTAAATCTTTCACCTACGAGAAGACATTATACGCGGGTGACATAGGCTATAATTTAACGAGGGCGAAGTCGCAGGAAAACAACTAGTAATTTTTGTATTTAATTTAATAAGAAAACATTAGCTGAGTCAATTTAAAGTTTAGGATTTCCTTAAAGGTATAAAACGGAAGTACCAAAACAAAACTAAAAAAATGATTTACTTTAAATTAAGACATATATAAAAATTCACATTCCGTTGCATACTATAATAATATTAGTCATAGAAGTCTAGACTAGGTTTCAACGAACTGCGGGAAAGCAATTTGAACTGCCTCCTAGGACTTTAATACTATTAAGAAAATTGTCCATATTACGAAAAAAACGGTAGTCCGTTGGAGCAAGGCCTTGTGAGTATGGAGGGTGACGTATGGTTTTTAACTGCATAAAAATCATCACCAGTCAATTAACATCCTCACTGCTGGAGCTCAGACCTTCCCTATGGATGGAATCGAATTGGAGTCGCGCGCCCATTATTTAATTAATAATCTACAGAAAACCACCGCCCGAATTCAATAACATTTTCTTTAATAAGTCGCTTTTGAGATAAGTATTATTTATCACTTTTTAAAAGTTTGAAGTCAGTTCTAATTCATAAAAAGTTTTTTGTCTGTTACTTATTAAACAAGTCATAATTTTTAATATTAACATTAAATGTTTATATTCAACTTTTAGAGTAAATAGATTTCTTCTAAATTTAAAATGCAAAATAAGACTCTAACATAATATGACGAAGAAACTTAGTTAGCGCGATGCAGATAGTACAGCGCCATCTCGTAAATAAGTAAGGCCACTTATAGTCATCGTCTATCATTTAATTAATAACCTACAGAAAACCTCCGCCCGGTCATAACATAATTATAATAACACTTTTTTGTTGCTCCATTTTATCACAAATATGTACACGGACACGTGTCTTGGTAATGCCGCGAATACACCGGTAGGGCCGATAGCAAGTCTAGAATGTTCTAGATCCTAACCTTCAAATTCAAAGCGAAAACTAGTAAATTGAAATATCTGAACGATCAAATAGTATTGCGAAGCGACAATTGTGATATGAATTAGTGAAGACGAAGTGTGTATTTTGTTAAGAGATTATTTTTGGAATTTTGAAATTGTTAATTATAGAAATTGGCGTTAATTTTTATCCCGGACCCTAAGTCGTAATAATACCTACACTTAGACTTACTTACAAGCACAGTAACTGTTATCTATTAGTGATGCACTAACGAAAGAATAAATAGGTATGTAGTTATTTGATTAGATTTGCATTTAATCTAAGGATTACGGAGCATATGAGTTTGGTGAAAATCATCGGACTTGGTTCTACAAAAGGTAAACGCAGGAAACATTTTTAATCTGACGTTTTTGTTGTTTTATTGCATTCGACTTAAGGATTATCTAGAATTAGATTACCCATTTATTATTGGAAATAAAACACCGACGATAACTACCGTTTATAAATATTCTTCGAGTGGAGCACCTTGAATTTAGTAGTGTAATCTCTGTCAATATGTGCGTACTGGCCAAGTATTTTTTGCTGGCAGCACTGGCTGTTACAGGTAGGTACTTTATGCTAAACGCCTGTTAATTATCATCGAACGCATCGAAGGAGGCGATAGAAACGAATCGTTTGTGTGAAAACAGTATAAGCTTTCGCCCGTATGTACGCGCTGAGTCGTCACAAAGCTAATGTCAGTTATTGAAAATTCGTTTCGTTCGTCTTCTACAATTCGGTTTAACAGAATTATCAATATTTTCGTTCATAGAAAGTTCGTTGTAATGGCTCATATGCTACGTTCTGGACATATTTTGCCTAATAAGTTTGTATATATCATAAAAAAAGTAAATTCGCCCAATAGTGAAACTTGTGAAAGTGCTGAGAATGTCTTCCATTTATTGGCGGGATGTGTCAAGAATGAAACTAAGCTAAATAATTTAGTAACGAATTTGAAAGTTAATAATTTTCAGACCATAATTGCTAACCCAGCAACAAAAGAAGTCTTTATTACCTACAAATTTACAGTTGAAAGTCTACGTAATTAAATAAATGTGATTGATTACATAAAGATAATAAAAAGCTGGGAAAAACCTATTATCAGATTTAAATTAGGTATATCAATGTTTGTAATCTAGGTCTTAGAAATGAATACGAGATTATGTATGGTCCATTTTTCGTTTTATGTAAATTAAATATTAATAATGTTTTTTGAGTTCGTGATCATATTTTGAGTTCATCAAAGTAATATAAAATAGAGTTGAATAAAAAAACAGATTTTGAAATTGACTCTATTTTCCATTTTTAATGATTATTTCTTGTGAATTCCACATCATGCAGTAAAGCAACCAAATATCAGTGGCGTCACTACAAAGAAAAGATAAACATAATCTTATAAGCTATAATATATATAAATTATTATGTCGGGTTTGTATTTTATTAACTACTATATCCCTGCTATGCTGATAATCGCCAGATAAAAGTTTCTGCTGTATTTTATGAATGTCTTTATAAATCATTAATATTATTTAATCTAAATACGCGATGATATATAATTATATGATTAATTCACACGTCAGTTTGCCACAATATCTAAAATTTTACGCAATGAATTTTGCGGAAGTGTAATTAAAACTTTAATTGAATAAAGGAACAATAAAAAAGCTATATCATCTTTCTAAGATTATTACTTAGACGAGGTCTATAAGATGAATTCATTATTTTTTTTTAACTAAGTGAATTATATATAAAATCCTTTTTGTTCTAGTTATATATTATAATTTATAAATTATATATATCTAAAAGCGACTAGCTTTCCATCAGCGGTTTCGCCCGCGTGGTCTTGTATTATACATAAAAACATTTTTGAAGTATACAGGGATACAGGGACAGAGAAAGCGACTTTGTTTTATACTATGTAGTGATTTTATATCAAGTGGTTTTTAGACCGATTTATTCCATCGCCATTAACTTTTTCGTACTCCGTCACATGTTGCTCTTTCGTTCCTGGAGTGTGACCGCCTAATTTTCTATCGATGACTTTAGCCATAGATGCGACATCTTAGCGATATTAGGCGATATTTCGTTTCATAATACAACTTCGACATATCGTTTTGTTAACATTGTACACTTTAAAGTTGCTAACACTATTGTCAAAGCCGTAATCGTCACTTCATCCATCCATCATTCAGTCATGACTAGATAGCTAGGCGGTTACACCCACAGAACACAGAAGAGAAGACCCCTAGAATTATCATTAATTTTTCAAATTAATATTTTACCTATAATGTTGCAATATGCAACTTTGCAAATGGCGCAGATTATTTGCCGGCATACAGACATACAGACTCGTATTTGTTAAATATTTGTTAATCTGTATAGCGGTAAATAAGTATCTAATCATATATTTATATCAGTTTCCAGCCACAGCCTGGGGCCTCAAGATGTGGTCTTCCATTTGTTTACAAGGTAAGGTTTATTGAAATAATTTCATGTTATTAAATTATAAAAAAAAAGAAAATATCATGTCATATGTTGTACAGTCTACACCACATCATGCTTACTCAATCGATTTTAATTCTTGATCTTCTTTAAGAAAAGTCTGTTTCACAGTGATGAAATGCAAACAACCCGATGTTGCTTGCATAAATTGCTATAAATCCGAGCTATTAAAACGTTTATTATATAATATTTTTATGATGTAAGGGGTAATATAGCCTTTTTCATCCGCGTATTTTGTAGCTATTCGTAGGTGAAATCTTTATTTTTATTTCTATGATATACCAGAAAATTATCCCCTACAAACAAACAATGTTAGAAACTTTACCTCTATAGTGTTAAAGGCGGTCGAAATTTTAAATTAATGCTACTATATACTTAATAAAAAATGCTTAAAAAACTCCACTTTGTCCTTGGCACTCTGAGATGGGACTCAAACCTGTGACCTTTTGCAATCCGGACGACTGCTCTCAGAGCAGTAAGAATATATTTCAGAATAGCAATGTAAATGTAAAATTGATTAAATATTATTATTGATGATACTAGTTCAAAACGAACTGTGATCATACTTTCGTATGATCGTAGCTTCGACGTGCATATATCATTTAGTATGTCATTTATGTTTGCGTTTTACGCAAATAATAAATTTGAAAAACCGGAAATTACGGTATTATTTCCGGTCTTTCAAATTGATTATCTGCGTGAAATCCTCTGTGCGAGAGTCAATTTTAGTTAATAAACGAAAAAGGATGAAAATATATTTATTTCATAAAGCGTTTTTGTACGGTGTATATTGTTTTGTGTAAAAAAAAATGTAAGTAATAATTTTAATTTATAATCTTACAGGAATAATCCCGGACAGAGCCAAGTGTTATTCCCTACTGTCAGTTCAATTTTGATCTCCAACTTCGATCCATCGCTACGCACAATCGTAACCATTCACGGTCAAGGAGATTTCGGAAACTTCAATGCTTTCGTCGTGCCTAGTAATACTTGTTTTTATTACTAATTTATTAATTGATATTGGATGTAATGACTGTGTTAAAGACCCCTGTGCTCGGATATAAATTGAAGTTGACAGTTTCATAAAAATTTGCTCGAAAACAAATCACCTCACTTTTTTATTTTACATGTAAAACTGTCATTAGTGTTTTTTTAATAGTTTACTTTAAATTCTCGTTAGAGGGGCCTCTATTAAGCCATTATTAAGTTCGTGGACTTGTAGATACAGGGCGATCCGGAAAAAATTAATGCCATGCTGGTATATAGCAAATTTTTTTTTTCGTCTAATTCTTACATTTTTTTAATTATCTACCCGCCTTATTATCAATTAAATAATAAGATTTGTAAACTTAATAAGTTTCTATAATTGGCGTCAATGTTGTACACTTATTGTTTGTATTAAAATAAAAAAAAACTGCTGTTAAAACTTTGTTGAATGAATCAATAAAATAAAAAAAAAATTAAATAAACTTTTTTTAAAAACATACAAATAACTTGCTCTTCCAGGTCACCTCGAAGCTGAAAATGTCAACGTTCTCGCTGTTGACTGGTCTGTTGGTTCAACTACGTACATAGATGGTGTGTCGCAGGCAAATCAATGTGGACTGATAATTGCCCAGTTCATCAACATTCTAAGCAGCGAGTTCAGCTACTCGCCCGAACAGTACAGAATTGTGGGTGTCGGTCTCGGAGCCCATGTCGCCGCCATCGCTGGCAGGCTGGTAAATGGTAACATCCCGCACATCGTTGGTGAGTTATTTATATTTTTGCCACTTTTAGTTGTATTTCATTAGATATAACTAACTACTATTTGATGGAAAAAGACTACTATTGGCAGTACTAATTGTCGATTTCACTATCAGTATCTGTCCCTCTACGTGAGTTACCTGTCACTTTGACTTTGACGTTTGATCAGTTACGCGCCAATATACTTCCGGGTTGTTATTCTTGTAAAACGCTTGGAATCGGCATCGTAATTTTAAATATATCAATTGAATAGTAAAATGTGCCTTTCATTACTAACTAAAATCATGTAATTATAAAAAAATATGATGTTTAACAACTCCTATACCTAGTTAATAAGATACACGTACACCAGCCGCTAATAAAAACATGCGCACAAGATGCAACAAACAGCGTAACCGCTATCCATCACCATCATCACCAGCCCTTTTACGTCCCCACTGCAGGGGCTCAGGCCTCCCTTATGGATGGTTAAGGAGGATGGGTCATGACCCTCCACGCTGGCCCAATGCGGATTGGAGGGTATTAACGACTGCAAATGCAGCCGGGACCAACGGCTTTACGTGCCTACCGAAGCACGGAGTACCTCGAGATAATAATTTTTTGGTCACCCATCCCGTCACCGACCCTAGCGAAAGTTGCTTAACGACTACGATCGCGGGCCGCGGCGCTTATCCACTACGCTACCGAGCTACTTACACCCGCTATCCAGCCAGCCTTAATTCTTCTGATGTTAAGGGAATCCCAGTACTCAATTAATTGCAGTTTGCCATTGTACTATCTACCTGAAGCCGAATATTATTAGTGCAATGTTTTCTTCATAAATATTGACAGATAAAACTAAGCTAACATTAATAGAAACAGGGCCCTTATTGTGCGTGTTTTTATTGTTTTATAATCAATAATTGATTTAAGTCGATATATGTTGTGATAACAGTTAAGCTAAAGCCTCGAACCTATTGTTATACTATTAGTCATTTGTATTTTTGAATTTCAGCTATCGATCCATCTCTCCATGGCTGGACTCACCACCCTGGTCGTTTGGGATCCGACGCAGCTGGTTTGGTAGAGGTCCTCCATGCTACTGCAGGCTTCCTTGGTTACGATTATCCTCTTGGTGACATTGACTTCTATCCAAACGGTGGTTCTATCCAGAATGGTTGTGGTATCGACATTAGTTGCTCGCACGTTTTCTCGATTGCTTTCTACTCTGAATCCGTCATTGCACCTAGCAGAAATGCAAATGACTTTGTCGGAACCGCTTGCGAAAGCTATGAACAAGCTATCTCTATGAGTTGCCAAGGCCCAAGAGATGCTGTCTTCGGAGGCCCGGGCGTTAAGACGAGGTAAGTCATAATCGTACATTTATTTAATTTCTCATTCTTCAAATTTGCTAAAAAAGAGTGAGGAATTTATCAGATCGGAATAACAGTGTAGGTAGAGTTAAAAATCTCTAAACTAACAATTGTTTCTTCTGCGTTTATTAATACGTAGTATGAATATTAGAAGAAGAAATATATTGAGGATAATTTTATGAATTTACTACGTTTTCATGAAATCAATTGTGATTCGCATACTAAATAGTTCTAAAGGTAAATGTATAAAAATAATATTTTCTTTTGTTACAGCGGTTCTGGAATTTATACTTTTAGCACTGCGAACAGTTCTCCATTTGCGCAAGGTTAAGAGAAGTAATTTTGTTTGGAAATGGAAAATTAGCATAAGAAAATTTTGTTTGATTTATTGTACATGAATTGTGCTTTCTTTGGAATACTTCATTTCAGATAAGTTAAAAAATTTAAGAACGGCCATGTTTTGTATTATTGCTCCTTTCTGATGTATTTACAAATGTTACGAAGATTTCGCAGTATAATAATCTGAAACAAAAAAAATATCTACATTTTTCCAACTATTCAAAATAAAAAATCTTTTTATACAAAATATTAACGTATTTTTTATTTCTTACACTTTTAAAACATGGCATAACGAAATAACAAACCCAAATCAATGTTTCTTAGATAGAAGTAAAAACAAGTTGAAAATAACATCATATCTATACTATAATAAAAACGTAACCGATCGATGTCTGTACATTGAAGATATATGAAAAAAACTGTTATGAGGGACATTTATAAGCGTAATAGAACACAAAACAATGATTTTTATTTTTTTGTCTGTTTATCGGTTTGTCTGTTTGTCTGTGCGTTTGTGCACGATAATCTCAGAAACGGCTGCACCGATTTACATGCAGTTTTCACTATTATATTGCGGTATTCTTCCGTTAACATTTAGTGTAAGATTAATTTCAATCGGTTCACAAATAAAAAAGTTATGTCAATTTGAAGTGACATGTTCATCGAAATTGCTATGAAATATTTACTGTTTTATTAAATTTTCGTCTTTGATATATTGATCATCATCAACTCTTTCACAGGCCATGCAGGACCTCAGGCCTTTGTTTAATAATTTTGGTCACCCATTCCGTGCACAACTCTTGCGAAAATTGCTTAGCAATAGCGATCGTGCGCAGCGGCACATATCCGTAGTGCCACCGAGCTACGAATTAATATTGTCTATAAAATGATAATTTGTATGATGACAAATAACAAAATAAGACTCCAAAATTTTGAAAACTCCGAAGTAAGTTGACCTCATTTATATATGGCCAATTATATTAAAATGTGGTCCAGCTTATAATGGACGTGTGTTATACGATCACGCGAGTAGGAGAACAAGTGGAAAGAGCCTTCCGATGATGCAATTAAGCCTCGAGTAGTTTACAGTGAACACATATTGTTATCAGATTAGGTTCACGTCGTCGTCGGGGCCAGAGAGGTGGTTGGCAGCCGCCCCCGCGTCGCACGGTTTCGTCTGTCTGGGACAGGCACTCGATTTACCCAAGCCTCTCCAATTTCATCTGCAAGGGGACCCATGGTCCAATACTTGAGTGTCCTGGTGACTTGGCCATAACTTGCCGGGTTTTATCTCCCATGAGAGGGTGTAGAGTACGGGTTTTGGTGGGTAGGCCTCTGGGGACCCACCGGGCAGCTCACTGTCGGGTTCACGGAGGAGAATCCTACTCACCTCTGTTGCTTGCCAGGTAACAGAGACAATGTCAGAAGTTTTTCCACGACGTTAAAAAAGTTAGATTCACGTCAACTGAAGTTAAGAACGTAAAGACAACTCGAGTTACTTTTTTTTCTCTTATTAGTTTTTTTTCTGTTAATACTCTTTTTGTTTTTTTTTTTAACATACAAAATGCTGTAGACACGTACTTCAAAGTTGGTATTTTTAGTCTTCGCTGGAAACAATGGTTTATTCATTGCTCATAACACTCATATAATATTACGCGGGTCTGAGGGTCGGTTCAGAGTAGCTCGGTGGCGTAGTGAATAAGCGCCATGGCCCGCGATTGTAGTTGTTAAGCAACTTTCGCAAAGGTTGGGCACAGGATGGATGACCAAAAAATATTGTCTCAAACAACTCCAAGATTCGGAAAGCACGTAAAGCGATCGGTCCCGGTTGTATTTGCAGTTGTCAATATCCTCCAATCCACATTGGTGCTATCGTGTCGTGGCCCATCCTCTTTAATCATCCATAAGGAAGGCCTGAGCTCCTGCAGTTGGTGACGTAAAAGGGCTGATGACGGTGATGAGGTCCGGTCAAATCTGACAGAAGCTCAGTTAAGCACCTCTCGGAAGTATGTTAGTAGACGATTGCCTTCAAGTGTGGAAAGTCGAAATTAAAATATGTATATATTTTTTTATATCAATAAATAAAACTCCACGTATCTTCCGTCAGACATGTACCGACCGACTTTTATTGACAAAGAAAAAGATCAGACAGAAAGCGCTCGGTCTCGGGAGACACTTGAAAAACTCGAAGCGTATTTAACTGCCCATCGCGAGGCTCATGCACTATAAAGTTGAATCTGAAGCATTTATCGTTAGGGACAATCTCTTGAGCTCTCGGAGAACTCATACAACAAGCATGGAAACGTACACAACAAGCATGGAAAGGAAACTTCTAAAAATCGCATAGCACGTCTAACTGCTGATCGTAACATACATGCAGTATGGTATGAGTATGAAACTTCCTTTGATAGGGAAATGCACTTGGTCTCTTAAAGAGCTCGCAGTTTGCACAATAGAGAATGAGAAAGTAGTTTTGATTATCGCCAATCCATGTTGATTTCATATTCCACAGGCGTACCGCTATAAGTTTTCACAGGGTATAATGAACTTGCTATTTTCCCACGACTGCCGCAAAATTACAGCCTATGACATGCGCGTCTGATGTAGCTTACCGTAGGTCGGAATCGCTCTAAAACTATCGGTCCAGTAGTTTTAGAGCAAATTCGATGCAAACAAACAAACAACCAAATCTTTCCTCTTTATAATATTAGTATAGCTTATGTATAAAGGATTCGATGCCGTAGTGGGTTAGCGCATTCTGTTTAAATTGCAGTTAAATAAGTAAGTAGCTACTGCATAACAAGGACATACATGAATACTTATTTTACATAACTAAGTACACACGACAAACTCGCATACAACTAGATAAATAATAATATTTGAAAAAGATCAAAAACAAAAGAAGGACCGTTTAAAGGTACGAATAAAATGCTCAGACACAAGCGACGACCAGAGCGCGAAAAACGAGAAAAAATTAGAAAAATAACATTCGTAAGGACAGGATGGGTGACCAAAACTTTATTATCTTGAGCACTGTGTACAACACTGGCATAATGCACGTTAAGCCGTTAGTCCTGGCCGCATTAGCAACGTTAACACCCATCGATCCGCATTAAGTCCGCGTAGTGGGTTACGGCCCATTGATCTTATTCGATTTGACTGCATTCATAGGAAAAAAAGAAGAAAAATACTTCCCACGCAGACGAAGTCGCGGGCACAGCTAGTAGTAAATATATTATTGTCACGATACATCATAAACCACATAAACTATTCATTGTAAACTATTAAAGATTACATTTAAGGTCAAGCTTGTTTCTCATTAATTACTAGTTTTTGTTTCATATAATAATTTTCTCATCAACCGAAGCTGAGAATGCTCTCCACTAAGTCTTCAATATTCTTTTTTAGTCCGCTTTCATTTGAAACCCCACTCGAGTATATTTGCAGATATTCGGTTATTCTTCCCTACTTTCAACCCTCACAACTTTTAAACGGCTAAACCGAAATTCATCAAACATGTCTAAGAACACCCGCATTTAAGTCACCTTTAATACAAAAAAAAAAAACTAAATTGAAATCGCTTTATCCGTTCGGGAGCTATGATCCCACAGGCACACTGACAGACACGTCAAACTTATAACACCCCTCTTTTTGCGTCGGAGGTTAAAAATGCAAATAGTTACGATTCTATTGAGATGCGATTATTAGCAGCCTGCAGATCGTCTGCTTAAAATTTATACCCACAATCTTATTTATATCTTACTAGCGTTTTTTCTGCGACTTCGCCTGCATGGTCCAGTTTTAAGTAATGAAATAAGAAAATTCCATAAAAACTTTTATCCCCTAATTTAAACCCTTAGGGATCAAATTTGGTAAAAACCCGTCTTAGTGAGCACCTACGTTCTAAAAAGAACCCGCATGCAAAATTTGAAACTCCTAGCACTTGTAGTAACGAAGTTACATACAAACTTTCATCCCCATATTAGCTCCTTTGAGGTGGAATTTTCAACAATTCACTCTTAATGCTCCTTAAGTAATCTTCATTCCAAATTTCGACTTTAGTTTCGGCTGTACGTTGTTTGTGAGTCAGTCAGTCAGTCAGTAATGCAAGAATATAAGTAAAAATTATTCAGGTACTTTTGTTCAATAATATTATCGTAGACAGGGGAAATTCAGGTAACTTATAGCTATTTTCGAAGTTTTGCAGTTTGTAATAAGATTTTTTTCTATATTTAATCAAAGATATTTCAACATTTCGAGTCTGCTACGAATACTCATGTATATATTTTATTTTTTTATTTCCTTTATTTAGACCAGTACCTCAATTCAGAAGCTCAAAAAATTGGCATTGCGCATTTTGTAAAATTCTTTTTTTTTTACAGTTTAGCGTTTAAATAATAAGTAATACACGATTTAAAAAAAGCGAAGCAGCTACGAACTATGTCCATTCCGACACAAAGAACGCCAAATTGACCATTTTAACCAAAGTGAAATGTCAAAATGAAATGGATCCCTTGAAAACTAGTAGAAATTCGTCTTTTTGGGCAGCAAACGATAAAAAGATAACATGCACGAGTAGTATCGAACGATCGAAGGTTACTTATTATGAGTTTCTGTTGTTTGTAACTTAATCAGATGAAAATATATCGGTAGTGATGCTTATACAACATCTATAGCGATTTAGTTATTCGAACATACATATAAAAGACGAAAATATATCTGATAATAATCAATCATGGTGATATGAATAAAAAACAAGTCAATATTTACCTGAGTTTGCTAAAAGTCTTATTATAATATGTGATAATCTAATTCGACAATCTTCCTAATTACCCAGAAAAAGTATTTGTTGGGTGATTAGAAGTTGTATATATACTCTTTATCGAAAGTTTTTGTAGAAGTATTGAAAAATGAAGCTGTTGGTATTGTCTGTGCTGTTAGCTGGTGCGTATTGCATAAGATAAGCGAAAGCTCTATTTGGATATCAAAATATTTTTACTAAAATATCATTCCTCTTCTTCTTGAATTTGTATTCACTTATTGGGAAATATTATTTATTAATTATTATTTCTTAATAGCCATTTTTATGTTTTTTTTTTTACAATTAATTGTTTTAATAATATTGTTAAATTTTAAATAAAGCATATCGTTACTGTAAAATTTGCTATAAAAAAGAAATTTAGTAAAAACTTAGCCGTTAGAGTTGATATATTTAAACAGCGTGAAATATTGTGTCGTCAAATATCAAATGGTGAATGATTTATTAATTTACCAGTTTGCAACGGCAATCCTGTCCCAACGATACCTGGGGATAACAGTTACTACGTGGAGGGAGAGAGCCGTTATATTTGGATGCCAGATGGCGAAGGTGTACCGCACTTGGTGGATCTGCAAGAGCCTGTAGACCAGATGGTTCTCAACAGTAGAAATGGAGCGAACAACCAATATTGGCTATTCACTAGGTTATTGTGTTCTTAATTTTCATTATCAGTTATAAGTATGTCAATTTTCAAGTATATAATAACTTATCATTTTGCTTCTAGACAAAATCCCACGAGCCCTCAAATTCTCGTCCACAACAATATCAACAGTGTCAGAAACTCCAACTACGCAGCCCACCGCGGTTTGAAAGTAATCGTTCATGGGTGGAATAGCAATGGAAATACCCAAATGAATCCACTTATCACTTCTGCATTCCTCGCTGTCCAAGACGTGAATGTTATCGTTGTTGACTGGCGCCAGCTCGCTAACACTGGTTATAACACTGCTGCTTCGGGAGTACCAGGCGTAGGTCAATTCTTGGGCAATTTCTTGCAGTGGCTTATCAACAATGCTGGTGGCAACTGGAACAATGTCCACCTGGTCGGCTTCAGTTTGGGTGCTCATATTGTCGGTAATGCTGGACGTCAGGCTGGTGGCAGACCTTCTAGAGTAACAGGTTTGTTTAATCAAAATTATCCTAGAGTAAAATGAGTACAAGATTTCTTAAATATTTCCCTCAGCACTCCTATGGGAAAGATTCTCTTCCCGTAACGGGGGCTCGAAAAGGCGGTGAACGATACAGGAAAAGGTGCTGTGGGCTGTTTCACGCAGTGTTTGTTGGGAAGAATTCCACATAACCTTGCTGATCCGCTTTGGAAAAGCGGGGGATTCGTAACTACTGTTTGCCAAAAAAGTCGAGATTTCTTAGAATTATAAAGATTATGTAAATTCTTAAAATTTAGATTTAACGTTCGATTAATTTCTTAACAGGTTTGGATCCCGCTGGTCCTACGTGGGGTGGTAATCCAAATGCTTTGAATCGTAATGCTGGACGTTTTGTTGAAGCAATTCACACCGACGGTGGATTATTGGGCATTATGAATAGCATAGCCGACGCCGATTTCTATCCAAACGGCGGAAGAAATCCTCAACCTGGCTGTTGGATAAGTACCTGCTCTCACGGCCGTGCTACTGAATTGTTCGCGTCGTCTGTTCGTCAGTCTAACCGTTTTGCGGGAAGCCGTTGTCCCAATATTTGGGAAGCTGAACTTTCGACTTGTCATGGCGATATATTGCACATGGGCAATGGCGTTATTAACAAATCAGGGTAAGTAAAAGTCTTTTCATAACTATATACTTCCGACAGCGGTTTCGCCCATGTGGTTCTGTATTATACATGTTAACTTTCTTATTACAGATTATTTGATTTTTGTTTTAGGCGCACTTAAGAATTTTATTTGTGTTATATACCCGATTTTCTGTTTATTTATTTATATTTTATTTCAGATCTGGACTCTTCGCTTTAAGAACCGGCAACGCTTGGCCTTTCTAAGGAACATCGTTGGCAAAATGAAACTCATAAAATAAACTAAATATACTCATAAATATGTATTTCATTTCTTATAACTTAATTATAAGTCTTAGTTAAAAGATTCTGAATGTAAACGTCAAAAGTAAGTGTTAATAAGTCAAATTTAATCCAAATGTGAACCTAGGTCATCATTATCAGCCTTTTTATGACGTCACAGAAGGGGCTCAAGAAAGTTTAAGGTAAGGTAAGGTTAAAGTTAAGGTAAGTTCTCCAAAGGCACAAGAACGACCTGTGGTTGGCTCTGAAAAGAGCCTTTTCCTTCTTGCCGCGCACTTCCGCCAGCGCCAGGCCCATCCCCTCTGTTCGGGGACTCCAACACCGCAATCAGCGCACTTCCGCCCGCGCCAGGCTCATCCCCTCGATTCGGGGAATCCATCACAGCACACCGCTCACTTCCGCCCGAGCTAGGGCCTTCCGCGACGTCAAAAGGTTTATTTTGTGAGTTAAAAGAATCCATTTTGAGTCCCACGAGTATAACGGTTATATACTGACCACCAAGACAGAGCCGAGTATCTTGGCTAGGCTAAGGTTGTGAAGGTGGGGGGCGCCTGTTCCCCACATCCAGAGGACGCGTAGCGACCGGCAAAAACCGCCGGCCACGAACCCCTCAGCCGCGTCTACCTTGGGCTGGTTGTTTTTTATTGTGGTTGTCTCCACTCGAGGACACCCAATTAAGGGCAGCCCCACCCCGGCGCTGCGCTTGCAGAGTAACGGGGTCGGCCGGTGGTTGCTGGAAGACAGCACCCGACGCTCACGCCGCCGTGACACGTCAGGCCCACCGCCCTCGCTGGCGCGGTCGCTACCCGGGATACCCAGGACGCCCACCCAGCCCGAACCGTGCTGCCGCTTCCCGACTTACCGTCGGGGCGCCAGCCCGGATCCCACACGACAAAAGTGCTAGGAGAAAGCTCCCAACACACAGCCACGACGACCCATAAAGGGCCAACGACGGCCTCTAAAAGGCCGAAAACCACCCTCACCATGTCCGACTGCCGCTACTCGGAATATGTCCGAGACGCCAGTCGGGCTCCTCTTTTGTCACTCGTTAGCGCCACCCGGGGGACACGTGCAGGGTATCAAAGGGCCAACGCCTGCGGTCGTGAGTGACTCGTCCCCCAAACTCTGTATTACTAACTCAACCTATGAATATCTTTCTTAATTCAACCTAAACGCGTATTCTTTACTCATTCTGATGCAAATATTACTAAAAAACTATGGATAGCACAAAACTTTTAATATTTTTTACAGAAAATTATTATTATATAATATAATTACTTTTCTAATATTATAAATGAACTGTGCGTGTTTAATTTTAATAAGTATCATTACATACTACTACTAATTATTTGTGATTATACTTTATAGACATAATTTATTTTCCATTAAATTTAAGATTTTAAAACATTATTTTAAAGAAAGTTGTCAATGAAGGATCGTGACTGCAAATTAATCACTTATTACATATAATTTTATCCTATTTTTATTGTTTTATCTAATAGAACAACAATTGAACAAGAATTAACCTGGATTAAAAAAATAATGATATTATTTTTGTTCAGACCGTATACAGAATTCTTGTATTTTATAGGTGATTTAAACAAGGATGAGTTAGGAATACTGATGGAATGAATAAGGAATTTAAAATTAAATATATTGTTGCGGGTTGAGTAAATAAGTAAGGAAAAATACTATTACCATTTTATTGTTTTGCTTTAAGTTGAAAACTAAATGTTGATTGAAGTTTAAAAAGAAATGTGAATTTGATTAAGGTTGTAAATATGTTGATTTTAAATGAAAATAAATGTTAATTTAATTAAAGTTTCAAAACAAATACTTTTGAAGTTTGAGGTTTCAATATATATTTAGACTTACACCCAGTTTCTGAATAAGTGTTTGAAGTTAGGCACGTCTCAAACTGTACTTAAACGCTTTTTATTTTATTGAAACACGTTTTTATTTCTGATTTTAGTCCCTTTTATTGTTGATAGCAGTTCGATAAAAACTATGACTTTTTGCTTAGCGAAAAGTAAGAAACAATTTTATTATTAAGAATCAGTTGAGATTTTAGACTTCTCTCAATTTAGAAACCGGTTGTAACTTTAATTGCTTTATTTTTTTACTTTTATTTAACATATTTTTCATAGACTTTCGATTTTTTCGACCATAATATAAGAAGTTTTTTCTTTAAGTTCTATACTATGTCCTGTTGCCAAGAAAATGGAAGTACTAGAATCGAATATATTCGGCATCAAAATCGAATAATTCGACTGAACACAAATAGCGAAAAAGATGCCGAATATCGACGAGCAAACAAATATTTGTTGCATCTATATTCAAAAATAACCGGATTTTTATTTCAATTTCATTTCTTTCACACAAAATAACATTTTCTTTCTCAGAATCTTGCTAAGTCTTAAAGTTAATACATTTATCTATGCCCCGTATTTTCCTTGTTTATCATGATATATGTGCTTAGGCATCTTTAGAAATAGTATACCTCCTCTTATTTTTCAATCAAGAATCCTTTCAATATTATGTATTCTTATTATGTAGGTATCATTTCAAGCATGAGATACTTGTGAGTTAAGTCTTACGTAGCTAAATAAGGCGATAGAGCACGATTTAGATATTTAGCAGCTCCGGGTAAATAAATTATATTAACTGACCTTTACACTTGCGCTTAGAGGTGTAAACGCAGTTGCGCGCCGCATTAATTAATATAATACATATAGGAGAATTCAATGTACGTTCGTAAAAAATATTAGTTTGTTTTCTATAAAAAGTGATGTACACAATTTTAATACAAGAAATAAAAAACATTAACGGTGCCTGTCACTAGACTGTAAAAAGTTAATAACTCATTCAGGGGACTTTGTGTGCGCTTCTACAATAAGTTCCCAAGCAAAATACAACAATTAGATATCATGCAATTTAAATCTACTATTGAAAAAATACTTATTAAAAAAGCTTATTATAAGGTATCCGATTATATCACAGATAAGAATGCTTGGACTTGAAATAATCCAGCAACTGGATAGGTGATTCATTACTTCTTAACTCATTATATATTAAAAATTATCTTGCTTCCATTATTTTTAAATGATTATGTTATCATTATAAGACCGTAGTTTTTTTCTCTCTCTCTATATTTATAATGTATTAATCTGGTAATGACATGGTTTTTGTAAATGTCATTACTCCTATTAGAGCTGGTGAGTTTCTTGCTCGTTCTTCTTATCTGCCAAAAGACGTCCTGAACGAGCGGTAGGGAAATAAATGTTGGACGTTTCAAAAGTACTTTTAAGAAGTCTATTTGAATAAAGATTATTTTCACTTTGACTTTTAAGCATTTCTCATTAAGAATATTTTTGTGAATGCAAAAATAATTATGCTATGTATATCATCAAAGTATTTACGTTGAAAATCAAGTAGAGAAATTTGACAGATCTGTAAGCCTGACGTGCTATTGACTGAACAAAATGATATAAGATTTTTTTTCCGATTTAGGTGCTGTTTAAAATACAAAATAAGTTAAAGTAAATGTCAATTATCAGACGTCAGAGTTGTCTTATAATGAGAATGCAGAAATAATATAATATAAGTATTATCAAAAGAAATTATGTGGTAATAACATGCTTTAAATAATTATAAATAAAAAATAATGTAAGCTATGTCTAGATTTTTTCAAACATTTTCTATAATCATAGGTGCTTTATGTTATATGGAAAACTTAATCGATTTTTGCTTGAATATGAGAATAATGAAAAAGTTTTTTATAAAAATACATATGCAGGTTGCCTGGAAAAAAATACTTTTAAACCGATAAGGCCGCCTATTGTGCAAAATGAATTTAAACTTTTAATTGTCTTTCTTTTTTTAATTTTGTGTTTTGTAAAATCAATAAACCATTCTTATAGCTATATTCGTAGTAGCTAGAGAATACAGTTGGTCAAGATGAGCATGACGCATTTTTAAATATTTTTCTGTAAGATAAATATCGATATACCTTTATAATTGCAAAATCAAATTGTCTATAAAATTATGTTCTATGAAAACGCAGTTTATAATTTCGGGTAAATATTTAATATAATAAGAATTTCATATTCATTAATTACTGAATAGCTCTAATAGAGTACTAGAGTACTTACTAATAGAGTAGCTCGGTGGCGTAGTGGATAAGCGCCGCGGCCCGCGATCGTAGTCGTTAAGAAGGAAGGCAGGAAGGCACGTTAAGCCGTTGGTCCTGGCTGCATTTGCAGTCGATAATACCCTCCAATCCGCACTGGGCCAGCGTGGAGGGTCATGGCCCATCTTCCTTAACCATCCATAAGGAAGGCCTGAGCCCCTGCAGTGGGGACGTAAAAGGGCTGGTGATGATGATAATGATGATGAATCACGGAATTGTTATCCCACCAAAAATATTTTCATATACAATGTAACAAACACGACACACACGACAACATAACTCGCACTGTCAAAAAGATTTCATATTTTATGTAGAGCCAATTTCCTAACTCTACAAGCCTTAATTTTACAAACTCAATACAATATATTTGGCTTGACTGTTTTGATACCGTCACAAAGGCGTAAGGTTATTAATGTATTGTTTATTATTTTGCTGATAAGTAAAATATAGTTCTTGTAGTTATGAAGTAAGTAAGTAAGGCAGTTACAATCTTGCCAAGTGTGGATCTACTTTTATTTCTCGTAGTATATAATCATTTTGTTTATATTCTTTGGGTACAATTAGAGTAGAAGCGAGCGAAGCGAACTTCATCAATGATATAAGTCAATACTCTTATTGTCTCTTCTAGCATTGCCAACTTGATTTAGGCGGCCAATAGTTTTAACCAATAGGGATGATGATAATTTTTGTTTGTTTGTCCGTCAGGTAGAGTGTTTTAAAATATTAAACAGGTATTTTTTTATTTTTTTCATAATCATAAAATTACGGCGTTACATTGAGTTGAAATTTCGCATGACGTCACGTTAGAGTACGTTTTCTACTCAACTGTGACGTAGCGAGCCCCCACTCCTCAACTTTAATGCCTGTTATCTATGCTATTTCTTGTTAAATTGAAGTAAAAATAAATACGTACATAATATTTTTCTATTATCTGACTGACGGACTAAATAGAATTGCATTTTTTAACCCAGTCATCATCCCTATTACCAACAATAAAACGTATGGGATGCAAACAAAGTATGGTATTGTCCACCCGTCACGCTCGTGACTTTCCCACTGTGTTTGTACACTTTGAGATTAACGTGATATAAGTAGATATTTTGTAACAAACCTTTTTAATCTTTTTTATAAATTTTTGATTGTAGTTACATTGCAACTGATATCAACTAAATTAAGGGATAATTATGATAAAAAACTACATATATACAATGGTTTAATGGATTAAATTGTCTGCACTTTCACAATGAAACTCCTAGTAGTGGTTGCCGCTTTCATCGCATGTATGTATTATTGTTAAAATTACTTTACTTTATTTATTATTTTTTCTTAATTAAAAATGATTAAAAATCCGGTACTCAGAGATAGGATCGATAGGATCCAGCACTTATCTCGGAGTGCCGGAAACAGAATGGCATTTTTTATAAAGAATATTTACATTTTCTTCTAAATATTTTGACTGCATTTATTGTCTTTCACGGTTGTTATATTCTTGTCTGTAAATGTCAAATGCATTTTTTTTCAAATTAACGTCTATTTCACAGTATGCGCTGGTAGTGCTATTCCTCTTATCCCAGGGGATAACAGCCACTACGTGGAAGGAGAGAGTCGCTATATCTGGATACCGGACGGTGACGATGTGCCTCAACTGGTCGATCTTCAAGAACCTGCTGATCAGGCATTGCTGATGTCCAGGAACGGAGCCAATAATCAATATTGGCTTTTCACGAGGTAAATTAATAAATAAAATAGATTAGTAGAAACTGAAAATAACAAAACAGACCGGCGTAAGCTTCTATCTTGTGTTAGTCCAAGTATTGTCGATTGATTGCAGTCTAAGTTTGCTTTTAAAACTGGGCTTAAGAAGCATTTCCTTAATAGTCAATGCAACATAGAAAGCTGTCATATACCGTAACTTATCATCAATGGTTTTGTAAAATTTTATTTATAATTTGAATGAATTTGTGATATGATTCAAATGGATATTTAAAAATTAATTTAATTTGTTATTTTATGTATTATTTTGTTTGTTATTTCGATTGTATTGGACAATTTCTAAATCATAATACACAACACACATTTAGAAAAATTCACTTGGGATATTCTTATCTTCTGCTTTACACTGCGATGTTTTAACATACTTTAGTCTTATAAATAACAACTCACGCGCAACTATTAGCCTCCGTCTGAAAATCAGCGTCATGACGATAAGAGTTTTGTCGTCGTGATATACATATGCTGAGCCGGAGACTTTTTCTCCACTGTGGCACAGCTTATTAGCCAATATAGTTTTTTTTTTAATGATGTCGTTATTGCTTTTGTATAATACTGTGCAACAATGTGGGAAATAAACTATTTATTATTATTATTTTTTTTTACCTTTATTGTTTGTATTCAGAAATACCAGCATAGGATGGAAACTCAACAATTGCAATGTATGGGCTCTCTTATAGGACAGCGTTTCGTTCTTGATGATAGCTAATTAAATTAAGAATAGTTGTTGTGTTTATTTTTCTTTTAATTATTACCCTTGACTAGCTGAGAATTATATAAGTATGCTAAAGTATGATTGATCTAAAGCCTATTTCATATAAAATAAATTATATTTACTCATAATTGTTTTTGTATAGTTATCATACAGTACAATTTGATAAAATTTCAAGATTGTGTAGCATACTTAATTCGTACATAGTTATTAATTTACTGTATATTTTCTTTTTGTCCAGGCAAAATCCAACTTCTCGGCAAGAGCTGGTCAATGGCAATATAAATTCGATTAGAAACTCGAACTACAGAGGTAATCGGCCAACTAAAGTCATTGTTCACGGCTGGAACAGCAATGGCTACTCAAATATTAATCCTATGATCAGAGATGCATTCCTCGCTGTGGAAGATTGCAATGTAATTGTTGTTGATTGGCGTGCTCTTGCTAACTCCAATTACGCCAGCGCTGTAATCGGCGTACCTAGTGTGGGTCAATTCCTTGGGAATTTCTTGGTTTGGCTATTTAATAATGCTGGTGGCAATTGGAATCAGCTGCACTTGGTTGGCTTCAGTTTGGGCGCTCACATAGTTGGTAATGCTGGTCGTCAGGCTGGTGGTCGTCCAGCCAGAATCACAGGTCTGTAAATTTTTTTATACTCTCTATTTTTGCTCAAAGTTTTGCAAATATATTCGGATGTTGATTCTATAAATAATGATAACTAGTTGAACTTGAAAGACTTAGGTCAGTTGCACATTCGTCCATGACGTCTTTGACCACTAATGAATGTCAAATTAGTATGGGTAATGTCGATTTAAACTAATGACAATTTAAATGGACGTTAGATAATTGTTAAATAATATTTTATTGGTGAAAAAACTGCTTGACACTTGTCTTGTCTCCTGGGTATTTAGAATTTTTGATCGTGTTAAAGGTGAACTGTTTTCTTTAAAGGTTTGGATCCTGCTGGTCCTCTATGGGGTAATAATGGCCAAGCCCTAAATTCCAATTCTGGAGTATACGTAGAGGCTATCCATACTGATGGTGGTTTGCTCGGAATTTTCGATCGTGTCGCCAACGCTGACTTCTACCCCAACGGTGGCAGAAATCCACAGCCCGGTTGTTTTATAAGCACTTGCTCGCACAGTCGTGCATATCAATTATTTGCTGCCTCAATACGTTACAACCGCATGGGTGCACGACAGTGCTCTAACAAACAACAGGTTCAAAACAACCAATGCTCTGGTTCAGCATTAAATATGGGCAATCATATTCTCTCAAAGCGAGGGTGAGTTACCTTTCTTATTGTGTAGAACTAAAAGTAGCTGTCATTGAGTATGTATAAGTTGTATTTTAAAAAAGAACTATGGATTTATTCGACAGAAATAGAACTTTAGTATTAATTAACACTGGTTTAAGCTGCAATTCACTTAATCAAAAGTTTGTCTTTAACTAGTAAAATAGATAATATCACATGCATTGCTCAGATTCTAAGGTGAATAGCTAAAGCCTCCGAATTATGGAGTATCTGAGACAATGATTGTACACATAGACCAGAGATAATATAGAAAATTTATTTTTCTACGTTGACGCGACCGGGAATCGAACTCAGAACCGCAGACATTTTGAAACCGGCGTGCAAACCACACGTCTACGGAGGTCGTTTATTATGAACTAAATTGTCTACCAATATAAGCATCAGTTCTCAGTTTAAATTGTACCTATATGAACTTCGTTAGATATAAAAATAACATTGAAATTAGTAACTATTATCAAATGGAAGATGTGACAGAATTTTTTCTTTTCAGAAATGGTATCTTCAGAGTAAACACTGGTTCATCGTGGCCGTTTTAAAATACGACCGTGAAAAAGTTATAAATTCCATGATATTTTGTCACTTCATAAAATAAATTTTACAAAATAAAAAAGTATTTTTTTATTTAGTACCCTTACATTACCCACACGTCGTACACGTCACATAAGTTTGTTCGCTGCCCTTTCGCTTTTCATGCAGGCTAAAGAACCTTCTTTATTCTATCGTCATTTATGAGTCAAGGTATATACTACTATAACAAAATTCCTAAGGAAATTTTAAATTTACCATTACCTAAGTTTAAAACCCATATTAAAAATTATCTACTCAATAAACTATATTATACTGTTAATGAATATTTAAACGACAAAACTGCTTGGTGTTAAATATGGCTCATTTTTCATATATATTAAATTGTTTATCGGTAAGCTTCTTTGGCTACACATGTGACTGGATTTACGAAAATACTGTTTTACTCTTATATTGTGTAACATTGTAATGGAAAGTGACTTCAAATTTTAATGAAGTCATTTTTCAATCTTGACGCTCTGTATGAAATAAAACAGGGAGAAAAAAGCAGCCCTTGCCGAGTTTCTTGCCGGTTCTTCTCGGTACAAGGTCTTCCGCCGTAGATTTACGAACCGATGGCGTAGCTCTCGACTTTCACAAGTCCTTGTAACAGCCTAGACTGAATAAATAATTTTGATTTGATTTGACTTTTCCACAACACAAATTATGGCAAGAATGCGGTGATGTCACGAATTGTAGACAGTTATAATGGGTTATTTTATGAAACCGATCCTTTCATTGGTGGCAGAGTTAATTTCTTGGAAAAAGTCAAGTCCAAACTTAATTTCTACTTCTTGGTTGGGTGAGAAATAATATTAGAATTCAATGTCGATTCAAATTGTATCTGTATCTGCATCTGTGCATATATGTATAACATCTATAAAGATTTATAATTTTATGCTTATGATGGCATAATTGATTAGGTTGTGTAAGACTTTTTATGTCTAAGGCTTACTGTTATTTTCATTGTTGGCAAGTTTTTGGCCGGATTTATTGTAACTGTAATGATGTCTTTTGTTTTTTATGTTGGAATGGCTATTATTGTCTCGAGTTAATAAAATTAATAAAATATGACATAATTACAATGTTTTTTTTGGATGTTGCATGATTTGAATGATATTGTAAATTGAATGTCCATTATTTAATGCATATTATTACCACATCATTAATTGGTAGAGTTAAGAGTTAAGACCCCTTAAGACTAATGTTTTTAAATTAGTAAAATATCTGATATATAATTATTAGTAGTAGTAATAAAAGAGAAAATTATAACATGATATTTTATAATAACAACATCAACGTAAGTACCCACTATATAGTGACATATTGTCCCAAATCGTATAAGAAATTATTGCATTAATAATTATTAGTAGGCCTTATATAAAAAATTTGATTACAATATAGCAAAATAGGGGTATATTCTTATATACTTCAAAGTTTCTTATTTACTTTTTAGTTCATTAAAACAAACGCTTATTTTGAGTAATTGTAATATCACCTTAAAGGATATAATTATTATTATGAATACCCATGTTTTGTAAAAAATATTTAATTAATTTTCACTTATTTATGTTTATAAAGAAATGAAAATTACTATGATTAACAATCAAAATTAATGTCAACAACCTACACAATATCTCCGCCTAACTTCAATAAAATTTTAGATTTTTTATGTATTTAAAATTTTTAACGTATTTGAATTCTGTTTCATATTTAAAACTAAACGTTTGAAATTGTTGTAAGATCTATGACAGATAAAATTTAACAACCGTCAACAGTAAATTATATTATAATTATAAAAATAAATATGTTTTCTTTCTTTTTTTCTTAAACTGGCTGTTTTCTCACGATTTGGTCAGCATAAATTATAGCCTATATCACCGCGTATGACGTACCTTCCCGTTGGTGAAAAAATTTAAAAATAAGTTCAGTAGCTTAGGAGCCTATAACGCTAAGAAACATAGATATCTTTCCTTTTTCTATTAATACTATATACGATAACAACACATACATTGCTCGCATACAATGTATCAAACGGAAATCGAACCCGAGACCACGGATGGCGACACCTTGAAATTGGCTTCATTCTTCTTCATCAAGGAGGTCGTTTAAGTATCAAAGATTTATATTTTTTTGCAGTGAAATTTGATACAGGTAATATTCCTTCGTACTCGAATTATATATATAAACATTGGATTAGGAATAGGATAACTTAATGTCAAAATGGCAATCCAATACGTAATTTGATAAAAAATATAAATCAATAACAGATTTATGAAAATGATAACAACACATTGTAAATAAGTATCCATCAATCATATTATCTCGACCAAATTATGCCTGAATGTATGCGCCTGAATATTAAAAAACGACTTTATTCAATATTTTAATTCATTATTGTCTGATTAAATTTTAGGAAATAATACTTCAGTATTATCTCTGGAACTCGTGCAACCATTGAGTTGCAGTTCAATGCCATTGCCATGCCATGCATACTTAATCGAGCATCGTTAATACGTCACCACTTTGACGGTTAATCCACGTTTTTAATAATATTTTTGGCTTAGACGCAAAAGCCTTTAAGCCTTCGATTTTATTAGTTTTTAAAGATTTTCGATGGAAGATTTTATATACTTGTATATAGGCACAAAATATTCAAAATTTAAGTATTGTAACAAAGGATGTTTAAGGATTTAAATAACAATACAATGTTTTAAATAAATACGACTTTTATTTAAACATCCTAAGTTAAAAATGAATAATAATAATTGAAACATGAATATGGTTAGTTATTTTAAAATGTGTTATTAGCGTTTTTTCCGCAACTTCGTCCGCGTTAATTATAGCTTTATATCATCTGCGTATTTTAAAATCGGCCCAGTAATTTTGGAGCCTATTCGAAATAAACAAACGATCAAATCTTTCCTGTAATTAATATTATAAATTTAATTTAACATTTTTATTTCTGACAATATAGATGACTGTAGAAATACTTTGATATAGAGGGCATTAGATGGACCAACTAGTCTTCGAAATAATATTATTTATCGGTCGTTATTAACATATTTGTTGGCATGGCGTTAGGGCTTTGCTTAGGCTTGTGTGGATTAAGTATCTACTTTGATTGAATTATTATCATAATTACGATTAAAAAGATTTAGATAAAAATTAATGGTATTTATTAATACATGATATAATATACATGTGGAGTCCACAGGCTGCTTTCATTATGAAGTTTTCGGTGGTCTTTGCTGCTTTAATAGCATGTTAGTATATACAATACTTAATTTTGTTATTTCTTCGTGCATTATATAAGTCTGTTTGTAATACTTTGCTATAGCGTAATAAAACATTTTCATTTTAATATTAGTTTTTAATACAGCCTGTATTTTATAGTTCTTAGATATTTGCGGCCAGTTTTAGGCGTTACTGGTTGGATACTTAGTATGCTCTAAAGAATCACCTATGTTTTATGTTTTTGAGGATAGCTATTAATTTACAAATGTACAGGTTAATTATTAACTGATTGATTTAATATAGCTTTACAGGTTTGTCTAAAACATCGTTATTTGTAATTTTTAATGGTTTACCATTTTGTATCTTAATCGACTAATAAGGATGTTTTTATACTGATGATTATTTTTTTAGTATGCTCTTCTAGTGTTATACCAGAAGTGCCAAAGGATAATAGCCATTATGTGGAAGGTGTTAGCCGTTACGTGTGGTTATCTAAAGACGACGGCGAGTTAGTTCAGGTAGATCTACATGAGCCAGTTAATCAGCAAGCAGCAGAGACCAGGAATGGAGCCAACAATCAATACTGGCTATTTACAAGGTTAGATATAATTGCTTTGGTGTGGATCTGAATGTTTGAAGTTTTATCATTCCAAATGTGTTTTGAATTAAAACTTAATTTAATTGAAAATCTTCAAAATTATATACAAAATTTATTTAATTAATGAAACATGAAGAAGTCAGTACGATTCATTTACATTTATACGAATTAATATCATTGTATTTCCTCGATTCGTTGCCAGGCAGAACCCCACGAACCAACAGCTTCTTGTGAATGGGAACGCCAATTCTGTCACCAACTCTAACTACCGAGCGAATAGACCTACCAACGTCATTGTTCATGGTTGGACTAATAATGGCAACTCACATGTCAACAACATTGTGCGAGATGCTTTCCTCGCTGCTCAAGACTGCAATGTCATCGTGGTTGATTGGAGTGGGCTTGCCGGTGGCTCCTACGTGAACGCTGTCAGCGGAGTGCCAAATGTTGGACAATTCCTTGGCAATTTCTTGAATTGGCTTGTCAGCGTTACTGGTGGCAACTGGAATAATTTCCATCTGATTGGATATAGCTTGGGTGCACACGTGATAGGTAGTGCTGGACGCACTGCTGGAGGAAGGCCGGCAAGACTGACTGGTACGTTTTACGTGTTTTCTATTTTTTTTTATATTTCACTGTTATCGTATGGGACCCACTAGAGAGTAATCATTTAAGATAAAATACCGAATGGTTGAAATAAGTTAATTAGACTACCATAAGTTTGTGACTGTTTTGAAAACAGTGGAAAATTCTATCTAAATAGTTATGTTCTCACTGACCTATACTTTCAACGTATTTGATTTGTTAACAGTAGAAGATGTTGAAATTGATACATTCTTGAATCAGACAGGCTGCGGAGGTATTATAAAAGGCTCCTTTAGTACCCTTTAGGTTGTGGAAACTGAAAAACGATATGCGATATCAAATACTGAATGGCATTTTAATATTGTTATAATTGTATTTCCAGGAATGGATCCTGCAGGTCCTCTATGGCAGACCAACTCTAATAGACTAACCAGTAACGCCGGTCAATACGTAGAAGGCATCCATACAGATGGTGGATTGCAGGGGATCTTTAATCCTGTCGGTGACGCAGATTTTTACCCCAACGGTGGCAGGAATGTGCAGCCTGGCTGTGATGGTAGTGGATGTTCACACGCGCGTTCTTTTGAGTTTTTCGCATCTTCCGTAAGAACCAATCATTTCGTTGGTAGACAATGCGCCAATCTGAATCAAGCTCAAAATGTGCAGTGCAATGGAGCGGCATTGAACATGGGCAACGGAATAGTGACGAAACGAGGGTAAGTAACTTAGTTTATTGACTACATTTTAACAACTTCACAAGATTGATATTGTTAGATGCTGAGCAAACTAGATATTTCGGACCAGAAATAAATGATGTGTCAGAGTTAAATAAATCAATTTGCATCCGGATTGCTTGACAAGTACGGACAGTTCGAATGGTGAAAATTGTTGATTTTTTTGAACTTCCACAAATATTTCAAAACCAAAATTCCCAATCCGGTTCACCGTTTCTCGAGTGTTAGTGAGGCTAAAAATCTATTTAATGTATATATGAATATAAATAAATAATAGAATATTTGAAAGAAATACGAGAGAAATAACGTTTTTTTATTTTTATACGAGTTTTTATAAGAGTTTGGTGATTTATTCTTTTCCAGGACCGTCTTGGTATACCAAGGTTGTAGATTAGTTTCAAAGCTTGTTTCCAATTTTTTCAGTATTTAATTTATCGTTGGGGTAATACTGCGAAACGATACTAAAATGTTTCCTTTTAATTTCAGAAGCGGTTTATTTGGATTAAGAACCGGAGCTTCTTGGCCTTTCTAATAAAAGTTCTCAAAAGCTCTTATTAGTTTTTTTTTTCAAAGCAAATTACATATCCATAATCCTAATACAATATCCAATACATAATCCTAATAGCTATAAACAAAAAATCATATACTTAGCCCTTCCAAAAATGAGCGCAACAAATCTGCTGTAAATATCAGTGTCTCAACTTCATACAAGTGTCAAATTTTCTAGCCCTTAATTTATGGTGACGTAACACAGAAAACTTTTAATTTGTCGCCAAAATGTAAAGGTAATGACAAATGAATAAAAAACAAACTCGATAACATTAGCAAAGAGTTCCATTTTCAAAATTTAAACTTATATTCTTTATTATATTTATTACCAGCTTTCCGTCAGTGTCATGACACGGATATAATTATAACGACAAATTGAATCTTAAAAAATGGTTACTATGTCAATGTTTTAATTCCCTGTAGAAACTTTCACTCTCATTTTCATCCCTTAATTTGCCGTTTTTCGGGATGAAATATCCTATGTTGTTCACCGCAATATGATGTAGCTTCCCGTAGGTGCAAGAATTTTTAAAATCGGTCCATTAGTTTCAGAGCCTACATAAACAAACAAATAAACATCAATACTTTCCTCTTTATAATATTAGTATAGACAAGTGGCCAGTTCTAAAAACTTTCAGTGTCGCCCTCTTAGAGGGTGAATATATATTCAAGATATAATTTTTCTTTTACTTTTAATTATTCCCGTGTGAAATAAACAATATCGATTTTCATACGGCAATATAAATTGTCAACCGTTGACAACTGTCAAGTCAATGTGTAAATGTTGTGAATTTTTGTGAAAACATTAATTTATATTGTGTAAATGCATAAAAAGTCATCATATATCTTAAGCGAGAAACACTGTTTTAATGTTTATAGAAAAAATTGTGAAAAGAAGCTAAAGATCAACGAAACTTTTCGATTTGAAAGTGTGTTTATAAATTGACTTGATGCTTATTTTTTCTAAAGAAATAATTTGTAAATTTGAATCTAAAGAAAAATACTTATTTGATTGTGTAACTTGTGTGCGAATTTACTGGTTAGATCTAAGCTATTTCTATATGTGGAAACCTATAATTGGCTTAATGTTTTTTATGCTGAAATCTATCATTTTTGTTTAGCTGTTGGTTTTCCAAGAATAATAAATAAAAAATAAAAAATATTCGTTGGCTATTCGACTGTTATAATAAAACGAAGTATTAGTATAGGAGATGACACGAAGACGTTTTTCTATGTAGCGGAATAATAGGAACGGTGAAAAAAAATATTATAAAAAAGAAAATTTTATGATTATTTAAGTAAATGTAACAAAGAGTTGCAATGTTTGTAGAGATTAGCAATAAACAAATGCATGAAGTAAAGCTTCTTTTATTTATCCGTGTTAGATTCGGGGTCAGGTAAAATATTATTGGGCTTCTCATTTGTACCGGGTGCAGTTCAATCAAAATATGAGATGTTAGTAATATAGAGTGTACGTGTGTATTTTTGTGCACTATATTATATCCCGTGGAGATGGCTAATCGATGTCAAAAATTATCGTGATCGAAATACAGTCAGGATTATGTTCAATGCTATGACTTATGAGGTAGTTATTTAATATTTTAATAATATTCAAAATATTACAAGTATTAAGACGTCTTTATCCTTCTATCCCTATGCTGCTTTCTACAAATTATAATTACCAGATTACCATCAGATTCCGGTACACTAATAGAACAATACAAATGATGTCAGTCATAATTTGTGATTAATTACACCTTCTGAGAGTCAATTAAATATTCCAAATAGTAAGTAATTCTAATAATCCATACATGTAGAAATTATAATGCAAATAAATTTTTGATCACTCCAAGAATGAAGATTCTTTACAAAACTCGGTTCTCAAATGGTTGATATGAACAAATTATTAGTATAGGAATACTACGTCATAGAATTCGTTCAAGATAATTATTATAATCGTCGATTATATGATAATGATACAATATAAATGGTTGTTAATAATATATGGTAATATTAATTATAAGTTATAACCGCCGCAATGAAGCTGCTAGTGATTTTAGCATTTTACATAACACGTTGGTATTTTGATAAATTATTTGTTAAATCATATTTCTCCAATAAGTTCTCTAATTTTGGAAGCAGATATAATTATCATCATCATCATTAAATCAGTGCGAAACGTTTGCTGACTGTATATATGTATAAGAAACCCATCGAGATAGTATACAATCCAGTTAAGTCCATAAAGCTGATGTGTGTATCCTTTGTCGGACTCGTTTTACCTCCGCGATAGCTGTCTGAACACTACGCCATGAAGCTACACAAGAAAACAGAAAAGATAAAGTTTATAGATCACGTAAAGGTGTGAACAATAAAAACGTAATAGCATCACTAGATGATGAGATAGAAACGATTAAGTACGCAATGAAAGTTCATTGGGTGTATCATAAATGAAACCTTAGCATTGGGAATACTAAGAAAAAGAAATTCAGACGGATTTTATTTTATATATTTACATTTTTATTTCAGTAAGCTACGGAAATTCTATTTCAAGGATCCCTTATGACAACAGTCATTATGTTGATGGTGTAAGCCGCTACATTTGGATGTCCAGGGATGATGGTGAACAGACTTTAGTAGACCTACATGAAAGTGTGGATAATCTTGAAAACACAAAGGCAGCTGGAGCTAACAATCAATACTGGCTTTATACTAGGTTAGTAACTGGTTAAACTCTTATCAAATGAGATTTTGAATCATTAGACCCAGATATTGGAGGCCTAGATTGCGACAGTCCATTACAAGAATGTGCAGTCTAACAACTGCTCCCAAATCTTCGTGAAGAGGCAACGTATTTGTACTATTAGTATGTAATAGTTGATATATTGCAATAATTGTATCGCTTCTGTGCGCATATTTGTTTTGTCTTCACATACTCTCATCACACCGGTTACGAGATGAGTTTGTTACTAAATACCGTTCCGTATTTTAAAAAACCATATTAATTACTTTGAAAAAGTCAATATTAAAATTAATTATTAATTATATGCTGTTTCAAAGCCCTTGTGAAAGTTGAAAATCCATGGCATCTTTTGTATTTTTTTGTAAGTCTATGGCGGGAGACCTTGTACCGAGAAGAACCGGCAAGAAAATCGGCAAGGGCTGCTTTTTTCTCCCTGTTTTATTTCATATAGAGTCGTTAAGATTGAATATTATTTCATTAAAATATGATGTCATTTTCCATTACAATATTAGAAAATATAACAAGGAGTAATAATGCGTACTCCATACAAAGTAAATAAAAATTTTGTCAATAAGTTGTATTATTGCAACTTTCTGTCGCTAAATTAAAGCACTAGTACATTTAGTTTTTTAAAAACATTAAACATCATTCAATTATATAGAGATAGATCATAGATGAATACGTATTTTTTGCTTCAATGTAACAAGAAACTACCTATATAATAGACATTAAAGTTGAAGAGCGGAGGCTTGCTACGTCACAACCATGCAAAAAATGCACAAAAATGTTTTACGACGCATCAACTCAATGTAACATCGTCATTTATTGATTATGCAAAAAAAAAAGAATGTCATTACTTCGACAAAGTAGAAGAGAAAAGCGTTCACATACAATTTAATTTTAAAAGTAGAATTAGAAAGAGTGTAATTTATCCAATAATACATGATTGCTGCATATTTGGATAAATTACATACAATTTAATTTTAAAAGTAGAATTAGAAAGAGTGTAATTTATCAAATAATACATGATTGCTGCATATTTGAATAAAAAAGAAAGAGTATAATTTATTTCATTTTTATAAAAATCCAATTATAGTTTTAATTATAATTCAGCTGTTGCTCAATGGGGTGGTTAACTCAGTGACAAACTTTTCATTAATCTTGAACTTTAAATATTTCAGACAAAATCCGGATGACTATCAGCTGCTAGTCCATGGAGAATCTAGCAGTGTAATCAATTCGTACTTCCAAGCGGATAAGATGACCAAAGTAGTCGTACATGGCTGGAATAATAATGGAGCGGATTCTGTATACAATCAAGTGATGAGAAATTCGTTACTTGACGCTGAAGATTGCAATGTAATAGCTGTTGATTATCGTGATATTGGAAGTGCGTTATACGTAGTCGCAGTAAATGGTGTCCCAAGTGTGGGCGAGTCGCTTGGTACTTTCTTGGATTGGTTATTGAAAGAAACTGGTGGGGATTGGAACAATGTCCATCTTCTTGGTTACAGTTTGGGCGCACACGTTATTGGCAATGCGGCACGCATAGTTGATGGTCGGCCAGCCAGACTCACAGGTTTGATTTTTATACCGAGTGTGTTATTTTACTTTAGCCAGACATATCTTCTGCAGATCTTAACCCCACAATGAAACAGAACATAGATTCACTATACTGCGGGGAAAACGGGACAGTTAAAAACTTGCAATAAAAAGTGTTTGTTAAACAAACTCTAAATACATTGTGACAGTATATATCTGTGTTCCCGGTTTCGATTTCATGTCGGGTCAGTATAGGAACATAAGTATTTTATATCGTCTAGGGTCTTGGTATTATGGTATCTTCGTTGTTTCAGATTTGCATAGTACAAAGACTAGCTTCTTTACTGCGGGTTTGAGCAATATATATGATGATGTAACTATTTTTATTTATTTATTAGAAATACGAATATCTATACTAATAATGTGATACTCTTAAAGAAACGCTTAAAAATCCACTTGGAATATTTTTCAAAACAGCATTCTGAATGAGAAATTGATCAGAAATAATGTAATGCTATTAACCTTTTTATTTGTTTGTAGAGGTAATCTTCAGGAACAAATACTACTGATCCGATTATAAAAATTCTTTCATCAAAGGGAAGCGACATCACAATTAAGTGAAGTTGCGGGAAAACATAAACTAACACAACAGATTACTAAATGTCATAATTCTGCAATAAAATTTCGAGTTCGGTTATTGATAGTTGAAGGATTAAAATATATTGCAGAAAAATTAAACCTTTTGGAATAACTTGACGACTATAGGTATATAAACATAACAGTAGCTCGGTGGTGTAGTGGATAAGCGCCGCGGCCCGCGATCGTTGTCGTTAAGCAACTTTCGCAAGGGTCGGTCACGGGATGGGTGACCAAAAAATTATTATCTCGAGCAACTCCGTGCTTCGGAAGGCACGTTAAGCCGTTGGTCCCGGCTGCATTTGCAGTCGTCAATACCCTCCAATCCTTCGGCATGAATGGGCCGGCTCAACCGGAGTGATACCACGGCCTCACAGAAACCGACGTGAAGCAACGCTTGCGTTGTGTTTCGTCGTGTGAGTTAGGGTACCGGAGGCCCAACCCCTCCCTATTCCCTTCCCTCTACCCCTCAACCCTTCCCTCCAAGGCCGGCAGCGCGCTTGTGGCCCCTCTGGTGTTGCAGGTGTCCATGGGCGACGGTAATCACTTACCATCAGGTGATCCGTCTGCACGTCTGCCCCCTATCCCATAAAAAGAAATTGGGCCAGCATGGAGAGTCATGGCCCATCCTTATTAACCATCCATAAGAAAGGCCTGAGCCCCTGCACTGGGGACGTAAAAGGGTTGGTGATGATGAAACATAAAAAGTATTTATTATGGAAATACGGAGGTTGAAAAAAATCCGATTAGCTTATCAAGGAATAATATTATTATTTAATTGCAGGTTTCGATCCAGCTGGTCCTCTTTGGCATATGCATCCTAATAGGTTGGACAGTAGTAACGCTCAGTATGTAGAAGCTATTCATACGAATGGTGGAGTTATGGGTATATTATCTCCAGTTGGCCATGTAGACTTTTATCCTAACGGTGGTGTAATACAGCCCGGCTGCTTCTCTAACAATTGCTTCCACGACCGATCATACCAATTCTTTGCAGCGAGCATAAACACAGGCCATTTAGTAGGACGAAAGTGCGAAAATATTTCTGAAGCTTTAAACAACAGTTGTACTGGAACCCCTTTACAATTAGGGGGTATAGATATTAATAAAAGAGGGTAAGTGACCAAAGCTTTGATGATTGTAATGCACTTTTATCGGAGATTAAATGTTATATTTGAGATCGTGGATTCCGTACATAGTGAAAAATTAAAAACTCTTTTGTTAACACTGAAGTGTAGGTCTGCCTGTTTGAACATAACACGCACTTATGTGAGTCGATATGTAATATAAATAAATGAGCTGTACAATTTTGAAGACTATATCGTGTAACATGGTATAGACAACCAGATAGCTTACTAGCTATCTAGCTACTCGCTTACTAGCTATCTGGTTGTCTATACCATGTCAACGAAATTCTACTGAATTTTGTTTCATACCATATGTCACCATACATCATTTTATAGAGCATTCAATACGTAGGCTTTAAAGAAAACTAATTTATTCATATCTACTTATTATTTAGAAATGCGACATGAAGAGAACGACTATTTCGATCTATCTTGGTATTGGGGTAACATACCACCTGGAATCTGGTGGCTATTTGTTTTCTGTCGGTTCTTTAATAAAGGGTTAATTTTTTTTTAATTTGTATCTCCGTGAAATAATATGGTAAACTAAAATATAAAGATCAATTATTATCATGAAGCATTTTCTGTGAATCAATATTATATGAATTGTCTGTCAGTGAAACAAAGGCAGTCCCCATGTGAAACGAAGTCAGGGGTTTATTTAAAAAAATCTAGAAATATCTACTGCAGTAATTTTATAAAATTAAAACAATATAGTTATACGTCCCGTAAATTGCTAATGTTTTTATCTTTCGAACCTTGTCTAAATAACATCTGCATGACGTCATTTAAAAATAGAAAGTATATATAGCACAAAATGCAAGTGATAAAATATTCATTAATTATTGAAATATATGTAAATAATCCCCATAATATTGTTAAAATAATTTAATAACTTTTAGTTTGTTAATGTACTGCATTAATTTTTGGAAAAGGTGATATTATGTGTTAATATAGAGGTATATGGAAAGTAAAAAAAAAATGAATTTAAGGTTCCGTTAAAATTAATGATTAATACTCACGGAACCTTCAGAATTGGACTCGCACCTTTTTCATCGATAATATACGGTAATGGAAGTATTTTTTAAATCGGTATTTTAAATATCTAATCGTCATTAGAATCATTATCTTAGGATTAAAATAAAAACAATAGACTTATAAATCTTTAATATTATCAAATAATGTTAGCCAGATTAGTAGTTCTACCTTATAGGTAATTTATTATGATTTTTACTTTGCAGGAGCGGTATTTTCGGTATGCGTACAGGCAGAGCTTGGCCTTTTTGAACAAGAAAACATTAAAAAATAATGTTATTTTATTATAATCAGTATGATTGAAATAAAAATTTGTTTAATGTCGTCTTGTGTTATTTATTTTATCTTTAATGTTTTTATTGTTCTTAAAATCCTATCACGATGTAGTGTAAAATTCTTTGCATGACCTTGTGTAGGTAAATATATAGATAAAGCGTTTATTATTTTGAAACCAACAAGTTATTAAACACATTATGATGTCAACAACATCAACATCATTTATTCCATAAAACAATATTCATTGTATCGGAAATTACAATATATTATCACAACAACAAAAATAAGATCAAATTATAAAACGATACAGAGTCAAATAAAATTCCACATGCAAAATAACAAATATATCAATGTCAAGGTTGCGCAACTTATGTCAAAACAATCATAGGTAAACAAAAAATGTCAAGTTATTTATTTTTGTCATTCAAGTGCTCATCGATTGAATAGTAGCACTTCTCCAATAAAAATGATTTAAGTTTATTTTGAAATATGTGATGACTGTCAATTTTTTTAAACTCTATCGGCAGAACATTATATAGCTTGCTGGCTTGGTACCTCACACAATGTATTGCAACGTTCAGTCTTGGTAAAAACTCATTTTTCACATCATTTCGGCGTGTTAGTTTCCTATGCTTTCTTTCCTCATTTGTTTCATATTTATGTATATTCTTTACAAAATGCGTAAGTAGGACTAAAATATACAAGGAGGTGACTGTTAATATCTGAAGTTCTACGAAATGCGGTTTACATGATTCTATTTGTGGAATTCGCATCATAGTGCGTATAGCACGTTTTTGTAGGACGAACGCTGCTGTAATATTATATTTATAGCTATTACCCCAGAACGTAATACTATACCGTAGCCTCGACTCAATAAGGGCAAAATAAACCAGTTTTAGCTGTTCTAAAGTTAACTCCTCTCTCAGACTACGAATACACCCAAAAATTTTACCGACTTCACCGAATCGACACCTAGCAGCCATCCGCGGCAACGTCCAACGTAAGTCCCTCTGTCTAGCAGTTGATCTGAACAACCATAGCACATGTCTTATTTTTGACTTCAAAATGCGACAATCGTTTTTAATGAACCAGTTTTCCAAATGCGACAGCGCAGTGTTCATTTTATGATTTAGTTCGTCCATTGAATTTGCGGAAAGTATGGCATTTGTGTCATCTGCATAAATTGTCAATCTTAAGTCAGATTGTACTGTTGTCATATACGCATCTAAGTCATTAACAAATATAATGAATAGAATCGGACCCAAAATTGACCCCTGTGGGACTCCTCTTTTTAACGACGTCAATTTTGACTTACATACCTTTTCCGTATTATCAAATATAGTTCTGGATTCAATAAACTGTTTGCGACCAGAAAGATAGGAATGGAATAGTTTCAAATTGGCATCTCTAATTTCGTAATACTCTAATTTTTGTAATAGTATTTTATGATTTATCGTGTCAAAGGCAGAACTTAGATCAAGAAATAGACCTCCAACCTTTAATTTATCATTAAGTTTGCAAACCACATCATCTATCAAAGTGTCAACAGCATCCACAGTTCCTAAGCGCATCTGATACCCAAATTGTCTGTCACTGAGTATTTGGTTTTGCCGTAAATGTGCCAGCAGTCTAACTTTTAATAGTTTTTCGTAAATTTTAGATAGAGTTGGTAACAAAGAAATTGGTCTGTAATTTTTTGGATCCGATTTACATCCTTTTTTGAACACAGGAAGCACTCTGGCAATCTTCAGTTGTTCAGGAAACAAATTTTGCTGAACACAACTATTAAAGAAAAGAGTCAAAGGTGAGGCCAATATATCAATATGATCTTTAATTAGTTGTATTTGAATTTCATCATGCCCGAAAGATTTTTTATTTTCCATCTGATTAATAAGTTTTATGAGCTCATGTGTGGTTTTTGGCCAAAATAGCATTGTTTCTTCAACCCTCCTTACGCTTCGTTCCAAGATCAATCGTGCCGAATCCGTACTCCCAGTATCATTATTAGTCGGAATATTAGCTAAATCAAAATAACTCGAGAAAACGTTAACTATCTCCTGTTCATCATTTATAAGTTTATTGTTTACCTTTAATATTATATTTTCCTTTGCCTTAGTTTCACCTTTTCTTCCTCTATTTATGACTTTCCAAATTTCTTTACTGCGATTTGTCACTTTTTGAATATCTCTTTGTATAGCCAACTGTTTTGCCTTTCTCAGTACTTTCCTATATATCTGTATATACATTTTTCTATATTTGCATGCAAATTCACCGTTATTAACTTTGATATTTAGTGTCAAAAACCTTTTCATTTTACAAGATACTTTGATACCCTTGGTTAACCATTGATGTTTATTTTTTACGTTTGGTTTTATTTTCATTATCTTTTTCTTAAAGCTATTTGTAAAAGCATTATTAAATTTGTTCAAGAATGTATTTGTACCCAGGCTAGTCCAGTCTGTTTTTATAATTTTCTGTCTAAAATTTCTCGATATTTTTTCATTGTATACTCTACGAGTTATTTTAATGCTTTCGTCAAGGACCCTCACATCCAAACTCGCTGCGCAAAACAAGGCAGCGTGACCATCAGCAAGACCATTATGTTCTATTCTAGTGTCTATATTAATGTGTCTATATGTATTTAAATTTGTAAATATGTTGTCAATACAAGATTCAGTGTCATTGCGCCTATATGTTGCTGTGTCAAATAAATACTTAAAATTATAGCATGTCAGTAGTCTTATTAATTCATTTTTTTTCGTATTTTCTTTTAAAAAGTCAATGTTAAAATCTCCACATAAAATACATTTCTTATCAAAAAAATGCTCCAAAAATCGTTTCAATTGTTCCATAAATAAATCAAAATTACTGTTCACCGGATTTCTATAACAACAGTTTATATAAACATTAAAATCTAAGTCTTTAATGCCACATATATCGAAAGATTCACTTTTATAAAGTGTTTTACAGAAAGATGTACCTGTGTATAACAGATAGAAAAAGGTCTAGGCTCCGTGCATTTAATCGAGCGAAACGACGGTTATGAGCCATCACCTCACAGTGTACCTGTATAGAAAAATGGTAAACTTACCCCATAATTTATAAGTCTACAGGAAATTGTAACAACTTTTATACATAAAGAGATCATTATATAATTATAGAGAAATCAAAAACAGACCAAAAGAGGATATTAATATTTATCTTGAAAGCGACTTGTTCAAGAAACTGCTATTGAGGTCGGGCAGCTATCATTTCTTTGATAATCTAGAGAAAACCTCCGCGCGAATTCAAAAAGAGTCTCTTGAATATGTCGCTTTCAAGATAAATATATCTCTCACTTTTTAAATTTGAAGTAGGTTACAGTATAGTATATAGTAGGTATCATGAAAAAAACATGTGTATCTAGAATTTGTTTTGCTTGATGTATGCATTTTGGCTAGTTAACAACGGGTTTCGAGCATCAAGTAGTCGCCAATGAAGTTACGCAGGTAGACCCATGGTCGCTATGTTACGGGTAATATGGACGCCATGCTCGAACAAGTGAAGTAAGAACAGCTTATCAATAGATATGATGTAGAACGACGAAGAATTGGAAATTGAAGACAAAATTGAAAAAAATCTTTTTTCAACTTAAGTTATTAGCACTTTTCTGTAACAAATTTATGTTGCGGTTGACCTTGGGTGCGCCCACCTAACTCTCTAGTCTTGGATCTGTAGTCTCTGTCATATAGCACCATAAAATAGCACAGTATGGGTACGGTGACGTTTGAGATGTTAAGCTTATGTGGTGCGGAAATAAAATAATCGATATTATAGAGTTCATTTCTAATAGAGATGATCGATTTTGGGGATCTATGGAAAAAACAATCAATAAAAATGTTTATTCATAAACAAAATGAAACGAGTCATCAAAATTACTTGATTCTGCACATAAATTACTCTACCCCAGTCATGTATAGCAAGGCCTTAAGTTATTCCAATTATTCTAAAATAAAATCGGCCTACATTTGAAGTTGTTTGATAGATAAAAAATCGGTCTTTTGTGTACAATTTTATTATACTATTTTATTTTTTATAAAAGTTGAATTTAATTGTCAAAAAAAATAGTGATTAAAAATTGTCAAATGATTACCGACCTGCGTACAATTATAACGATTTCATTGATTCAATCCCTATTAAAAAAACGATCCAGAACACGTTAAGTTGTTTGGCTTAATTTGCAGTCCTTCAACCATCCAATTTGCATTGGGCCCGCGTGGACAGTCATGGCTCATCCTACTTAACCATTTATAAGGAAGGCCTGAGCCCCTGCAGGGGACGTAAAAAGTCTGATGATGACGATGATGAAATTTATCATTCTACAGAACATTCACATTAACATCTTGGTATAACTATATTATGTTTGTTTAATTTATGTATTCACAATGACATATAGGTACTTTTCTCTACGATAAATCTATTGCATTATCTAAAAAGTAGTAGATATCTATAACGAAATGAATAATAGTTAGATTAAGTGATAATTTTTTATAAATAACTACACAGTGTTGAGTTAATATTAATAACCATAAAATGTGTGACGGTATTAATTTAAAAATAACTGTCCAAGGTAAATTTTTATTGCACCCTTTTCCGTTTCACATAGCCATATTGATAAAAAAATATCTGATTAGAAAAACCATGACCAAGTTTTAAAAACTGATATTGATTAAATCAGGATTAATATTCAGACTAATATAAGACTAATATAGAAGTTTAGTGTTCTACGGTAAATAAAATCACGATGTAATTAAAATGATATTTAATAATTCGTATACGAATATTTCTTTAGTAAAAGGGTTCTAAGTTAACGATAGATACGTTAGAAGGCAAAGGAAAGTTTACCATGAATTAGCTAGTCTACATAATTCTTGGTAAAATATAGTTCGTTTATTTCAAATTGTAAGTCTTCAGTTTTCTATTGAAAATTTCCAAAATCTTGAGGAAGGAGCTCGAACGTGTAGTGGTTAGCATATTGTGTGGAAGTCAAGAAAGTTTCGAAGACCTGGACATTGGAAGTGTGAGCAAAAATGTATTATTTCGTGCCCCGTGCTTCACAAGAAGACATGTTACACTGTCAGTGTCAGCAACATTTGCTGATAACATGCACCAATAGCCACAAGGTCGATGTGAGTCATGGTTAGTTTAGCTAGCCCAGTCCGCACAGGCACGGCCAATTAGTTGCGATATTAATAGGCTGATGGTGGTGACTGGGCCAGCTAAAAAGCATATGATTTAGTTCTTCTCAATAGTATTGATTCTGATTGCTGAAGTCGATTTGTGCATGGGTGAAGAAAAATAGTTTGATGCGAATATTTATATCGTCTTTCATCAATCACTTACGATAATTACTTGTTAACATTGTCTTAAAAATGATAAGTTAAAAGTGTTTACGTATTTACCCATATTAGAAGATAATGATTTTATCATAATTTAATCTTGCTATAAATACGACGGGATATAAAAATATTAAAACTATTTTTCAAACATGAAGATTCTGGTGGTTTTCATTGGCTTTATTGCTTGTTAGTAAATATCTAGTTTTTTAAATTATTCTCATATTTTTATTAGTGTAAATATACAAGGTACGTTCTTTCAGTATGCAGTGGCGGTGCCATCCCCGTGATTCCAGGGGACAACAGCCACTACGTAGAAGGCGAGAGCCGTTACATCTGGATGCCAGATGGCAAAGGCGTCCCCCATCTTGTAGACCTGCATGAACCCGCGGACCAAAACTTAATTAACTCCAGGAATGGAGCTAATAATCAATACTGGCTTTACACTAGGTAAAATTTTTGCAAAATATGAGTCAAAAATTTTATTGTTGAATTGTCTGAAACAATACTTCCTTTTATTTTATTCCACAGGCAAAATCCTACCAACCACCAAATCCTTGTTAACGGCAACATACAATCAATTTGGAATTCGAACTACGTGGCTAGTAGACCTTTAAAAGTCATCGTTCATGGCTGGAATAGCAATGCACTTAGTGACTTGAATCCGGCTATCACATCAGCTTATTTAGCAGTACAGGATTGCAACGTTATAGTTGTGGACTGGCGTGCACTTGCCAATTCTGCATATTCTACTGCTGTGAATGGTGTGCCGAGTGTTGGCCAGTTCCTTGGTAACTTTTTGGTGTGGCTGATCAATAATGCTGGAGGAAACTGGAACAACGTACACTTGATCGGCTTCAGCTTAGGAGCTCATATTGTTGGTGTTGCAGGCCGCACAGCTGGTGGCGGAGCGTCTCGTATTACTGGTATGATAATTTAAATTAATTTTAAGTACAGTGTAAAATTACGTTGGTTATGAAATACATACACTTTAGTATTGAAATAGATCTTGTTCAAAATTACATTGGTAATATAATATATATTCTACAATAATTAAATGTAACTTTGTTAACTATAGATTGCAATTATCGCAAGGTTTACTTACTAATCCACGCAGAAAAAGTATACGGTAGAAATTACTGTAATATTATTATTACAGTAATTTCTACCGTATACTTTATATACCGTTGTGATACAAAATTATGCTATTATATACCCACACACTTCTCTGCCGCTATTAGTGTTGGAAAACTTTTTGTAACTAATTCTGAAGTCATGTAAGCTTTGACTTCATTTTCCGTTCATAGCGTATGTTCAGATAGGTATAATCTGATATTGTCTTTAAAATTGATTTTTCATTTAAGGTTTGGATCCCGCTGGTCCTCAATGGGGTGGAAACCCAAATGCGTTAAACCGCAACTCAGGGCAATATGTGGAAACTATCCATACTGATGGTGGTCTACTTGGTATATTCGATCCCATTGCTCACGCAGACTTCTACCCTAATGGAGGCAGAAACCCACAGCCTGGTTGTTGGATCAGCACCTGTTCTCATAGTCGGGCACATCAGTTCTTTGCATCCAGCGTCCGCACTAACCACTTCGTTGGTAGGCAATGTGGGAATCTGAATCAAGCGCAAAATAACCAGTGTGGTGGACACACTATAAACATGGGCAACGGTATTATTTCAAAACGAGGGTGAGTGTATCGAATATAATTTCTCGAAATAAATTATAATTGATTATATGTAGTACTCAAGCAACTAAGGATTAACTTTAAATTATTTGATTTTTTGATCTTAACTTAAACTTAAAGCATAGCTTGAGTAACTGTGAAGTGCTCTATTAGCATAGTTGGAATAAAAGCATCATTATTCACTTTGTATTTATTTAACAAAATATAGAACTAATAATAATAAATATCTTTTTGTTGCAGAGCTGGTCTATTTGGATTATCTACAGGAGCTGCTTGGCCGTTCTAGACATTTGCAAGAAATCCGTCCGACAACCAATCAATTGAAAAGGCTTCGATTTATTGACTTCGAAGATCTGAATTTGTGGAAACACTTATAAATAATATTAAACATGCTAACGAACAGAAGAAAAAGAAGAAATAATGCTTAAAATATTCACCACCCCCATTCGCCACCACGCCTGAGATGGGATTGGAACCCACAACCTTTCGCAATCCGGGCCACAGCTCTCACCATTGTACTACCCGACCACTTTTATCAATGTTCAACCAAAATGGGTATAAGAGCAATCCAAGTCAGAAATTCAACCAAATAACCGAAAGAAATATTTAATAAACTTTATACTTTTATAGTTAATCAGTTTTGCATTCACAATGCTGTATTGATATTTACATAAGAGAAAAATTCATAAACAGCTTTTTACATATAAAACTACCCTTCCGCCAGCGGCTTTGCCCGCGTGATCTTAGTTTTAAGTCCAGAAATGAGAAAATTCCATAAAAAAATTCATCCTCCTAATTTATCCCCTTAGGGACCGAATTTCGTAAAATCCCGTCTTAGTGAGCACCTACGTCCTAAACAGAACCCGCATGCAAAACTTGAAACTCCTATCACTTATAGTTTCTGAGATTTCGTGATAAGTGAGTGAGTGGGTCATCTCTCGCTTTTATGTGTATATAGGTATAGATGCCGACTACTACTAACCCAATATTTTCACGATTTATTGTATTGCATTTGGATTATATAAACGACCCATAGTATTATGTTAGCGTTGAAAGTAAACGATATGTATCGCTATCTATAGAAGTCGTAATCGTTTCTGCGAAGTACCGTTCAATGTTTTATGGGGTGGAATCAATGATCTACAGAGTCCCGTACAATATAATTTTTTTAAAGATAGGATCAGTGTTGCACTTTCTATTCGGATACGTTTCATAACGTAGCGACATCTAACACATCGTGCTAACATCATCACTTAATAATCGACAGCAAGACGATGACTATAAGTGGCCTTACTTATTTACGAGATGGAGATTATATGCATCGCGCTTATCAAGTTTTTACGTCATATTATATTGCAGTCTTATTTCGCATTTTAAATTAAGAAGAGACATATTCACTTTAAAAGTTGAATATAAACATTTAATGTTAATATTACAAAATCTTTTTATTAAAAGTAGAGCCGATTTCAAACTTTAAAAAAGTGATAAATAATACTTATCTCAAAAACAACTTATTCAAGAAAATACAATTTAAGTTGGGCGGCGGTTATTTGTATTATTAATTAATTGATAGGCGCCCAATCAATAGTATTTACTTGAATAAGTCGCTTTGATATTATTATTGGTCACTATTTGAAAAATTTTAAGTCTGTTCTACTTTTATTAAAAAGTGTTTATTTCATACTTTTTTTGTGATATTGATATTTTTTGTACCTATATATACCTAATAGTGTTTGTTACCTTAAATATAAAAAATATCAATATTACTTAAATATAATATAGTAAATGAAAATATTTAACATAGTGAAAGTCTTAGAATAGGAGATTTTATTTATTTGCTCTACATATTTTTTCCAATAATGTATATTCATGCTTCAAAAAGGAAAGATTTGATTGCTTGTTTGTTTACATTGAAAAGGCCCCGAAACTATTGTACCGGTTTATAAAAGTCTTTCATCTACGGGAAGCTAAATAATACACGACGGACATAGCCTATAATTTACGCGTGCAATTTATTTGAATTCAAAAAGTATCACCTTAAAACTATGCTAATTAGAATACCTGATCGCAGTCTGGTGAAAGTGTTGACTGTGTGCGTGTATGTACCATAATCATTTTAAAAATGCCATCCTGTGTTATGCGAAACTATTGAAACGACATAAGTAAGTCATCTAAACTCTAAGGGGTCACATTTGATTCGTAAGTATACATTTGTAATTGATTTGCGTTTTAATAAGAAAAATAAATAATGTGTCATAAAAAGAAAGAGTAAATACTTAAGTTACAAATTGTAAAAAAGAACTATCAAAGATTATGTTAGTAACAGAACGGATAATTCGACTTTAGTGACTAAGTTCTACCTTACATTAACTTGAAAATCTATATGAGACTGAAACTCCAAAACTCCGGGGTTTTTATTGGGAGCATCGAAATTTAACGCCTGAGCTAAAAAAGATACTCCGATTTCGATCGATGCCCTCCTGTTATATATAGTATATATCAGTGTCAGGTTTATTTTATCGCTTGAAAAGCTTCCTTATTTATACATGGGCAAATCATATATATATGTACAACGAGGAGAAATAATAATGTGAGATATCAATATTTAAGATGTACTGGTGATCGAAATCTTTAACTCGTTTAGGTAAAAGTAGGCATTAAACATGCATTAAATCAGTCTGATCTGTAATATGTTCAATTATAGTCTATGAATAATTGGAGAGTATTGTGCCATGTGCGTGTGTAAATGCTGGGAACAATTTACTTTATGCCTTTCATAAAAAATATAAATCTTCCCTTCAGTTTTTGGATGAATTGTAAATACGTAATTTTTTGTTTTTTAACTAATTTTGAAAATAAGTCAACAATTGACGAAAATATCGGTGAACATACATAAAAAAAGAAACATACATCGCCGTCCAACATAAAACCTTTTCAATGTTCAAGTCGACAAATTGAAGACATTAAATTAAAATTAATTAATTTGATACATAAAGTGATTGAGCACTGGCTGTACCGCGTAACAGCAGCTTGATTGATTAATATTACGCGAAGTCGTGTATGTAAAATAGCATAATAATGAAATAGTTATTTATGTTTTTATTCGCGCCCGGTGATTTATGTTATTTGTATGTGTCTCAAATAACATAAATTTAACCAATATTAAAAACATAGATATCGTTATTCCCGCAGAAACACGAATTAATAATATGTGTGATTTTACCTACATACCGATAAAATCTGGAAATGGTGGGGAAATTGTTTATTTATTTTCAATCGAGTCATGACGTCAACATGAACTTTATCAGTAGATATTCCAAACAAAAACCTAATCATTTCTGATAAACAAAGTAAAAATCAATGTCAACAATTGTGGTAACGGAATATTACTATTTGCTGATTATTTTATGATTATAAATATTGCAAGCAATAAAAATTCAACCCATCTTCAAATTACGAGTGTAATTACTTTTCTGGGTACAAATAATTAATTTTTGATTTTGTAAAATCAGTTTTAGTTTTATCGAATGGGAATAAATTATATTTTAGTATTTTTAGTGTTCAACGAGGAGAGCCTCACATCGTGCAGGTTAAATGAATACCTTTTTAAGTAGGTTTTATCTAATTGAACTTCTATGCTGTGATAGCGCTCGACGATGAATTCGACGCTGCTTTTATTACAAAATATCACTGCTAAACTCAACAAGAGGCTTGTAATAAAACATAGAAATAATTATTTTCAACCGATTCACGCTTAGTTGATTTTTAATTCACGATTTGTTGATTTCATGTCGTAGTTTATGGTAGGATATAAAACCAAATAAACGTGCATCGGTGGGGTTCCCTACCATAATTGTCTTTTTATTTTTTTATTATTTGCCATAATCCGTGTAGTCGTATGTTGTGAGAATCTGTGATGTAATGAAGGATGGTATACAGTAGAGCATATTAGATAGTGGATCGATGGCGCAGCGGTAAGTGCGGTCGGTTTGTCACGATTGTTAAGTTACTTTCGTATGGACCAGTCACGGGATAGGTGAACAAATTTTTATTATCTCGAGTTTCTCTAACTCAGACATATCTAAAATATCTAACGCTTAATGGTTCATTTTTTTAAATACTATCCAATTCTCTGGCTGTACAACTTAGCCCGGATTATTGATGCATTGAAAGTGGCATCACATTTTGGACCACTACAGCTTGGAATAAAAACTTATTAACAAATAGAGAGGTGCTCCCGATAGGGAATAGCTCTACATGACATTAATACCACACCACTTTTATGCTTATAGTTACTACAGACTGGTCGCATATACCATAAGAACAAAAATAAATTCGAGCTCCTTCGTGCTTCGGAAGGCACGTTAAGCCGTTGTTGTTCGGGGCTGCATTTGCAGTCGTTGGTTTGGTGGGCCTGCATGGTGGGCATTGCATGGCTCATTCTTTCTATTAGATTCCATCCATAGGGAACGCCATAACTTCAGCAATGGTGGACATTAATTAGTTAGTGACGATGATGACATGCGCACTTTCGATACTGAACCCTAAAAATTATAATAATGAACTATGGGAAGTATATGTTTAGTAATACAACTTTGTACATGTATTAAGATTCGAAAGAAAACAAATCTAATCGTGATAAAGGTTTATTCTTGTATCGTTTTCGAAGGTTTACTTAAAAAAAAACATAATTTGAATCACATGTAATATAAAAATACTTTTAAAACTGTACAATGTAATATAAAAATAATCTTATAAAGTTACAAAAACAAAATAATTTATTTCTGCTACGTTAGTTATTTATAGCAATGAAAAAGTTGTTTTTCATTAATAAAACAAAATTGTTATTTCATATGTGCAGTATTTATGGAAATTTAAGTGTCGCATATAATTTCGACTCGGATCTTCATTGGCTATATATTTATTAATTTAGCTACTAATTTCTACCACCGACAAATTTACAGTATTATATTATTCTTTATCGATATTGTAGTTGCGAGTATAGTCATCATTAATGTTGTAACGCTGTAGAAAAAATAATACCACAGCGTTTCTACATTCCTCTTATTTTAAACGTATATTGATTCTCTTTTTATACCACAAAATCGATTAAAGCACGTATGCCACAAATCATTAGATAATTACAAGTACTAACTTTTAAAAGGGTTTAACTTAAGACTGGTGCAGTGTGATCATGTAACGAAAAAAAAAAATATTTGATATTACTATAACGTTTAGCCTACAGAGAAAGTAATAAAAATTTATAAAAAATGAATATAGGATGTTAAATTGATGTAATTCAAAACCTACAAGGAAACATGAAATACACACAGCTCCTATTCGTTGCTGTAGCAGGTACATTTTTCTTTTATTATTGTGGAATCTAAAGTACTTTTTATTAAAATAGCGGCAATAGTCTCATTCATCATCATCATCATCATTATCATCAGCCCTTTTACGTCCCCACTGCAGGGGCTCAGGCCTTCCTTATGGATGGTTAAGGAGGATGGGCCATGACCCTCCACGCTGGCCCAATGCGGATTAGAGGGTTTTAACGACTGCAAATGCAGCCGGGACCAACGGCTTAACGTGCCTTCCGAAGCACAGAGTAGCTCGAGATAATAATTTTTTGGTCACCCATCCCGTGACCGACCCTTGCGAAAGTTGCTTAACGACTACGATCACGGGCCGCGGTGCTAATCCACTACGTCACCGAGCTAATTAAACTGTTAGAATATTATGTATTTCATTATGATAATATTGTTTTTAATGTTCGCATGCCGCTTTAAAGATGAGGCCCAGTGTTAGTTTCTGATAGGGTTTATGAAGTAATTGAACTTTTCTGTATTAGTTTGGGTCTGGCGATGAGTTACTGTCGTTGTATTAGATACACCATAACACTAAGGCTTTGGCTACTCATTTTGGACATATTTATTTATTTAGAAGTCGCAGAAATTAGTTTTCCTACACGTAATCACGATGAGAAGAGTTTCCGCAACCAATAATCCTACGAATTTATAAGAGCAATTCATAAAACAAAAATGTTAATTTTCAACACCGTTACAATAATTCAAAGATATTTTGAAACGAATTTATTACGGTGTTGATTTAATTTAGTGTAATTTTATCGAAAACTTATTTGTCTTGGGTGTATTCGTCCATCATGTGACGATAGAAGTTTTAAAGAAACATCATAAAGTCTAATATCTTTATAGAATCATTCAAATACCAGAATTTCTACAGAAACAAAATTTCTACGAAACATTAACTATGTTATTTTACAATTCGTTGTTTTTACGATTATAACAAAGACAGTCCTTAGTTTCACGTAAATTTTAAATATTTTAGTTTCTGCTGCGAATGTAATCAAAGACCCAACAGCAGGTTATAAGGAGGGAGATAGGTTTTTCTACTCCCCTGGTGATGAAGACGACATTCTTCACTTAGTAGATTCCCACGAAGCAGTCGATGAAGAATTCATACAACACTACGCCAGAAATCCTAATAACAATGTTTATTGGCTTTTTACCAGGTTCAAGATTAGTATCTATTATAATGTTTATTTTATAATTCATTTATATATTATTTACAGATAGATTACCTCTAATAAATAGACATAGATATTAGAAAGAATAAAAAAAAAGAAATGTTTACTTACAATACACTACATATTTTTGTCATACATTATTCTAATCTTTGTTTTTATATACGTTTTAAGGTTTATTGTAATTTTTAATAATTGTACCACAGACAAACTTTCAATATTTTTTTTCCATAACGCATAATGTTTATGCATATGACATAACGGCATTGTGATCAATGAATGATCCACGAAAAATAATGAATGAGAATAAATGATTGTAGTTATGAGTAAAGTTGTCATTTATGTTACCTAATAATTAGTTAGCATTTCTACCTTGCTTTAATTTTTCATAATTATCATAATACCCTTTTCATATCACCATAACCGTTATTAGCTCATTTTTCTAAAGTACCTATAAACAACACAACTTTTAAAAGGGTCTGAGCTCGATCAACTTCATAATTTTAATAGGTCCAACATCTCAGTATATTGACCAAGGAGTAAGGACCTGAGGTATTTTTAAAGAACCGAAATATCTCAAAATAAAAATTCATCAATTACACACGTTCCAAATTACATTATAATTCCCAATAATTTCAGAGATAACCCCGACAATCATCAAGTTCTTCACTTCAACGATATTGACAGTATATATAATTCAAATTTCGACACTTCCAAAGCTACTGTGTTTCTTGTCCATGGATGGAATGGTAATGGAAATAATAATAAGAACAGACGCCTAAGAGAAGGTAAATAAGAATATTAACATTATTGTTAGTAAAATAATCTTAAAGAACCGTAACTTAAATGAAGTTACATAAATAACTACGAGTATATTCCTTGCGGGATAGGCAGAGAGAATCGACCAGGGGGGCAATTCTACTAAATCAATTTTGTTTAAATCGAATCCGTTTTCGATTTGATTTAAACAAAATTTATTTAGTAGAATTGGCCCCCAGGTATAGTCCTTACGTCATTAGCCTCCTCGATTATTTCATACTCTTCATGAATGCTCGTTAGTTTTATAGCTTCTAACTTCACCTTTTATAAACAGCACTCAGAAGTCGGAGACACACTTTTTACGATTCAATTTAATGGTGAAAGACATGTCTTCGCTTTCCGAGGTTCTACATTTTTCCGTTTTCGCGTCGTAGGTATATCAGTTTTGTCATTTCTTCATTGGGCAATTTACCCATATGTCATGAGTATGACTCTGTTAACGATTACAGTAATGCTATCTTGGAGGTGCTCTTGCTTAGCTCTTCATTATGAATGTAGTCTGCGAGTTTTATGCCACAAATTCTAGGTATCGATAGTTTCTTGCTTTGGGTATAACGAGCTGCACTTTCTGGTTCAAGGTTTTACTGCCAAGTTTTTCCACTACTTCATTTCTACTTTTCCTAGTACCTACTCTCCTTTCTGTGTCAGTAGAGTACTTTATCTCCCTGTAAATTTATATTAAATACATACACTAAAGTCTTTTCTCAGTATCTCATCTTCTTCAAAAGTTATCGTTACCCAATTCTCTTTCTTGAAAGCCTTAATTTTATTTTAGCATTGGGTATACATTTTAGGGAGCAAAGATTTAACGTAATAAAAGCTTGCTTTCTTCTTTTTTGTTTCATCATGTTTTACCTCTGCATCTCACCACGCATTATCTTTCTATGTCTCATCTATGCACTATTCACCATAATTTCAAAAATTTTCAGCATTCATCCTAACGCCTAAGTCATAGAGGTTAATTAGGGGTCTTTTTACTTCCCAGATTTTCTACGAGATGATGATGTTAACGTCATAGTGTTGGATTGGAATCGCTTAGCCAATCGTAATTATGTGACGGCTGCGAATGGAGCTCCCGCAGTGGGACGTGCTCTGGGACAGTTCATAAATTGGTTGGTTTCCTTGGGTGCTTCGTATGACCAAATACACTTGGTTGGATTTAGTCTTGGCGGACCTTTAGTCAGAAATGCTGGATGGGAAACTGGTGGTAAAATCAAGAGAATCACAGGTAATTTCAGTTGTAATCTTTTGCAAAACCCTATTCTGTATTCTCTTCTATTCAATGAATTTGTGACGGGTTCGGTGTATAGTTGATGGTATTAAATGAAACAGCTGACTAGGCTTGATAATTAGGTTATAGATAGACAAAAATTGTAACAAAAAAAAAGAAAAGAATATAAAAACACAAAAACACTTAAGAATAAACCTTATGAGGAAAGGTTGAAAGCTCTAAAACTCACCACATTAAAGGAACAGAGAGAATGTGGAGACTTGATAGAGGTATATAAAATACTGCATGGACATTATGACATCAAAAATTTCGACAAGCAGTTATTTCAATATTCCCATAACACTCACTTGAGAGGAAATCATCTAAAGTTGATAAAGAGAGCGTCGTCTATAAATCCACATAAGCCCTTTTTTAGTAACAGAGTGGTAAAAGCTTGGAACAGATTACCGACAGATGTAGTTTCAGCACAGACTACAAACCAATTTAAAAATAGATTTGACAAATTCATGCAACAGGAAAAATGAAATATCACGCAAAAAAGATATCGGGATACAGGTCACATCAGTTGTTGCAACTGTCTGCCTGTCTTTGATAATAATAATAAAAGCAGTTCGTTGTATGTATTAACAAAATTCCATAATAACAATTATATACTCAGTTTGTGGGTTTTCTTTTATATATATTATTAATACACTTATTAATTCATCAAACGTTTTTTAAGATATATTATATTCACTTTAAACATTATTAATTTGAAACAGATAATTTAAATATTTTATCATTAGACACTCATCTGATAGAAGGAAAGAATATATACTAGTTACTAAAAATTTTTAATTACGAAAACTGAATAATAAAAAAAATATGATCTTAAAGATCAAGACAAAAAGTTTGGATGTGGAACCTAAGACAACATTAAGCGGTATGATAGGATGCACCGTTACAAATTTAATTCTCATTTTCATTGTCTATTTTTTAATTTTAGTTTCTGCTGAAAATATAACGAAAGATCCCACAGCGGGTTATAAGGAGGGAGACAGGTTTTTCTACTTCCCTGGTGATGGGGACCACACCCTCCATTTAGTGGACACCCAAGCGCCAGTCGACCTAGAGTTCATAGAAAACTATGCTAGAAATTCAGATAACAATGCTTATTGGCTTTTTACCAGGCACAGTATTATATTATCAATATGGTAGTAATTTCGTGTAGTATACGTAGTAGTATTAACGATATTAAAATCCAGTGCTTGGACTGAAAGGATTAATAAAGTTTTCTTTCCTGATTTTCTTAATTTATAAAGACATTAATTGATACAAGAATTAAAAGAGTAAGCGCGTGTAACTTCTTAATTTTAAGAAGGCCAGCATCTTAGTCTGTTGAATGTAAGTTTGTGAAAGATTAGAAATGTTAAAAATGTTATAGAGTTAAAAATAAATTACGCTCTAAATTATTCGATTTTATTCGAAGCTGGGGTATTTATTATTTCCAATAATTCCAGAGACAACCCTGACACTCACCAAGTTCTTCAGTACAATGAAACTTTTAGTGTAGTTCATTCAAATTTCGATACTTCCAAAGATACTGTGTTTCTTGTCCATGGATGGATTGGTAATGGAAATAATGATATGAATAGACGTTTAAGGGACGGTAAATATTAAAATTACATAGTTATTAAAATTATCTAAAAACCGTACCTCAAATGATTCCATCATATAAAAATTGCGCAATCGAATATAATGTAATTTCTTTTTTGTCAATTTTGCGTTCACATTGAAAAATAATCTGTTTATTTATTGATTGAACTATTTTTTAAAAACATAATTTATTAGCATTTTCATTAGGAATTTCTTTTTTCAGCTTTTCTTCAAGATGGTGATGTTAATATCATTGTTCTGGATTGGAGTTGTTTAGCTTATCGTGATTACGTTACTGCTGTGCTTGGAGTTCCAGAAGTGGGTCGCGCTCTCGGACGGTTCATAAATTGGTTGGTTTCCTTGGGAGCTTCGTACGATAAAATGCATTTGGTCGGCTTTAGTCTTGGTGGACATGTAGTTGGAAATGCTGGAAGGGAAACTGGCAGTCAAGTCAGGAGAATTACAGGTACATTCAGTAAGACCTTTTCAGAAAACTATATTTATTTAATTTAATTATTTATCAATAGTTCTAACTGAGAATAAGATATCATTGTTACTAACTTACGACTAACAACTTATGGACGTCTGTAAAAGTCTAAAATGAAGTGTAATTATTGTGTACTTATTTATCGATGCAGTTACAACTTATAACTTTTTGTATTTATTTTTTACTACAACATCATACCAACCTAAACTAATTAACATAATTACACATTGCACATAAAAATGCATCACCACGATATATATTTGGATTTATTTATCAACATTTACTTGAGGTAATAGTAATAGGTAATAGAGAGTCTCAAAATGAGAACACATTTTTTATTTAGTGTGAATGCAGTTTTTTTTTACAAATAAAATATTCACTAACGGATCTCCTCACATCTTGAAATTTCAGACTTTCCTATGCTGACCATTTAACACCCTGTATATTTTATTTTAGGGCTAGATCCCGCCGGTCCCTTATGGCACATCAACGAAGATCGTATCACTGAGAATGATGCTAAATATGTTGAGGTGATCCACACTAATGCAAACTTTTTGGGTTACCCGAATCCATGTGGTGACGCAGATTTCTATCCTAACGGTGGAGTCAGCATGCCCGGATGTTTTTTCAATACTTGTTCTCATAGTAAATCATATGAATATATGGCAACCACAGTCATATATAACCACTTAAATGCGAACCAATGCAACACGTTATGGGATGTCATGTGGGACCGATGTCATGGGGACTTATATCCTATGGGCAACAGTGATTTGCATAAAAACAAGTAAGTACTTAAATGCAATACACTTAATTTATCTCCTTTCAAAACTAGCACTATTTTACTCACAACTACTTATAAAGTTTTTTGTATTGTATCTGTAATGAATAACTCAAAATCTGCTGTTAAAATATCAATATTGTTCAAGACGTAGGCTATAACTTTTACCCTAAATTTTCCAAGGGAACATTACCCTGTTTAGAGGTAATCAGGTGTCTAAGTCGCATCGCATTAGTTTTTGCTTGCAACATTATCTGGAAAAATTTGGGCACTGTCGTTTCTGCATTGGTTTGTTACTTGCAAGGACTTGTTACTTTTCGCTGCTACAGAGCGCATATTGAAACAATATTGAAACTTTCGATAAAGATTTTTTAAGTATGTATGTGATATCGTCCAATATTTATTTATATAAGTTATTAGTAGTGAAATATAGACTATTATCGTTATCTATGTTTACGTGGCCCATAATAATATAGTCATTATATACTGTGGATTTTTAATGAGCGTTCAACATATCAAATATAATTGGAATGATGACTATTTTTTTTTGTTTGTCCTTAGATTATTTAAGAATATATATATTTTTTTATTCTTATTTTTTATGGGCTTTTGAACTTAGTGTTCATGTCAGCCCAATCTTAACCATATAACAAATGTATGATCTATATCTATGGAAACATAACTTTGTATACCATGTCGAATAACATTCTAGCTTCATCCGACAATGGATATGCTAGGATACTTTGAAAAACACCTATGTCATTTTTATTGTATTTAAAATTAAAAAGTAAATTATTCCTCTCTGCTTCATTCTTAACACATTCAGCTGGCAAATGTTGGACATCTTCTACCTTTTGACAGATTTCACAATTAGGAGAATTCGTTTTTTTCATTAAATATAAAAAGTTATTTAGCGGAATGTGTCCAGAACGCAGTCGATGAGCTATTATAATATATTTACGTCTATTGTTACAATTAAAGAACCAGGGTATATGAGGAGGCTCACATATAATAGTTCTGTACCAAATACCTTTTGTTTTGGACCTTTCGTCAAAGTATTCCGTCCAATTCTGATGACTCATGTTTTTGAATTTACTTAAAACCTCAGAATATACAGGTAGGATAAAAATTTTAGATCCATCAGAGATAGCAGATTTGAACGTGAATGCCTATTATCTAAGCCATTTCTTGTTAAATTAAAGCAAAAAGAATGAATCTAAAGTTTTTCTATTATCTGACTGACGGAATAATAGAATTTCTCTTTTTTTTTACCCAATTATCATCCCTAATACAGGCATACGTGTAATAATTGTCAAAAATTCATGGCTTCAGATTGGTTGCAAACTTCTTCTCACTACAAGTATAAAATCAAAGATAAGGAAATTAATTAATTATTGACCAAAATCTAATCGGTCAATCGTTAATTACGTACGTTAATTTAGACTGTATACTATAATAAATGTTGTAGGTAATTGCGCATTTATGAAATATGATGTTTTTTTCCATTATTTTCTGGAAACAATATAATGATAGCATCTATATTATTGATTGGCTATCGTTATCAGAATAATGAAGTTATTTTGCTTGGTGGTCTAAGATATAAAAATGTGTGCCATTTATTCGGTATTTTTTTTTTTTATTGAGCCATAAACATAAATGGAAACAAAAGCGATTTATAAGAAACAAATAATTAGAAGCATTATATAACTCATATCGCTCCTATGCTGGTAAAACCTAATTATTGTCAGTTTTTAGAAAAACTACGTTGACTTTGACAGTAGATGCAGTACGTATATCGAATGGTGCATTTAACTTATTTTTGTAAAAGAATATCAGTTATCAAGTTGTACCAGCATGGGTGCGATATATAAATGAAATATATTCAATTTTTATTCATTTGATAACTCAGTTTTTTTACCATAGGTCTGGATTATTCAGAGTCAACACGGAAGAATCATATCCTTACTAATATTTCATCAAAATATTTCAATTATCTTTTTATGTTTTATAAGTATACCAAATACATTTTAATTAAAGAATTACAAAATTGATTTTGTGTTACCTTATTTTATATCCTTTACTTACTTAAAACCAGACACACACACACACGCACATCTTCCCCCAAAAGTGAGGGTACATTGGAGGGGTTTAGTCGGTCCCACATAACCCTCGACGCCTGTCAAGCGCCAGGGACTATTAAGTATTGATTGATAAACAAAATTGCGAATTAATGAAAATAGTTTTTTTTTGTCAGAAGAGTGAATTGCCGGTGACGTACAGGAAAACGATTTGATCACAGCGATAATTTGATTTTGTGTTCATAATGTACTTTAAATAATTTTTACATTTTCTATCTCTTTTTTAACCAACTAATATCGAAGATAAAATTGTTAAAGTTATTTAGGAAACTTAAGCGACGCATCCTGTTTCCAAAGAGGTACCGGAGAATGGGGTTGGAGCTTCCGTGTTTTCTAAATAATTTAGGATGTCACAGGATTAGAATGTGATGTGAAAAATCACTAACTTTCAACTGGTTTTGTGCAAAGAAATAAGATCCAAATAAGCTGTAATTGAAAACGAGAAGACAAGATCACAATTCAAAATGTGATTTTTTCTGTTCAGGCAGAATATTAAATTTTGTTTTAGAAATATTTGAGGCACTTAGTAATCGAAGGATTTGTGTAGCACTTTTATTGAGCACTTTTATTAACATTTTGTGAGTAATAATTAAAAAAGTTTTTATCGCGCCATTAGCCATCTTGGCCTACCGGATAACCTCCAAATAGCCACAGACTTGAAGGCAATGGGATCGTTTCTGGCAGAGCTGGTTGGAATCGGGAATGAATTGAATTTAGCCGTCTTTTAAGAAATAACTAGTTATGACTTTAATTTTAAATCCGGTTTTTAACTTAGCAACAAAAATGGAAGGCATAGTTTTGTGTTGATATTAATTATTGAAATCTAGTTTTTTTTCCAATTCTATCACTAAGTAAGTGATAAAATTTTAATTAAAAATGGGTGAAACTTTATCTTTAATCATTCTTAACAATGATTATACCTATATAATATCTAATACCTACAAACATAGCACAACGTATGGTGTGTTGTTTTTCAGTTAAACAATAGATCACACTCAATAATTAGACTATTGTTCTACAATGATATAAATTCATTGTTGTTCTATATTTAGTTTAAGTGCCTAGCTCGACCAATAGATATCAAATCGACGAAGTGGGATTCTAGTTTCATATACAAACGGTTCAGTTCGGTGACACCACACAATTATTTTAATTATTTTCAGTAAATTTGTGTTGGTAAAATCCTTTGACGGACAGACAGAAGGACAGAAAACCAACGGAGACAAATTTTTTTATAACTTGTGGGCTCATTCTTGATCTCAATCCACCCTGGGGGCATGAATGTGATCTACGGTAGAACGAGCTTGCTCAAAAGGAGAATGATGTTCTCGGGTATATAGATGCTGTCAGGAAATTTCACTCTTTGGCAATTTTAGTTGGCATTAGATAGAGTCACTTGTGCAACCTAAAACTACGGGACGTTAATATTCAATTTCATATGCCATGATCAGATATATTAAGGTTCAGGTTAAATTATTCATGTCTGTCGTACAAAACTGTGGATTCAAAATTAAATTGCGCAATGGTAAACAATTTCGTCATCTGTTATCTTATAGGTGGCAAAACCTTATCCACATCAAACTCTTCCGTATTCTACACTGCATTTTGACGAAGAGAAATGTATTACGCATACCTTGTCTCAATTTTGCTATGCAGATTTAACCTTTCAGGGAGGTGGGAGGTCAAAAAACAGGGACATACCCTCTATATTTCTCCAATCTCTTTGTTTATAAGGTTTGTTTTTTTTTAAAAGAATTAGGAAAGTTTTAGTTTATGTCGTCAAACAGGATGAGGACGTAGCTGCGTTTCAAAGTGTCACCATCTCTGAGGTGAACGATCATGCGTCAAAGATAGTTGTAACCTACCTACTTACCGAGAATTCCCGAACATTACAGGTCACAATACAGAATAGGATGAGGACATAGCTGCGTCAACAATAGTTGTAACCTACCTATTTACCAGGAAGTCCCGACCATTACGGGACACAGAATAGGACCAGTATTTTTGCGTCAACGATAGTTGTAACCTACCTACTTACTAAGAATTCACACTCTGCCCACGTGGCGGATTATGATATGAATTTCCGACGTGATTCTATCAATACGGAAGGCGGTCACTTGGAGATGATGACGCACAAGTGGCTGACGTCGATATTCTCCTAGTGGGTAGCTGAAGAAGATCGATATCACGACTATAATGCTTATATGGTCTTTATCATTTAATCCCTTGATTATGGAATGTTTATCTTAATCAAACCAGTACGGCTATTATAAAAACCAATACATGCAATGTTAATGATGTAGTTCAAAACCATAAGGAAACATGAAATACACACTGCTCCTATCCGTCGTTATAGCAGGTACAATTTTATTTTTTTTTCACGAAGCCTCGAGTATATTTCGTATTCAGTTTGGTTATTGTTGTAACGTTCATTTAAAATTCATTAGCAATAATTTACGTTCTTACAAACTATTTGATTTTATTCGTTATTTCATAAGTATATTCCTTAAGAGTTAGTTTAGTCATACAAGTGCTGTATAAAGTAATTTTAGGATAATCACTAGAAAAAAAATAGAAGTATTTATTTTGAATGCATCATAATACTCGTAGATCGAATATAACAGTCATAAACATTATTATTATTCTTAATAAAAATTTTTAAAAATATCCATCTCAGAATGCCAGGGACAAAGTGGATTTTTTAAACATTTTTCATTAAGTTATAAAAATATTTGTAAATGTTTTTTATTTATTGGACATTGTTCTACAACTTGTGTGTAGCTTGGGCATTGGCATATGTATTTGTGTTTTGTCATCTAATGGCTAGTGTAAGACGTTTTATATTGTGGAAACGTTTTGAAGACAAAGTTGGAAGAAAATAGTTATAAATACTTTTTAAATCGGTCTGTAATGCCAAGGTTAAGTTTTCACAAGGAGACTGTAAAGCAGACCACATCATGGATGATAATTTGTTATATTGGCCTCTTCCTTCCCTGCTTCGGAGGCACATAGCCCTTGGTCCGGCTTGCATTTGCAATCGTTAACACCTACCAACCCGCATTGGGCCCTCATGATGGAATACGGAACATTCTCCCTATTTGAATCTATTGATATAAATGGCCTGTACCCCTGTACCCCTGTAGTGGGGACATAAATAGGCTGAAGATAAATTACTAACTTAAGAGAAGCCATAGTTACTAGGACGTCATAAAAATTCCGTAGAGCATTGAAATGGTTTTCTGCAATTAATTTCAGTTTCTGCTGCGAACGTAATCAAAGACCCCACAGCGGATTATAAGGAGGGAGACAGGTTTTTCTACTTCCCTGGTGATGGAGATGACACTCTTCATTTAGTAGACTCTCAAGAGCCAATCGAGCAAGACTTTATACTAAACTATGCTAGAAATCCTGATAACAACGCTTATTGGCTTTTTACCAGGTACATAAATAGTAATATATTTATTTGTTTAATGATTACTTTATTGTTACTTCTATTAGATTTTAATGTCTAATAAATATCACGTTAGTAAATCTAACCCGTGACTTAAGATAAATTTAAAGATAAGAAAATCTAGTTAAGACTATAGAGAGACCAAGTAAAGCTTGAGAACGAATGAAATTCTCTACATTGTATAGATTTTTTTTTGCAAATAGCACGTGTTCCTGGCTTCGTACTTTTTTATATATTTGATGTTAATTTCATCGTACCACTTTCGTGATTATCTTAGAAATGGCCTTTATTTTGTCATTTTTATATTTAAAATAAGCTACGCCAAAAAGTATTGCAACTAGTATCTCGAAAATATATTATTCAACATGATGTGTCTACAATACAAATAATAACAAATTGGAATAACGTATATCTCAAAGCCTCTTATATAAAATAAAATAAAGTTACACATAAAAAAGTAGAGATTAAACCACTGTTGTTTCGAATAAAATCTTCTGTGATTTTGTTTCTCACAGTTTCTACCTTCTTCTATAAAACCTTTTTTTCATATCCTAGATACTGTATCCCAATACCGATAGTAGCACATTTCTCAAAGTACAAACAGATAATTACTACCATATAACTCCAAACGGGGTTCACGGTGTTTCGTTTCCTTTATATAAAAGAATCCAAAACGCAATAATACATGTACATGTTCCATAAAACGTTATATTCCAGAAACAATCCGGATCAACAACAAGTCCTTCACTTAAATGATGCTGCTAGTCTGCATAATTCAAATTTCGATACTTCTAAAGATACCGTGTTTCTTGTCCACGGATGGAACGGTAATGGAAATAATAAGATGAACAAACGTCTAAAAGAAGGTAAATCAAATATGAATATAATAATGCTTATGAAACAATCTTTGTTATTTACAGTAGATTATGTTAAATAATCATTGTTACATCACATACATTGCTCGGATTCCAAGGTCAGTAGCTAAAACCGCCCCCCTATTATGGAATATCTGAGAAAACGGAGGTACTATAACATCCAGACCCGAGATAATTTAGAAAAAATAATTTTCTTCATTGACCCGATCGAGAATCAAACCCGGGACATCAGAAATGACGACACAAAACTAAAATTATGTTTTTTCTTTGGTTTAATTACCTTTAAGTGGAAATTTGTAATTGGCTTTCTTTATAGATATAATATTCCATACTTAGTATTACCTAGCTGTAAGTTTATTAATGATTTATTACGATATTATTCTTATTTTCCAGCTTTTCTCCAAAATAATGACGTCAACATCATTGTACTAGATTGGAATCGTTTAGCCAATCGTAATTATGTGACGGCCAGGAATGGAGTTCCCGCAGTGGGACGTGCTCTTGGTCAGTTCATAAATTGGTTGGTTTCCTTGGGAGCTTCGTACGATAAAATGCACTTGGTCGGCTTCAGTCTTGGTGCACATTTAGTTGGAAATGCTGGAAGGGAAACTGGCGGCAAAGTCAGCAGAATTACAGGTACCTTTAAATTTAAATTCATTTATTTAATACAGACAGATTTAATAGAGTCCTATACTCGAATAATAAATAAAGTACAAATCTAAGAAAATAATAATGCCTATGCCAAAAAACATTTTGTTCAGCATTCGTCAATTTCCCTCTTTTGACACAAAATAGTTGTAATAATTTTCCGGGTTAATTTGTGGAAATTAATACAGGTGAAAATTATGTTATATCGCTCAGATCAAACGTTTTCCTAGATAACTATAAACTGGTTTATATGCAAATGGTGTTTAAACAGGTTGACTTACTAGATATAAAACAAAACACTCTAATGTTCTCTACTTATAAAAATGATTATAAAGAAAGTATATTTCTATATGTCAATGTAAACAAATTCAACTTCACCATGGTTTTAGTGATATATGGCCGGTTTCTGAATTGAGAAAAGTACAAAATCTCAACTGATAATTCTCAATAACTTAATTTTTTTACGTTTAACATAACAAAAAGGCCTAGTTTTATCAAACTGTTATCAACTTATCATTAAAAAAATTAAAATCAGAAACGAAAACCTGTTTAAATGACATTTGAAATGGCTTAAGTACGGTTTGACACGTAGTTAATTTTAAATTAGTCTAACAACCGTGAATACAAATTCAGTACTACGGTAATCCAAATCTCAATTTTAGGTTTTATTCATTCAACTCGTTTGTAATTATGTTTTTCTATTATTTCAGGGTTAGACCCCGCTGGCCCCTTGTGGTCCCGTAACACAGATCGGATAACGGAGGAAGATGCTCAATATGTCGAGGTGATCCACACTAATACAAACTTTTTGGGTTATACGAACCCATGTGGTGATGCAGACTTCTATCCTAACGGAGGAGGTAGTATGCCCGGATGCTGGACCAATACTTGCTCCCATGGTAAAGCATATGATTATATGGCGTCCACAGTCACATACAACCATTTGCTTGCGAACCAGTGCGACACGTTAAGGGATGCCACACGCAATAGATGTAATGGGGATTTAAACCCTATGGGCAACAGTGATTTGAATAAATACAAGTGAGTACACGTTTATATAACGACTAGCTGTTTTCCCGCGACTTTGTTCGCTTATATTATCACTCGCGTATGCTTCCCGTAGGTCAAATAATTTTTATATTATATATAATTTTTTTGAGCCACTGTAGGGACGTAACAGGGCTGATGATGATGATGATTAACTTTAGTCCTCGTTTTAGAATAAGACAAAGTAAGTCCACGATGATGAATATCAAAATACATTACTGTAATTTTTTTTATTCCAAACTTGCCAACGGAACATTGAGCAAGTCGTGTTGATTTAAAGTTTTCATTAATAAAAGGCATTATTCTGCAAAAAAAATGTGAGAATAAAAATTAGTAAAACGCGTATGTTATATAAATAAAATATATTTGATATAAAATTTGATCAGATCTTAATTTAACAGCAAATAATGTTTGTTTTCCACAGGCATGGAATATTCAGAGTCAACACAGGAAGATCATATCCTTACTAATTACGTACCATCAAATATCTCAATTAACCTGTTCTGTTTAATAAGTACGAAATAAAGAATTTCAAGAGCGATTCTCATGACTACAATGTGTTGTTTAATTTTATATCCTTTACCTAAAACAAAAGTAAAATATATGTAGTAGGCACTTGCAGTAAGTAGGCGTATGTCTTTCCTTCTTTAAACATACACTAAAATAGTCATTTATTTTATTTGTACTAGCCCCGCGGTATCGGTCATGGCACTTGCACCCAATTCGATCTATAGGGAAGGCCTGTGTCGAGTGGCGTAACTACAGGGTGGCAAGTCGGCAGCCCCCAGCTGGAAGAGACCCCCGGTCAGAGGAGACTCCTTACTCCTGACATTTATTATTACGCAATTAGTAAAAAAGAAAAACAAAAAACTCTACTGCGTAAAAACGAATAAAAAAAAAATACATGAAAAAAATAACTTAAATAAAAACCAAAAAGGAAGAAACAGAACGACTCATAGTCAAACAAACATACATACATACGTAGGCGGGATGATAAATAGCTAGCCCAACCCATATTTTGTATAATAACGATTTAAAATCTCCTTAGTATTTTACTCATTGGTTCATTAGCTGCCAGTGTTCCAAATTTCAAATAGATCGTATAGTTTTTCTTTTAAATATTGACATTTCAAAAAGCATTCTTTTGTTTTTTCTGCAAAATGGATAAAATTGAGCTATGAGCTGTGATAAAGTTTTTGCATTTAAAAGGATTAAAAGGTGGAGAGATTTTTTCGGAGATGAAGGATGTTTTGGTAGAAAATGCTCTTTCATATGAGACCGTAAAAAATTGGGTGACTGAATTTAAACGTGGCCATACCAGCACCCAAGATGAGCATCGTCCAGGACGTCCAAAAAGTGCCACTACTCCAGAAATTGTGATCAAAATTCATGACGCAGTTTTAGCTGACCGAAGATTGAAAGTTTCCGAGATAGCTGATACTGTAGGCATCTCTAAAGAACGGGCGCATTACATTTTGACTCAAGAATTATGTATGAAAAAATTATCCGCAAGGTGGGTGCCGCGATTGCTTACAGTTGACCAAAAACGTGTTCGTATGCAAATTTCACAAGAATGTTTGGACCGCTTTAAGAGCAATACAACTGATTTTCTGCGACGGTTTGTTACTACAGACGAGACTTGGGTTCACCACTATATACCTGAATAAAAAATTCAGTCTAAACAATGGACGGAAAAAGGATCCCCGGCTACAAAGAAAGCAAAAGCCGTGAAATCAGCGGGGAAAGTCATGGCGTCAGTATTTTGGGATTCGAAGGGTATATTCATGATTGATTACCTCGCAAAAGGACAAAACGTAAATGGCGAATGTTATACTGATCTACTGGATAAATTACAAATGTGTATTCGTGAAAAAAGACGCAGCTTGGCTAAAAAAAAAAAATAATAATTCATCAGGATAATGCGCGCGTTCAGACGTACATCACTGCGATGTCGAAATTCAAAGAATTAAATTATGATTTGGTACCACCCAGCTTATTCTCCTGATCTGGCACCATCTGACTTTCATCTATTCCCTAAGCTCATAATTTTTTTAGGTGGACAAAGATTTGAAAATAATAGCAAGGTAATGTCTGCCGAGGACAGCTATTTTGAAGGGCTTGAAGAAAACCACTTCAGGGATGGCATGAAGGCTTTAGAGCATAGATGGATGAAGTGCATAGCGCTTCAAGAAGACTATGTCGAAAAATAAATATACTATTAACACGCTAATTCAAGTTTTTCTATGCTAGGCTAGCTATTTATCATCCCGCCCTCGTACATAGACTGATAAACACATTAAAAATGGAGTATCCGATGAATTTGCCACGGGTAAGTTGAAATTTTCACAGATGACGTATTTCTGTTGTCGTTTCAACAAGAAACACTAAAAAATAAGAATAAAATAACTATTTAAGGGAGCCCTCACACAACAAACGTGATTTTTTTGCTCGATTTCGGTAATGCACCCTTCGTGCACGAGTCCGATTCGCACTTGGATGGTTTTCTTTGGTTATCTGAAAGAGATTATGATATACATACCCTTTTTCGTTTCGATAACCATCTATTAACTATTGGTGCATACAACCTCTCGTCTTGTATTGGTTTTTGAGCGTTTACCAAGCTTGCGATAGATGATACGACGATCGTGATGATGCAGCCGAACGCAGTCAACCACAGATAGGATATGCGGTATAGATAAGGTACGTCACTGGAAAAATATTATAAAATCAATCAACGGATTGTTTATTCCATAATTATAATCACGTATGATTTAGCTTCCCGAAGGTTAAAGAATTTTCATTATCGGATCAGTATTATCGAAGATTACCCCCTACAAACAAACAAATTATGTAACTTTAATTCTTTATGATATAAGAATACACAAAGGTCTCTTTATGATTAATATAGTTTTCATAAAATTCATTACTATCAATTTTATCGTGATTGGTTTTTAAGTTCATGTGTTTACACGTATTTATATAACTTCTCGGACAGCAAAATGAGGTTCAAGGCAAGTTGAGACAATTTTCATTAATTAAAGATTATGTCGAGTATATTCAGGTTTAGAGATCGAATCTGTAAATGTTTATTATTTCACGACAACTTACACCCACTAATGCAACTGCCATAACATTAATGGACCCCCTTCAAATATTTTCCTAAGGTTTAAGAAGGATTTCTAGTTAAGATAGTAAAACAAATTACCTAGTTGATGATACATCACTGATTACATTTTGTTCAAAACTGTAAGTACAATTGAGCGTGAATCTTGGCTTCTCGATAAATTTGAGCGATCCCTGAGCTTGCGCTACTTGAGATTGTGCCACTAAGTACCAGGAGGATGAAAGTCCAAGAATACCACCCATGAGTGCATTCTAAAAGTTTTAATTAAATAGGTATCACTTTTTTGGCAAATTCACAGATTAAGTCAAGTCATATAAATAATTATTAATGTTATTGCCAAAATTTCTACCAGGAAAATTATCTATCTGACTAGCCATATAATTAAATAAAATTTAACTTAATTAAAATAATCTAATAAATAAAATTTAACTTTTTGGGAAATTCAGAGATATTAATGAAGACATATAAATAGTTAGCAATGTTAGTTATTGCTTAAAGCGGTTTTTACCAGATAACTTTTTGATGGTAAAACAAGGTCAAAAACGGTATCGTTAACTTAAAAACTCCTTGCTATTAAAATCTCTTAAGGTAAATACTTCATAGATACAAATTCGCGATATTTATACGTTTTCTGTGGATCACGTTATGATTGATGCAGTTTGTGACATGCTTTTGTTAAAAAATAAGATGTAAATTCAAGCGAAAACGAAGAATAGCGTCCGATTCTGCAAATTCTACCTTTGCAGTAGACAAGTTTTCAGTTACGCAAATCGAAGAATTCGCAAAATTGTATAATATTAACGTATAATTATTTTCATTATAAGTATAATTTATCAGTTTCTTGTGAAAGTCAGGTGGTGGTGGAAGTTTGGTCGTCTTGGTACTTTACTGTTTCGGATTTCAATTACACATGATCTTAAGTTACTTCTAATTTAAACAATGTAGAGCATAGTGTCTTATATATATACGTATACATAATGTTAGTGCCGCTGTTGTATAAGTTAAGTGATAGAATTACATTTACCGTAGAGTTTATGAAAGGCAAAAAGATGCCCATAAGAAATACACCAGCTAATGGGCCCATAGAAGCGGATGAGAGGCTCATAGTCAACTGTAATACGGAACCCAGCATTTCTACTACAAACACTAGACCTGAAATGAGTAAATTAATATAATAGCTTCCAACCAAGTACTCTATTTTTAATGTAATTATTAATATTAAAACTTTAATGCTTTTTATCGTCGCTGAGTTATTTATTGAAACAATGTATTTTAAACTAAAAGTTGAAAAAGCTAGAACTAGAAAGTACCTTCTAGAAAGTAACTAGAGTAGTAAAAACTACTAAATACTTAAGAAGGAAATAACTAATCTCAAGTTCATCGTTTGTCAGTTTTTAAGCAAATAATGTTTTGGTAATCATTATATAAAAGTTTAGCTTAGTAAAATAGGTTCACGAATTGTTGAAATATGTTTAATATATTAAGTAAAGTTAGTAATAAATTATTTATCGATCAGTAGTCAAACATCTTGGACTAAGTTTATATATTCATATTAAATTATTCGTATGCCCATTTTTATTAAACTTAAGAGTCGCCCAAATCTGTCGCCTAAATGTTTAGAAATCGCCTAAGGTAAAAATGCAATTCATCATTGACTAGGAACCACCTAACGAAATTAAGCAAACTCTAAAGTTATGATATTCGTTATGCGGCGCCTTGCGCTAGGCATTTGCGTATATGACTGGTAATGAATATATCAAGGATATATAAATAATACTAAAAAGTAATAAAATTTATTTTAAATTAAACTAATCTAGTTAGGAGATTCGTGACGTTAGGGGGCGTCCATAAATTACGTGAGGTGTTTTTTCAAATTTTCTGAACCTCCCTCCCCCCCTGGTGAGATGTCGTGAGATTTTATTCAATCCCCTCCTCCATCCCCAAATCTCCGTGAGATTTTTCAAAATGTGGGTTTCTTATTTAAACACGTTGGATTTTTTTAATAAAAAGAAAAAAAAATAATTCGCTTCGTTCTTTTATTTACGACTAGTTAGAGACTAGTAATCAATATTGCTCTCATTCATCGAGTCACACGTTCAGCTGACAGTGGCGCGAAAACAAAGGACGGGCTACATTGTACCGTAAATTCAAATTAAATTGAGCCATTTGGTATAAAACGAGTATCTATAGTGGTTTGACAATCAGGAGTGATGTATAATGTCAAAGTACGAATGAAATTATTTTCTTTCCAACGAATTAGTGAATGATCTTAATCTTAGAGTTGTCTCTCTATGAGGGATTCCCCACACCGAGCCTTATTTTAAAAATTGCGTGATATTTGCCGAGACCCCCCCCCCCTCTCTCCAACGCGAGATTAGATGAGATTTGACTCGACTCCCTCCCCCCCTTAAACATCTCACGTAATTTATGGACGCCCCCTTAGGTGTTTCCTAGTTAAGCTAGTTCTAGGTTTGTAAAAATGGGTGTTAGAAAATTTAATTTAGCAACCTATTTTGTAGAATGTAAGGAGTAATATACAAACTTAATTTCATTCAATTTCGATATGGTAATTCAAATGAAAAAGTGATTTATTAAACATACCAACACAGATGATTCCTAAAATAACAACAACAGCACGCATTAGTACTTGAGTTTGTCTCTGAGTTAGCTTTTTGAAGAAAGGCTTCCAGAAATCTTCTAGAACGACTGCGGCCATGGAGTTGAGACCAGTGGACAGTGAACTGGAAATAAATAAGAAACAAAAAATGTATCATAATGGTTCTTTCACAGATGCCTTTTTACACGACTGGCTAGAAAAGGAGTGTATTGTTATTAAGCTATCTTTTCAACATTAGAGAATTTGTAAAATGTTTGCGAAGTAAAATGTTTTGTCACTTTAATCAAGATATATGACATTATAGTCAGATAAGTTGTCATTCCAGTACTATAAAAAATATTAAGATTAATTTCACTGACCAAATAAATTTCTTACTTGAATTGTAATTTTGAAAAGTGTCGAGTAACAAAGAAATGTTTAAATATCAGTCTTTCAGCGTTAATATTATCAGTTTTGTTAAAGGTCTCATGTTGAAGAACGGATTTTCAAATACTGTTCTAAATAAATAATTCAAGAGGGTAATTAATATAGTAAGAATCAGAATTTGAAAGTGCTCGTATTATACCTTAGAGCAGCGCTGAATACACCACAGACAAATATTCCTGGCATTCCCTTCCATTCTGCTAAAACGTCCATAACTAATAAAGGAAGTAGCTGATCTTTGGCCAATGTCAATTTGGAGTCGAAAGGGTCACAGTCATAGTACTTAGCGAATGCTAATAGCCCGCTGTACGAACATATGAGGACAATGAACGTAACCCCACCGAGGAAACCCCATACGGCTCTGAAATTATTACATTAAAATATATGTTATTATATTTGATCAATTTCGCATTTACTATGCTATACTGAAATATATTCTTAATAAAAATGTGACCAAGTGAATTTTTTAACAATTTTCATTAAAAATAATATATGTTTTAAAATGTCGTTGATGTAATCATCACAAAAAGGTTTTATTTCAGAATGTCACTTCTGAAGAATGATCGAGAAAGACAGTAAAGTCCCTAAATACCTTTTTGACGATTTTAAATCAGGTAATGATAAAAATCTCTGCACCATAGATTGATTCACTGCGATATTTCCAATCCAATAGAACGAAGAACCGATAGAGACTGACAAAATTGAATGTCTCTCTGTAAAATCTAAAGTCAACCTGCCGAATAAATTATAATTAAAAAATATGCATCTTATATAATTTTTATAAGCAATTCGCTTACTTACGATGGTAATTCTATCCTTCCTGTGTCCCAATTTCTTTTTATTACCTCTTGAAAACCACCAACAATAATTGTGCCTTTTATGATTACCAAAATTATTGCGCCTACCATTATTAATGTCTGTATAACATCGGTCCACACTACTGCCTTCAAACCACCCTTAAATATATAAAAGGGATGTATTTCATAAATCAACTACATATAAATTGACACGGAAAAGATTATTCCATTTATGTACACGGCTGCACCATAATATGTTCAAATTACGCAATAGATTTTGACCTCTATCTCTAATGTATTAAATGTAAAATCGAGTGGGGAAATTTGACAGTTTTGTATAACCTGACGATCCGTTGATTGTTCATTAAGGGATTAATTTTCTTACTTACCAAAGTAGTGTAGAATATGCAAACGAAACAAACTATTGGCGTCACGATATGAATATTTACTCCAGTTACTGAAACAAGAATATTATATCACTGATGTTTATTTATTTATATTGTTTCTTTTACAGTGAGCACAATGTTACATGACAATATAAAAAAAAACATGCCAATTGCCCCACCACTTACAAGAGAACAGTGCATGCACAAAATTGATAGTAACATAAAACAAAAATATTTATTATTATTAATTATAAATTATCAATCACCAATTAATATATAGGAATAAAATAAACTAACAATTATCAATTCATTCGCATTATTCCGCATCCTTGCGTGAGATAGAGATAAATTGATTAATAAAATTAGTTACAAACAAATTTCTCTAAGGCCCGAGCAGGACCAATAACTAAATCCAATTCATCCTGGTATATCCAGTAAGTAGATTAAGAATAATGTAATACTTGGTAAAAGAAAACAATTTGACACGATTTGATCCCTGTGGCCTGATCGGGCAGCAAAATTTAACTCACATAATAAGTTAGGACAATCAACGATACCAAAAAAGAAAGTTTTTCAAAAATATGAAGTTCAACATTTGTCTACGCATTTTCAGTGAAATTGTTATGTTACTGATACAAATATAATTTTTCAAAAATTACATCTATTTAATTCCATACCTTGATTGAAAGCTAGAGCCGGTACGTAAATTACTATTGGCAGCCAGGCGATCTACAATGAAATATTATTTATTTTTCATATTATTATGTATAACTTAATATTTTGATTGCAAAAAGGTAAAGTTTCAAAGAAGCTCCAGTGACAGAAACTGTGGGGCGATGTATTTTTTTAGAAGAAATGTTTTATGCAAGTCATTTATTCTTAAAAAACCCTTCCCATACAAATAAGCAAACAAATACGCATATTTTGCGTATTTGTTTTGTATACTTGTTTGGTATATTTTGTATACTTTAGATTATTTATCAAAACATTTTTATATCGTAAAGATTAAATATATTAGTCATAAAATCGATCCAAAAACCTATTCAGAGTCTTTGCGATTTTTTCTATTGAGAAAATTATTTCAATTATGTTTTTTATTTGGCATATATTAGCGTAGCATTAGAATAAAATTGGTTTAAAAAGTGATCATTTCGCACAACCTCGATTTAAGAGCATGAATGTGGACCAGAATGTAAGAATGGGCACACACACATACTCTCCTTGTTCTTGCATAGTTGAGCTGATAAAATAAATTGAAAACGTTAAAAGTTATATTTTTTTGTTGTTCTTTTGTTCTAAATTTTTTGGTCTGCATAAGCTAAAATGTAATAATACTTAGAGAGAACTGATTCCTGACATACAGGGCAACCTAATTTAGAAGACAGGGCAAATTGATTTGTTACTATTATAGATAATTATAGACTCTGTGATAGGTGTTTTAAGTAAAAAAGGAGTGAATATTGAGACAAGATTGATCGAGAAGTATGGCAGAAGAAAACATATAATGACGACCAAGTAAAATATGAAACAAGTCAAGAAAATGACAATTTACAAAGAATTTTTGTGAATAATGTAATTTATACATAACTCACCAAATAGACACTGAAGATTAAAGAACCAAAAACTCTTACTCTTTTGTCATATCGAAGCTCTAGATACTGAAATCAGAAAGTTATATTAACCATAGTGGTAATTTGCGTTGGCCTGTCATTCTATCTTGATTATTATTGGTTAGTTCAACGATAAATCAACATGTAAAAAAATTTAAACAACATCACATACTTTGATGATGCTCAGATTCCAAGCTGAGTAGCTAAAGCACTCGCATTGTGGAGTATCAGGGACAATGAAGATACACAACACCAAAATCCGAGACAATATAGAAAGTTTTTCTTTTTTACATTGACTCGACCGATTCAAAACCGGGATATCAGAGGTATACTAGATGATATTATAATATTTTATTACAGATGTGAATACCTCTAGAATAAATTACCTTTTTGTATCTAGCAACGTTATACTTGGTCCTAAGGGAAAGTCGGCAACTTATCCTAGGTGTACTTCTGTATATATGTAAACTTATAAAGACAGATCTTAAAATAAGCCTCTTTTATAATTTTTTTGGTGTTTTATCTACATAGGTATGAAGCCAGCAATCTTTCACACTTACTAAGTTCAGTTTTTTGTCTTTAATAATAGGTCTGGCTTACCTCATAAGCAGAAGTTAATTGTAATTCGTGGAGTATCGGTAAAAACGAGTGAAAAATCACAAACGACATTAATAGTGCTCCGATTAGGAAAAAGACGTATGATGTGCCGTAAACGTAGAGTTCTGTCGGAGTGCCCAGCAGTGATATACCTGAAATGAAACTGACGAAATAGTTCACGTTATTCTTTATGTGTAAATTGAAAATATTTGGCGACATGACTAAGTCAGCGACAATACAAAAGATAGCGTATTCTGCATTCATTCAAAATTCATATGGAGGAATTAAGTACTATGTAAAAAAAAATCTATATCACTAAATAACATGAAATATGTATTTTTTAAAGTAGAACCTGCTTAAAACTTTTAAAAGTCCGAAATAATGCTTATCTTAAAATTGACTTCATTATTCATGAAACTGGTATTGAAATCTGGCGGAAATTTTCTGTAGTTTATTAAATGATAACCGCCTGACTTCAATAGTAGTTTCTTGAATATTGAAGTCGCTTTTAAGATAAGTACTATTTATCACTTGAACTCACTTCCATTTTTATAATCCCACTGGGCATGCTAACTCACAAACTAAGCTCTTTACTCATTTCGGATTTTGTTTTCTTTTTTAAGGCAGATTCTATTTTAGTTTTTAGCTTGGGATCGCTCTTTTTCAAAATATTTGTTCGTTAACTATTTACTTAGTCTATTACAGAATATTATGAATATAAGGAAGGCTTAATACCGCACATATTAACGTGTTCGGTGAGCAGAGCTCAAATAACTTTCGCAAAGTTCGTTTGTCGGATTGGTGACAAAAATTTATTAATAAAACACCCACCAATTCACATTGGTCCAGTGAGGTAATTTTTTGATAATAATTTTTTTATGATATTTTGTTTATAAAATGGTGATTTTTTTATTTGTAATTATTTTTTTTTGTAAAAAAATCGATGAAGTCATTTCTCAGGCGTATACCCAACTAGTGAAAGTTGACATTAAAATACATAAAAGTGGTCAATCATTTAAATTATGGCGAGGATTTTCTATCTTAAATATGACAACCGCTTTTATATTATTCTTACCTTGCTACTAACGAAAAACAGACAGGTACTAATTTCATATTTCTCCCACCCATCAAATAGTCTTGTGTTGATCTTTGCTTCTTCACGCAACCAAAGAACACACCGATTCCTCCACACACGGACAGCATAACCACAAACACAGCGTAATCACACCAAGTGAATTGTTGTATTGAAGTCCTGAATTCTGACACATCTGGCTTACTATTTTCCAAAGACATTTTTTCATGAACTGAAATTATTATTTTTTGGTTAATTATAAAAGAAAATTGTAACAGCAATTGTTTACAAGAAGTTGTTTCCTATTCCATTTCCGTAGACCGATTTACCGTAGACAACGATATTTTCAATACTGTTTTCATAAGTTTATTTATTTATTTATTTAAAAGAAACACCAACAGTGCACATACTAAACTAAGTCTTAAATTGAACATAAATATAAAGATTCTGGTATGCACACCAATTATAGGTGTTTACAACGCTTACAAAATATTTAGGACTTACGTCTGATTCTTATCGATTAAAATTAGTTAAATTAATTAAATTACAAACAGAGAAAAACACAGAAACAAGGCAACTTTATAAACCCATTAAAAGATAACAAAGAAATATAGGTCTAAGAGGTCTTAAGTGTTTCTGATACAGTCATTACAAAATGTTTATATGTATTATTAAAAATATCCAGATGTTCCGATTGAGCATACAGTCTATTGTAACTACGACATATTCTTAGCAGAGGTGAGTTGAAGCCTAAATTGGTTCTGGCGAGAGGTACGTTAAAAACGTTTTTGATTCTGTGACGAGGGTAATTGTGTGGTACGTTGAGGGATACTTGCTCCAAAATTTGAGGGCAGTCTATGGAGTTACGAACAACTTTAAATAGAAACTAGACATCGCGAATAGTTCTACTCTGTTGCAAGTTCTGCATCCTGAAATACTCCAAACGATCTTTGTAAGGTGTTCTGTGGGAAATTCCAGAGTACGTACATGCAAGTGACCTTGTGAACGCGCACTGGATGCTCTCAATTCGCTGAGAGGGCTGAGCGTTAAAGGGATTCCAAGCTACGCTCGAGAACTCCAAACAGCTACGCACGTATGAGTTGTAAAGCACAATTATTGATAGGTACGACCGAAAGCTTTTTGTATTACGTCTGATGAAACCCAGTTGTTTTGCTGCTTTATTCACAATGGACTCAACGTGTGGTTTAAAAGTTAGTTGGCTATCAATCAGAACACCTAAATCGCGTATTTCATTGACTTCCTGTAAAGTAGTCCCATTCAAAGAGTATGTTTATTTATTTATTTATTCTTTATTGCCTAACTAAGGACAAATGGCGGACTTAATGCCATAGAGGCATTCTCTCCCAGTCAACCAGTTAGATTGTACAGAACAGTATGTTGAGTTTATGGGTGTTTTTTACGTGTATATTTAATGTAGAAACATTTCTTGACATTAAGATGCATTTGATTTAGTTCGCACCATTCATTTATTCTATTAACATCAGCTTGCAGTAATTTGGAATCATTTATGTTGTCAATTTGTCGGTAAATCTTTAAATCATCGGCGAATAGCTTAAACTTACAATTTTGAATGTATTTAGTTAAATCATAGGTTTTCGTAATACAATTATCTGTTTTGACTTTTATTATATAACATTAGGAATACTATCAAGATGTGATATGTGAGCGACGGATATATCACACCCTGCTGAGAAAACCTGTTAAAGGATAATTTTGCACAAAATGAGTTTAAAAACACTGTTTGATAGAAAATCTTAAGCTGTATTTACAGACAACACTCATTTCGTTTTTGTAAAATGTCAGTTAATAAGTTTTATCAGCACGGCTGTAATATATAATGTTATACTGGTTTCATTAGTTTTCCCGAGATGCATCTTTCTTCTTTGGATTTGGAATTTACCGTTAAAATATCGTATTCTGTTTATCACTACAGTAATGTCATTTATTCTTTCGAAATAATTCACTTACTTGTATTAAACAAAAAGGAGTCCAATTTAAAATTTTTGTCCAAAGGAGTTTATAGTCAATATAAATAATTTTATAAACACTCTTTGTCTCCTAATGTAGGTACAACTTATCGAGCCTATTTCAAGTTACTAACTGGAAGACCTAAAGAATGCAGACGTTAAGTCCCCTACCAAATGAGTGTCCAATGGTCATTCATTACTGTTGTTTTCTGAAGCAATCATCCAATTTGCCCACCTCGATCTTCACACACAATCGGGACTATTCTAGTTCAATCAACTATATCCTCTTTTGTCTTAAAATAGATCGGGGTCTACCCTGAAAGTGGCAGTGGTAAAACATACGATACGTTACGTAAATTTTACAAATTTCCGATATTACTATACTCTATCAATCAGTGGATAAGATATTTCATTATTAATTTGATATAAAATTTAATAAGATAAAGACTATTATGTTATATAGGCATTATTTAAATTATTACTGATACATTCGCTTTAATGTAATCATGATGATATTCATAAGTTTTACGTTTTCTTGCCTCATAGGATTTGTTGTTGGTGAGTCCTCTTTTTATTATTAAATTCAGATAGTATTAACATAGCGTAAGTTAATTTTTTATTATATTTTACTGGAATAATGAATACAGTAATTTCAACGATATCTTTATTATATTGAAGAATCACTAGGAAAATCTCCTATCCTTTTTCATGCGTCTTCGAGAATGTTTTTTCACTAAGAAGGTATTGATACTTACCGTATATATTGTTTAAAATTGTGTTAAATAATCAATTGTAGAATGTTTTGAGCATATAAGAAGTTTGTTTTTAATAATTAAATAAAAAAATATCGTAATTCAATAGATATTATCAATTATGTTTGTCGAATGTTTTCAATGATTACGATTATTAGGTATTTAGATAATCCTTGTTACGTACACACAGCAGTACAAAATACCGAATTTTAGAAATCAATTTTCAACTAAATTAACAAAAGATTAAGGCTTAAAGCCGCTGTGAAAATTTCTTTAACCATCGTGTAACCTGACATTCTATCGACTGTACTCTTACGTGTCAAATATTCGGGTGATGACTGTATTTGAAATCGGAATGCGGAATTGCATGTATTTGTTGATGATATCCAACCTTTTTTTTATCTCTGATATTAATCAAACATTGTTTAGTTTTTAATTGGATATGGGTTATTCATTGACTAACCCCGGTTTCAATAATATACCGACAACCATCGGCAGCAGCTACCGTCCGTTTTTTGAGCTACCGACAACCATTCGTTTTTTGCGTTTCACAATCATCGGTAGGCGCCTACCAACTACGAACTGTTGTCGGTAGCTCATTTTTTAAAATTGTAATCATATAATTCGAGGAAAAGGATTCTTTCCATACAGCCTTGTCTTAGGTAATATTATGATACTACTGAAATGTTGGTCTTTAACATTTAATAATTTCTTGGACAAAATCGAAATCGAAATCGTAAGAAGGAAGATGGAGATATCAATAGGATAGAGGTGAACTGATTAATTACGTACCGAAACTAAATTTGAAATTTGTTTTGAAATTATTATGACTTATTTATTATATGGTTAGGTTCTTAAAAGTGGTGTTATTGTGAAACAAATTATCGTCTGAAATGGAATTCTGATGTAAACAAAAGAGTTACCATTACAACAAATAGCTTAAATTTATCTCTTTAAAAGTTTTTAGTAATTTTTTTACTTGAACTAAAATCCTTTTTTTAGATAAAAATAGGATAGATATATTTTATGCTGCAGGCAAGAAACAGCGATTCGGAACATTTGGCTCATTGAATTAAACTTTTTTTTATTTAGTACGATTTATCGTAAAAATATTTATAAATAACACGTTTTCCCTTGTTAATTAAAAGAAGAGTAACAGTTTTTCATTAAAAACAATATTGTAAAAGAGCTTAATGTGTTTTGTAGTTCAGATTAGAATAATTTAAGTTGTAATCATGTCAATGTTTGTACCTTAAAGGGCTCTTACTACCAATAATTATTGGTCCAGATGCTTTCTACAATATGTTTCTTTTGAAAAACATAATGATTTACCTCTATATAATTATGAAAAACCTGGTTCTGATGAAACTGAATTTGCTTTAAATTTTATTCGATATTGATTTACAATTTAAAGTACTTAAAATTGAAAAAGTAATGAAATTCTTATAGGATAATTTCAACAAAGCTTACATTTTTATCCCCACATTGTTATACAAAATTAATTACACTTGAATGAGAAACCTTCTCTTTCATTGAAGTAGATAAAAAATAAGACTATACATCTTATTTCCGTATTATTATTTGTAAAAATAAAATTATAATTAGAAACCTTTAGGAAAATGTTTGCAACCCCTAAAATAACATCATTTGTTTATATAAGTTTTTTTATCTCGAATTAAATTTCGGAATATAAATAAACGTGTGCAACACACAGTTCATTGAAATGGTACGCTGCATGGTTATGAGCAGTGTTTTGTCATTTTAGTAGGTAAAAGAACGCGAACGTGTTACTTTAACATACCTCACCATTTTCTAATATATTTCAATTTTTGCTCCAAAAAAAAGCATTTAAAACGTCCAAGTGAACCTCAATGTGAATATTGTCACTCTAGACTAGGTTGTATGTGCTATATCCCTTTGCCTTTAATTATGCCAAAAAGTAAAGTTCATTTATGTTCCGTAGAAGCTTAGCGGGAATTTTATATAGAGTTCACCTTTATTATAAATTGTTAATTGTATAAAGTAATTTGTACTATACATATTGAATTTGCAAGATAACATTAATGAATTTGACAGTGAACAATTGTGATCTATTGACATAGGATGATAAATGAATGGTTATTAGAAAAAGTGGAATGATTGTATCGAATCGTAAAACAAACGTAGAAAAATGCAATGGAATAATGTAAAAATTATGAAGTTTTTTATTAATTGTTTTTTATTTGTAAAATAAATAAGTTATATCCAAATTGGGTTTTATTAAGAATTAAATCAATATCAGTGTTTAATAAAAAATAAAGGGTATAAACTAATGTAACGTGTATAAGTTTGGTACAAGTAGGTGGCAAATTCAGTTTCATCAGAACAAGGTTTTTCATAATTATATAACGGTAAATCATCAAGTTTTTCAACAGAAACATATTGTAGAAAGCATCTCGAGCAATGATTAATTGGTAGTATGAGCCCTTAAAGGTACAAACATTGGCATGATTACAACTTAAATTCTTCTAATTGGAACACAAAGCACATCAAACTCTTCTACAATATTAATTTTTAATGAAAAACTGTTATTTTTCTATTAGTTAACAAGGAAAAACGTGTCATTTATAAATATTTTTACGATAACCGACGGAAAATGGCCGGTAGGCAAATTTGACAGATAAGCTACGGATAGTAACTTTGACAGCTCTACCGAAAGATATTGAAACACCTGTTTGCGCCATTTTCATACATTTTGCTACGAACGGTTATCAGTATCAGATCAATCCGTTAGTAGCACACCGTCGGTAGCTTTTTCTACCAATGGTATGTTATTGAAACACTTTTTTGCTACCATCGGTAGGAAATGCTACGGATGGTAGCAAAACGGATAGTTTTTTGGTTATTGAAACCGGGGGTAAAACGTCTATGTATTTTTTCTTAATAGCAGAACAAAGCAACTCAAGTTGCTACAAGTTTTAATTATTTTCATGCGACATCTAGTTACAGTTTTGATTTAATTCTTTGCACATCCTTTTTCTGTCCTCGTTCAGAGATATAAGCGTAGATAATATTGTAGTTGGCGGTAAGAACCGCAGTTAATTGTAATACCATAAAGATCAAACATTTTTTGAATTTTATTTTGAACTAGCGATCTTTTATATACGATCATATACGGTTGCGTTATATAATTACACAATTCCGATGGTCACCTTCCATTACCATGATCAGAATTCAGACTCATTCAGGGTCTGAATTCTCTCAACCTAGACTAAAGTCAATGGCAAGACATATCCAACAATTCCAAATTTGACGAGATATTAATATTTGAATTGCTACCTGGCTTTTGAACTAGAAAAAAATATATATGAAAAGAATTGACGTTATTTTTTTTACATTTTTAATAGCAACTTGATGTTGCTATATTATTGTATGTAATTAATATGTTAAAAGCTTTTGTTAAATTAATAGCATTGCCGGCACAATCACCAGTGATAAGAAAATTAGAACCTGGCCTACGATATCAATATGCGATCGATTCAAAAGGTGAAAATCACCTGGTAGATTTGTGGATGACCTTGGACGATCTGAGACAAGCTGAAAGATTCAACCCCGTTACAGCCAATGCTTATCATCTATTTACGAGGTTGGAAATATAATAATTTTTTTCGTTTGTTCTATGTTACTATTGCAAGTTTATTTTACTCCACGCGCTAGATAGTAATTGACTCGCTACCATTTTTTTTTACTAGAGATTAGTAAATATGATTTATGATTGGCCGAAATTTCTCATGTCATTTTTTAGATGTAAATTATTTATATTAAAAATTTGCTGACGCGGCGTAGGACAACCGATCTCTACTGTAAAATAAGTATTTGCTTGGCATTCCTTGTAATTTGAATTTTTTTTCATCATCTTAGTTAATAATCAAATTGCAATTTAATAAAATATAAACTTAAATTAATTGATTCAAATAATTTAGAGCGAATCCAACAACAAGCCAGCCGCTGGTTCCAAACAACGCAGCAACTTTACAACAAAGCAACTTTGATGGAAAAAAACGAACAGTTTTATTGGTACACGGGTGGAGAGATTCCGCTTTGTCTGAACTAAATTCGGTGATAGTACCAGGTATGAAAATATTTAGGATATTAGTATAATGTAAGCGATCTTTTAATTGTCATTGTCATGCAACAAAGTAGTGAAAATAGCTGCAGTTTCTGGCAACTGGTCTGGTATCATAATAAAATGAAGGACTAAGGCTGACTATCATTGTGGTAGAAAGGCTGTTCAAATATTAAGTTATGTCATCTATATGTGGCGTCATTTTAATTTCTATTATTATTTTGTATGATTGTTGTTTCAGTTTTCTTTAAGTGCTAACTTGGAATCAGAGTAATGTTACGTCATCTATAAATATAAAAATGAATCCCTATTTCCTTTGGTCACGCCATCACACGTTAACGCCTGGACCGATTTCGCTAATTATTTTTTGTTGTGTTTATTACTGTCTGGAGAAAGTTCTTATGAATGAAGAAATAAGAAAACTGTGTGGAAAACTTAAAAATAAATGAATATTTAATCAACCAATAAAATCGTTTCTGATATAACCTTAGTTGCTCATTATAAACTTTTTAATGTAACCTGATAACGTTTAAAATGGAACTGACAGAATATGTGCTGCAAAATTTCGACAGGACAACGTGGATAATTATTGCCATCTTTCATTCATTTCATTTTCATTTTACATGTAAAAATTAGTTTATTCATTTAATTTTGGCAGAATTCTGCGAAATGCGCAGATAAGCCATTAATAAAAGAAAAAGGACAAGACAGCGTCTGTCACGTCATTTAATCTTAAATAAAAATTGTCAATATAAATAAATACTTTTTTTTTAGCTCTCCTAGATGCAGCAGACTTAAATGTGATTGTTGTCGACTGGAGTTCTGGAGCAAGTTCTATCAATTTTAGATTGGTTATTCTCAACACCATCTCCTCTGGTAATGCTGTGGCACAGTTTATAACGTGGTTGAACCAAGCTAGTGGCAGTGACACATCACAGTTACATCTAATCGGTCACGGGTTTGGTGGTCACCAAGTTGGTATCATTGGCAGAAATTTGGGCGGCACCGTCAATTATATTACGGGTATGGTAATAATGTGTTTGATTTGTTTATAATACTTTACTTTCCATAATTGAGCAGTCACTGATAAACATGAGAGTGTATATGTTACTCCAAAGCTAGAAATACTTACGTGATCAAATACATCTTCACCAGTGGCGGACTAAGTGGGGGGGGGGGGAGTCCAATCCGGGCCGCTTGATCATATCATTAATTGGGGTTGTAAACGTATTATAGTTGTTAATATGGTTGTGGCACGCGAAGTTGTTCAAAGAAGTGATCACTTACGTGTACCTACATCGTGCATCTGGCGCGAGTTTTGTTGTAACTAGTTCATTAACGTATTTAAGTTCATTAATTTGTTTCTAGGCTTAAATCCTGCTCTCATTGGTTGGGTCACAAACATTTACCGCTTTCAACCGAATGATGGTGTTTACACAGAGGTCATTCATACCAATTACGGTGTTTATGGCTACATAGCGGAGTTGGCTCAGGTTGATTTTTATCCCAACGGTGGAATATCTATGCCTGGCTGTGACTCAAATGAATGTGATCACGCCAGAAGCTACTTTTACTTCGCTGAGTCTGTAAGATCTGGAGGATTTAATGGCAGACAATGCGTGAACTATGCTGCTGCTGTTATCGGAATGTGTGATATACTCCCAGGAAAACTTCATATGGGAGGTCTTGAACCAAAAATTGGGTAAGCTTTTTTTTGTATGTATAGAACTTTGAAAATATTTAAAAATAAACCTATAGTTAGAGGAGAATAGCTTTCCATCCTATTAGCCGTCCATTTTCAGAGTTTTTATTAGATGTTTGAACTTTATAAAGCTAGCAAGTAACATTTTTTTTCTCAAAATTATGTCGCGCGGAAAATTTGAATCCAGTACTTTAGAAAAAATAATCGAGTCTAATAATTCTATTTTATTATCATGAATACTCTTAATTATTTAAATTAATCCGTCTTACGTGCTACGAGGGTCAAACTGAAAGTTCTTAGAACTGGCCACTTATAAACAATATAATAAAAAAATAATTCTAAAATTTGAAAATATAACTCTTTGCCAATATTACTGAGTATATATTTCATTCATTTGTCATTTGTTTTACGATTTGGCGGCAAATTGAAAATTGTCTGTGTCACGTCATCATGAATTTAACACGAGAAAATTTTCGTGCAATGATTTTTTATGACTTTCGATGTCATTTAAGTCAACAAGAAAGTTATGATAGACTACGATTGGCCTTTCACGATGAAGCCCCATCTCGTGCGACTGTTTACAACTGGTTTAATGAGTTTAAACGTGGTCGCACTAATCTCACTGATGATTTACGTGAGGGACGGCCTTCTACGGCGACGACTGAAGATAACATCTGTGTTGTGCGGCGTATGATAGAGACTGACAAAAGAGTGACCTATCAACAGATTCGGACAAGCTTAGGCATCGGTATGAGTCAAGTGCACAAAATCCTCCACGAACATTTAGCGGTCAGGAAGCTTTGCGCCCGGTGGATACCTCATAATTTGACTGAGGCTCAAAAACTCCATCGTGTGGATTGGTGTCGTAAAATGATTGAAAGATTTAACGGAGGTGACTCAAATGCTGTGTTCGACATACTAACAGGTGACGAAAGCTGGATTTACTGTTATGATCCTAAATCCAAAAGACAATCTGCTCAGTGGGTGTTTCCTTTCGAGGAGTTGCCAACTAAAGTGAAGAGAGATCGAAGTGCGGGAAAAAAAATGGTGGCCTCGTTCTTTGGAAGGATAGGTCATTTTGCAACAATTGTGTTAGAGGATCAAAAAACAGTTTCTGCAGAATGGTACACTACCAATTGTTTGCCACTTGTCTTGGAAAAAGTTCGAGAGAAACGACCTCGCAGTAGGATCCTCCTTCACCACGACAACGCCTCGTCGCACACCGCCAAGCGAACGATCGACTATTTGGCGACATCAAACGTTGAATTACTGGGTCACCCGCCGTATAGCCCCGACCTCGCGCCTTGTGATTTTTAATTTATTTCCAAAAATTAAAGAAAAACTTAAAGGAAAGCGGTTTATGAATGCTGAAGAAGCGGTGGCTGCGTATGGCTGCCATTGAAGAGACCCCTAAGGACGAGTGGGCAAAGTGCTTTTCCCAGTGGTTCCATCGCATGCAGCGGTGTATTGACGTGAATGGACAATATTTTGAAAAGATATAATAAAACTAATAACTGGCTAATGTAATCAGTTTTTGATTTTCTAAGAACTTTCAGTTTGACCCTCGTATAGCAAGGCGGCCATGATACTCGTAGCATTAAATTAAATTATATTCACAACAATAATAAAATTACCCTTTCTTATTTCAGACGTTCTGGTGTATATCTGTTGGAAACGAATGCGTCCCCTCCATTCTCACGAGATTGATACGAGAGATACACTTTAAATGAAAATACATGTTAACCAAATTAAATGACTGATTTATTTATACGATAAAAAAACTTACACTAAGCGTTTACATAACTTAAAGCAATAAATAGGATCAGTGCGTTTTCAACACTCACATACGGCGGTTAGCTAACGATGGTTTGTACTTAATTCGTTGTTTTTTTTTTATATCACAGTTGGTTCGGATGTTTCAAGCTTTTTGGTGCTCTCCTCTGAGAACTATCTGATGTAGCTTCATCGTTTTTTATTGTAGTTGTCTCTGAAGCAGGTTTGGTAGCATTAAGTTTATTAGGTAAATCTAAGAGACTCGATAGGAAAGCAACTCCTTGTTCAGCTGTCTGATATATTTCCATAATGAACGATTCAGCGTTGAAACCTGGAGTTTCTTCACCATTATCTTCGCTGTCTTCAGTGGTACTGCAAAAAATATATGACTGCTAATTTTCATTCATATATGTGCATATTTTTGGTTTTATACCTATTGCGAATATAAGTGAAGTCCATATGTCAGCACGCACACACCGGAGCACGACACGCAATGGATTATATTAAAAATATGACATCATTGCCATAATTAAAACTGACAGTGGCATTTTTCATTGAAGCATCTATGAAAAACGACTGCAGTGGACGTATGATATCGACAAGTCCGTGCAATGCGTGTCGTGCGACCGGTGCGTGCATACTGAGGCAGAGGACGAGTGCCTTATAAATACTAAAAGACGCTTCCTCGAAAACGTTTTTTGATTTGTTTTAAATTATTTCGGTACGTGTTTTGTAATTAGCTAACAAGTATTCTGAGGCAGCCTATAGGTCTTACATAAAAATATTTTTATTGCTATTATTACCTTCACATTGATATGAAATTATGCATATTTTTTTTTATACATTATTTAAATCTTTATAAATTTAAGTGTTTAACTGTTTCCCTCATTTGTAGATTGAATATTATGTTTTAGAATATTATTCTTACTTGATTAAAATTTTAATTGAATTGCATATTTTTTTTACTTACGATTCTGTTTCTGCTGGTGGGTCTTCCATTTCCATTCCTCCGGACTTTGACTTAAAGCAGCCGATAGGGAACTCCAACTGCTTGTCGCCAAAGATTCGAGGCTGCAGCTCCAGACAACCTCTTAGACCATCAGCAGTCGGCGCCATATCGCTGAACTTAGCGCACACTTGAGCGAATTTGCCGATAACTTCGAGACATATAGGATCAGGGTTCGTGCCTGTGAGAAACGTATAGCAATTATTTAGTTTTTTTTTGTATCTGCTAAAATTGTATGTGCAAAAAGTCTTTCCACCTTTTTTGGTGGTTTATATCTTGAGAAAACTTTATTTTGCTCTATTCATTGATGCAAGTTCATGATATATCGGAAACTACATATTTCACGCTCTCAATTACGAAACGATTAAGAAAATAATACGATTTGTTATCTTTGTTGTTTCAGATAAGGGAACATACTCTTCTTTAGCTTTTTATTCTGGCTTATGAGCAATGTTGTTGTCTAATTTGATATACCTATAAAATAAAAAAGTAGACTTTTTAAATTGATAGACTTGTATAAGTAATATAAATAATGACCCAACAACCCGCGCCAACCAAAACTTGAATTGCAATTTCTAATAATATATTAACTAGCGATTTCACCACTAGAAGAACTTTCTCTATAGAAAGTCTAACTTTTGCCATTAAGATTTGAATCTAGGTTTCCTACATAATAATATATGGGTATTTTTACGACTGGTTTGCAAATATAATCTAATGATTTAATATTTTTCGTTTAGAACTACTAAAGATTTAGAAAGTCAAATAAATTATGGTGAGAAATTTGTATAATTTATTTATTTAACTTTATTGACCAATACAAGTATGCTACAAAAAGCGGACTTAATGTTAATGGCATTTTCTCAATCAACCTTTGGGAAAATTGACAAATGCGATCTGTCACGACCGTGCCTTATTACAAAACTAGGTAGGTATATCCATTTTCCTTATAACTTACTTATTAAAAGAATATTGTTAAATTACGCTTAGCTTTCAAGAAAGAGGACTGAAAAAAGAAATGTTGGGTACCTTGTATTTTTGCGCTGTGAATAAGATTCTTGCCATACGACACATTGACAGAAAATCCATCGTCAGGAGAAAGGTACTTCATATGGACACAACCTGAAATATAATGATACAAAATAATTTAATGAAAATTATAATAGAAAAGGCTCTTGGAGCGTGAAAGCTACTTTCACGAGAACTGATAATGATATTTTATGTGAGTTAGGAAAGCATGTTTTTGTTGATGTTGGTCATCTTTGATGACTTATTAGCAGAGGTCGGAATTAGGTAGAGTTATTTATGTATTTGCATCGAAATGTTGATATTAATGTGGACCTTCCCGGGATATCTAATGGACAATCTTGGACATCTTTGGACATCCGATGTCATTGATGTAAGTTTGGCAACGTCGTGCGTGCAGTAGTTTAAATTGTGTAAAAGTAAATAACTTTTTATTTAAAAAATCACGGGATTTTTTCTGCTCTTTAAAATTAATTTCGGGATTTGAGGCATATCCACTTTATTCTTTCGCTGTATGAAATCAGTGTAAGTACATGAATAACTCTACCTAATTCCGACCACTGCTTATTAGTGAGGTTTTATTTTCTGAATTATAATATACAGTATATATATATGTACCTGTCATAATTTATAATTCAGCTATCGTAAACAAAGAGTCTAGACGGTTGGCGTATTTCATATAATTTACCTTTTTTTCCTAAGGTTTTTAAGATTATTTAATCTAAATATAAATAATGTATATAAATGTAACAATAATAATAATAATCATTATTATATACCATAGAAACAATAATCACAAAAAATGCATTAAATAAAAAGCGATCTCTTCCAGACAACTACTTATGGAAATTTTATGGTGTATTCAAGCAAAAGTTATACCTTATAATAATTAGGTATAAATTATGTAAGTATACATACATACGTAAACTATATATAATTTACATATACGTATGAAACAGACACACAAATTAATTTACTTTTTTATTTTATTTAACAATTTACAAATGACAAAAACAAAATAATTTAAACATTTTAATATTTATTCAAATATATAATAGTGAAGAAAATGTAGGTGTGCCCATAAATATAGGTTGATAACGTACGGGCAATGTGATAGTATTCGAAAAATAATAAAGAACCTTATTTCTACTTTTAACTCTAATTTTCCACCAGTGGTTTCGCCCGCGTGGTCCTGTATTATACGTATAAACTTTTTTCTTGATTCACTCTGTATTGATGAAGTATGATTATGACATAGCTAAATCTTTTTTTTTCAAGATACAGCTTAGTGAATGTAAAATTTAACAAATATAACCAATATCCTATATGTTGTTCTCACCTGGGCCGCCGAGATCTACAAACGTTATATTAAAGTTGACACAGCATACGCAAGCCGCGCCCTTGCATGCGCAGCTCCTGTCATTTTCGTCACGTTTCTCTGCGACCTCGATCAATTTCTTTCCATCTTCGAAGTTAAAGTAATCTGCAAAAATATTATCTGATATAAGTATATACTTGCTGATTTTTTTAAAGAAAACGATGGCATATTGATTATCGTTTTCGGTCTGCGATGCGGAAGTAAAGCCAGGGCCGGTCATAGGATAAGTGTCAATCTCCTCCGTGTTTTGGAAGGCACGTTAAGCCGTTATTCCCGACTGAATCTGGCAGGCGTCAACGCCGATCAATCCGCACCGGGTCCGCGTGATAGTTTACGGCTCTTTTTACTGATTTGATTAGATCGATCCCATGGATTCAGGAAAATATTCTACAAGTGTGCATTCGAATTAATTTTATAGTTTTTTAAATGAAAAAGATTTTAAATGAAATCGCAATTACTAAGATAATTCGTATTTGATTTTAAAACTATCACACGAGTCTTCTTTGCCTATAAGACTAGACACACAGCGGTACATTAAGTTACTTTAAAAGGTCATAATTCTGATATCACTTTTTAATTTAACTTTCAACAGGTTAAGATTTAAAATTGATCACGGCAATTTGTCCTTTGGTTCCGACATAATATCGACTGTAAAAATGATATGTTTTTCTTAACTAAACATAATGATAGCAATTCTGTTGTACAAACTAGACTAAATTTAGTTTTAGTTCTTTCAGTTGTGAAAAAATATTAAAAGTTTCAAAATTATTTTTCTAATACATATTTTCTGGTATGATTCTTGATCCATTACATTACCTTGAAGTTCAATAATTTATTTCAATACCTTATGTGACAATTATGATATAATTAAATTAATTCATAATAACAGCTTATTAGACAATTAAACTGTCATATAAATTATTCTTTTTTTATTCAAGCAAAATACAACACAAATAGAAGTAATACAAATAGTAGTAATTTGTCACATTTATTTTGCTGTTTTTAATTTTTTGTTGTTTTACACATCTATAAAATGTTGGTTCTAATGATCACGCAACTACTTGAATACGGATCATTAGCTTTTATTTATTATACCATTATTTTCTACTTTTGATTTCACGAAAAATTTATTGATACTTTTTTGTGTAATCATGTATTATTGACATAATGACTCTAAAATTGAAGAAAATTATACATACATGTGAATAGTGGAAGCTGAAATAAAATTAAAATAAATATTATGATAATGAGAAAATCAGAATTAAATGCGAATAAGAAAGACAGAGATGATGGATTTTAATCAATAACCCGAAAACTATTCCGATTATTGTTATTTTGCACGTGTCTGATTTTGGCATAATAATGAGGACAGTTGAGTATCGTTGATATTTAGAGGTAAATTTGTTCGTGTTAAGAAATTTTGATAAATTCACGTTTTATTTAGCACAGCATTTTTCCTAATTTGAAATTAAAGTAGGTATTTACAGTTAATTTCAAATACTATATTCTATTTTAGTCAAGATCCTTCGATTAGAATTCTAACAGTTCAAAATCATTTAATCGGAATTTATCACAGATAAAATTCCAGCTTCAAAGATCCCGAGCGCTATATTTTGTTTAATTTAAAAACGGAACAGTTATATTAATAATCTGTTAGATACTTATGTTGAAAATTAACCAGAAACTGGCATAGAGAACATCACTTTTATTATTTACTAGCTTAACCCGCAAACGTTGTTTTGTTATAAAAATTTGGGTTGGACCCTTATTATTTAAAGGTACAAAAATAGATAACAACCTATTCTCAGACCTTCTGAATAAACACATAAAATTTTATCAAAATCTTGTGTTATAAAAAAGTGACACAAGAATTTTACACATTAGATTAAAAAAAAATCTTAAAGAGTATTTCACTTAGCTCGGTTGTCTTTCAAATTCAAACCGATGTACGTACAATATATTCTCTCATTGAATATATAATGCAACAGCCGTAACCAAGTTACAATGACTTACATAACATTTGTCTTTCTTATGTTTATTATAACATTACCAAATATCCCGCTACTTTCCAGTTTCTACTTTCACTTCGCTCGCGCATGTAGTTACAGCTTATGGCTCATTTACATTGATCTATATGGTCCGTATGTGCGGGTAACTTCAGTAGGTTATTTCTAAAGTAAATAAAATAATGAGTAATGAAATTGGAAGAAGAGAAAGATGTATGTGAGGTCAGTAGCTAGTAGCACTCGGTTTTCCCTGTCTACCCCGCAAGGGATGCCGCATGAATATATGGTGTAATAATGTTATATGCCAGGACTTCGTGAGATGAATGGATTCAGTATACTGAACAACTTTTACTATGAGAGCAACATTGAATTCATGAAAAAATAATCAGCGAATTCACACAAAATTGTAATATATACAATCACAAACAGTATGAAATAGCTGTTTACTCATTCACTCCACGAAGTCCTAGCTCATAATAATGTTACACCTTATATATACTTATACAGCTAGATCAATGTCAGATCAATAAAAATGAGCCACAGAATTCATTTACACTCCACAAGCGGATTCTATTATAAAATAAATGAGCTATTTGAAATATTTGTACGTTGACCAAATCGGCAGAATGTGTGTGGTTTCTTTAAAAAATAACATCATATTTGTGACCACTTTCTAGCAAATAAAAATTTCATTTCCATTGTGTACGAATATTGAGCTTTTTTGTAATGATTTATTTTTTGATGTTATCTTAAAGTAAATAACGTTGACCTAGGTTAGAACTGTACGTAATATTATATTACTAAGTGTTTTCCTCAATGTCCCATTAGTTATAAATAAGCGTCCTATGGGGTACTCTTTTTGAACAACTAAATTATTTATTACATAAGATGGTTATATAATGATTTTATTTTTTTTATTTTAATAACACGAAAAGCTATTATATATTGCCATTCATGCAAAAATAAACCACACATAACATATATTTTTTATATAACAAAATAATCTTGCAGTTGTTTAGAAATATAGTAATCGAGAAATTAAAGTTTTTTATAATGAATAAACCAATTTGACAGATTTTATGAATAATTTTAGTATTTTTATATGATATTTTATCATTCAACAGTTCTCTCAGGACCGTCAAGATATAGCTAGATTTCATTAAATCAAGAAAGGCTTTTGCGTTAACAAAAGACATAAACGCGTTACAAGTCAAATTAACTATAAGCAATCTTATGTATTTTATATAAGCATTTATAATTTTATCACTAAATACATAAAAAAATTGATTAATTAAATAATAGATCATATTTTTTCCTCCCAGATTGAATTTTAACGTGAAAATTTATTATATTTTTTTTATCGAAATAAAACTGCAATATTATATATAAGTTTAATTCTTTATAATATATATATATATATTTTTTTATGTTCCAAATATTTTCTTACGAATATTGTTTTATTAGTTTAAAATTATTATATTAAAGAAGAACTTAGCTGTAGATGATCTGTAGTTTTATATACAACGTCCATAACGAAACACACTTTTTATAAAGTACATTGCTATAATGAGCTATTTACGATGCACGAAATCGCTTAAGCCCGACAATAACACAGCTACTCGTCCATTTATAATTTAGTGCACAATTAATTAAGCACTTTCTAATCGAGCACACACCTTTGAGTACTTACCTAAAATGTTTGCACAGTGCACGACGGTTGCCACAGCGAAAAACAACGTAAGTGTTAGTTTTAGTGACATTGTACCAGATATGAATACGGAATGAGTTTGGTTTGAAAAAAAGGAAAAAAGTAATGTTCCGAGTTCGATATTTGAAATTGCGTTCAGTTTAATTTCGATATGCGCGCGTAAGGACAAGCCGGTATCTCAGGTTCGTACGTCGTCGCCGCCGAGCCGACACTGCTCCTTTCCAGCAATCTCACTCAACTCGTTTCACTTCACTCACAATAGAAGGTGAAATTTAAATAAAGCATAACGCAGTGTAATGACATGCATCAGCGAGATGCATCGAGAAAGCAAGTTATGGAGACTGTTTGTTCCTCAGTTTATTTTTTTATGGTTGAAATAAAAAGAACACGATTTCACAGCCTCTACAAAAACGAAACTCGATTCTTTGTATTTATTTACATTACAAAGAATCGAGTTTCGTTTTTGTCGAGTTTCGTTTTTGTAAGATCGACTGTACTAAAATAATTTTAATCCTACAATTGTGTAATGTGCTCAAACTAATGAGCTACTTCAAATATCTACCAATCGACATCATTTGTTTCGGTATCTTACACGAAATTCATGCATGCCTTCACCTAATCCGCATCCATACCTCATGGTTGGTTATAACCCGTTTTATCTATTTCTTTCCATTCATAGGGAAGACCTATGCCCTAGCCCTAGTAGTTGACAAATAAATGATAATGATGATGACTCTATCCTTTGGCGGAAACCACATGAAAATATATTCAAAAGTTATTGATTTTTCGCATCCAGACATACCAGATGGGTGAACTTTTTATTGTAATATGTTGTTCATAGATAAACCATCAAATATAATTGTAATAATAAAATATGCCTAGTTACGAATGTGTTTCATCTCAACAGTTTATAATAGCGAGGCTGAGAGATATATCATTATTGTTTAAGATAGATTACAATAACATACAGTAAAGATTCTTGAAAAGCGTTTGTTAAGAATGAATAGTTATTGTTTCGGCTACTAGATAGCGCTACATTATTTGTACATTGCGGTATGGTTTCACTTGTTTTTGTAAATATATAGTCTATTATGAAATTGTACTGTTTGGCACTTTAATACATCATTTTAATGAAAACTATTTTCTTTCTTTTCTATAAATCTTTTTGGGACAGTGTTCAGCGTTTAAAGAAGGTAAATATTTACAGGCAATTTGTCGTAAGTATTCTACTTCATTCATTAATTCTACTATCTCTACTAATAGAGTAGGCCTCTACGGGTAGGAAAGGTAAAGGAAGACATAGCATAAGGACGAATCGACTGAAGCGTGGTTTAATAAGCTGTACCGATTGGAGAATAAATCACCAACAAATTTTGTATACGAGTACTTATTTGCAACATTTTATATATATAAATCCGTCGAGTATTTCTAAATTTATGGTGGAATAAAGAAACTCACACATATACATACATTAACCCTAAAAACGACTGCCCAAAATAAGGAATGTATCCTTATTAAGGGT